ATACCGGTGTGTAAGTATCTTCGACGGGGTATTCCTCCAAGGCCGAACAAACTATACAACAAAGGTCGTATTGGTCCCTTGGCCCAGTTGGTTAAGGCGTGGTGCTAATAACGCCAAGATCAGCGGTTCGATCCCGCTAGGGACCATATCATTGTTTCTTTTTGTCTTTTTGAAGCCACCAACCTTAAACTCGTGAATGATTCTCCTTGTTTGTCAAAGGTTTGGCAATCTTAGTTTATCACACTTGTCATTCACCAAAGTCCATTTGTTCGTAATATGTAGTACTGTTCGCGCGCTTTTAGTATTTGATCATACCTCAACTGAACTCAGCTTATTATGTTCAATAAATTCAAGCTGAGAAAGGCTCCACTTTCTCTTTCTAGCGTTTCGAACGCTATAAAGCTGAATTCAGAACCGAATTTGCTGCCCACCGCATTGCTGAGCAAGGATCTCTCGGTGGCTATCGCCTTTTATTTGGGACTTCCTAAAAATCTGATTCTTGCAGTGGCATACGACCCCGTACAACTGTTGTTTGCCGTGTCCACGAAAAACAACGAAGTGAGAGTGTTTGGTCAATATATCGTTGAGGTCGTGTTTCAATTCAAACTGACGCAACCGATTACTGAGTTGCGATTCGTTAAAGGTGTGTACCTCCTTGCTATATCACCTATGGGTGGAGCAGTAACTGTACTTTCCTTGTATTCGAAGCAAATTCTAGGGAATTTCTCCGTGCCTGGGCTGGCACAACTGTTTGAAACTGACTACTCGTTAGATTGGCTATTATGTGGTCTAGGCAATGGTCAATTGATGGTCTATGACATTGATCGCCTTAGTCAAACTCCTTTTCGAGTGGATAATTTACAGAAGAAGATTTTACCCAAACATCGATTAAGTCCAATTTACATGATTGAATGGCATCCCCGAGATATCGGAACAATTTTGTTGACCTACAGTCACCTGGCAATTTTGTATTCATTTACAAGAGGTGAGATTATTCAGAAGTTCATTTATGTTTTGGAAAAGGGCTCTAAGGGCTTTGAGTTTTCAAATCACATTGAGAGTGGTGGCAAGAAGAAGGTTTTTGGTAGTGTGAAGCAAGTGATTCCAGAAATAAAGGAAGCTCATTTTCACCCCAATGGTCTTCATGTACTCACGGTGCATGTCGACAATACTTTGTGCTTTTGGGATGCTGCCGATGGTACATTAATTCAAGCGCGTTCATTATTCGCTGTTAATTTGAATCATCCCGGTACACCAACGACGCCTGCTAAAGAGACCCCCTTTGCACCGATCACGGCAGTTAGATGGGTATGTAGTGCTGATCCCGAAATCACCCAGTTAATTATAGCTGGTGGTGATCCTGAGCGTCCCAATGTCTTGTCTGTGCTTGATTTCGGCCAGACTCTCAGTTATACGCTCACAAGCCACGAAAAGCAGTCCCAATTTTATGCACTGCCACAAGGTGGACAGCGTCAAATTCCTTTCCTCATGCATGAAATTCCAGCGGAATTGAATACTGGAGACCCAGAGGAGATTGTCAGAATTTTGCCTGTCCCACCAGCAGACTTTTGCTACTTTAACGGGAATCACGATCCACATTATCTCTTCTTGTTGAGCAACTATGGATCTCTCTATTTGGTACCATATTCCAGCACCGGAGAGGACATTAATGTGGCAAATTTGCTAATGCCACCAAGTCTCTCGATGGTGATCCCGCCAGTATCCTTTTCAAAGGTGAAGCAAGTTCCCAGAGTTGAATGGTATTCCTTGTTGTCACTGCGAAAGGGAACAGGTGCTTCTCAACGGTTGACAAGGTTGCTCAAAGGGGGTTTAGCTAATGAAAACTCTACACCTCGACCAGTGGGCGCCGACCCTGAAGCTAGAGCTATCTTATGCACGGGCCACGAGTTGGGGGTAGTTCGATTATTGGACATCTCTCGTGGTGCGCAGCATACCCCGGAACTGATCGTCCAGATAAATTTGAATGATTGTTTGTTTAATTATGGTCACCCCAAATATCTTCGTGTGAGCGCAGTTAGTGTCGCATTTGAGAGTCGAGAAATGCTCATTGCTCTAGCACTGGGCGAAGTCGTCATTTGTCGGTTTGGAAAAACCACAAATCCTCTGTTGCCAACTGGTGTATACCCATCAGATTACGGTGATTGTCCTATTCAGCATTCTAATGGTGATGCAAAGTTATTGGACATCAGAGACAGAGCCGTGGGTAGCGGATTACTGACATTCATTCCTCTGTTTCTTTTGCAACTTGATACTGGGGAAATTATTACTTGCATTCGCATGTGTGATGCAGGTTTTGCTGCCATTGGCTACAATACGGGGAGATTAGTAGTTTGCGACGTTACTCGTGGACCTGCGGTTATCTACAATCAAAAACTGGTTGGAGAACTTCTGCTACAAGCCGATAAGTGTTACCCGACGTGCCTCCAGTTTACCATCATGGAAGATGGACAGGATGGGTTCTCACTGCTTATGTTGTTAGTGGGTACTAATGGAGGTGGTCACTTTTTACTGTTCAAGCTCGTACCCATGGGGAACGGTGGATGGCTGGTCAACTTTTCTAGTAAAACGGCCAACTTAAACTACAGACGTCTCGGTGGCGAAGATCCTGCAAAGCTGAAGCTTGACAAACTTATCCCTGTCAATGCTCTGGATGGGTCAACTGCTCGTGCTTCCCTTGCCATGTTTGAACGTCTTGCGCATGGCGTTGTGATTCCTGGATACATCGTTGTGACTTCGGATAGAGACATCAGAGTGTTAAAGCCTCCCAAGCAAAAGCTTTCTCATAAAGTTGTGGACGAAACGTGTATCGCACTGGGTATTCTCCATTTACACGGGGGTATTTGTCTAGCAGTGCTTACGCAACTGGGGTTTTTCAAACTTTTGTCGATACCAAGTCTCTCTGATTTATGTGATGTAAAACTCCCCAAGGACGTTTATGAGAAGGTGAAATCCGCGTTCAGTTTGGGGATATCTTCTCTGAGTATTTTGGCTTCTGGTCTCGCATTTATCAGAAGTTCAGGACTGGAAGCGATTGCTGTACTGATTTATGCCACTGACAAGTCTAATCAGCAGAAGATCAAAGAGAACCCGACTGACGTGTTGTTCAATGAAACTGCCATTATCCCACCGAGACCGACGGCACTGGCTATGCTGTGGGCCAAAGGTCAAACAACATACGTCACCTCAGATGACTTGGCCTCGTTATTATGCGGTCCTAACAGAAAACCCCCCAAGTACCAAGAAACCGAGTTGGCATACAATATTTCCCCTGAAGCTAATCCACATCAAGTATACGGGCAACGTACTACCGAGTACGAGCCAGAGGCGAAAGTCGAAAAGGCGACTTATAAAGCGCCCAGTCGGAGGGGCCAAGGAGGATACGGAATGCCAAACGCAGGAATGTTCGGGCAGAGCTTCGTGCGGTCATTACAAGATGGTCTCAATGTTGCCGAAGAAACGTTCCATTCCTATGCTAATAGCGCTAGTGAGGCTTTGAATGAAGGAATGTCTGAGTCCAAAAAGACCTTCTACACCTCAGCTATCAAGCTGAAAGCAGGCTTTTAAATATGTCATATACTTAAAAAATACATGGTTTCCAATGAAGCGAAATCAACGTCAAGTAGTTTATATTGGAGTGCGCACCCATGTTGTGCTATCGAATTGTTACACACGTATGGTGCAGCGAGTATTCTGCCGACGAATTTTCATATGTTCCATAGGGAATCCCGAACCCCAATACGAAGGGACACGCCACAATGTTGGTAATTATTTGATGGAGTCTATCATAAACCATTGGAAACTGCATTTGAAGCCGGAAGGTCCGAACACTTGGCGACTGAATAAATACCCTATTGTATTATTCAAGTCCACCAACTCATATATGAACCTTCTGGGGAGTCCCGTTGTATCCAGTTTGAAGAAATCACGGGAGAAAGAAATGTTAGTTCTTCATGACGAACTTCAACGAAGTCCAGGGAAATATCAAATTCGTCAGGCAGGGACTAGCAATCGTGGACACAATGGGCTTAAGTCGATCGAAAAATACTTAGGAACAAGCAATTATAGCAAAGTGCTGATTGGTATTGGTAGACCGACTGACGATGACGTTGTATCGTGGGTGATGTCAAAATTTCACGATGATGAACTCCATCAGATTGACCGAATAGTGCCTACGATTATTTCGGAGTTGGAAAAACGCTATTGTGTTATCTAGTTGCCCATGTATATAGTACCACCAGATCTTCGATGGCTTTTAAATATCGGAAGTATATATATATTCCTTGCTAGCCATCTTAACTTCAACTACGGCGGCAGCATACTTATGCACAATTGCCGAGCAAACCCTAGTGCTCACTGCTGTCAAACTTAAACTCAACCCCTAATGCCTTGCCAAATTCGTCTTCCAACAATTCAGTGAGAGTTGTGCCATCTCTCAAAGTAGTCCACTTGCCATTAATGCTATCATACCTTTTAGGACCAGTTATAGGGCTCAGCAACCAAATTTGTTTGTTCAGGGGTTGTTTATGGATAAAATACAGTCCATTCGGGGGAAAGTCGAATTGTAAGACACCCAGATTCAAGTCTGCTTCGATTTCGCCACGTTCTTCCGCAAGAGTTTCCAAATGGTCATAGATCATTTCCAAATAGTTGTTGGATTCTTCATCATATTCGTTGGCGGATAATGAATCAATCGAAGTTTCATCAATCTCCGTGCCGTCCGTCATTTTAATGCTGTAGCATCGTACAGGGGCGATTGGAAACTGTAACGAGTACCTCGCTAATGGTTGGCAACGAATAGTTGAACGGAATGTTGCCGACGGACGGGAATTTAATAATATTCTAGAAAGCATCAAGTGTGGCTGCGGGATTTGGTCTCGTCGCGATCTGAAATGTTATGAGCCGCACCTCACCTCATCACCCGAACAGGGATCACACAACATGTTCTTGCTCGTGGTGTTTGTTTCGCTCATACTTTGTATCGTGATTATAACTCTTCCGGCTATTCTGGGACTTACTCAATTTGAAAAGAACAAGCCTGGATCCAAAAAGAAAACCAAGAAGTCCCATGAAGTTTTCACAGGTTATGTCGGCACCACCCAGGAAGAGCAACGCAAGAGGGACAAGTTGAAGGAGAAAATCAACGTCACTAATGAAGACCTTCCTGTGAAGATTTCCCTCAAAGGTGTTGACGGTTCTGGTCTCCGGAACCGTAATCATGAAAAATTGGATATCAATCGCGACCCTAACCAATATGATTACGACTTGGATGAGCTTATCAGTGAAGAGACTGAAAGAGTTCGTAAGGAAACGGTAGCTGAGTTTTACAAGGATGAAATGGGGAAGGACAAGGAAGAGTTGGTTTAATGAAATAAAAGCGTCTGCCAACTCAGCTAACGTTCCACTTTTACCTGTCTTTTGTTGGTGGCCTTCAGCCGGCCATCGAACTGTAACGAAAGTGTGGAATTCACAAAATTATAACCATTTGTATGTAATGTCAATAGTTTGCATATTAAGCATAAGCTTCTCCTCACATACTTTTGATCGATCGAAGCGCGCGAAAAGACACGCGAGACCATGCCGAGACGAACCCGACAAATCATCGTGTTCATTGTTGGGCTTTGCGGGCTATACTTCTTACTTTCGCTGTTTAACCCGCCCCGAGCCCGTCATCGCACAGAAGCACTGTCACCGAAGCTTCAACTTCAACGGGAAATTGAGCTCAATCAAAATTGGAAGCTTCTGGGGCTTAACTTCAGGCCAAACAAGATCAATCGATTACCTGATGATACCACGATGCGATCACAGCTTCTGTTCACCTTTCCCTATGAACCTCATAAGCCGTTTCCTAAAAATATATGGCAAACTTGGAAAGTGGGCCTCGATGATAAAACCTTTCCGAAAAGGTTCCAATACTATCAGGAACTGTGGGACGAACAAAACCCCGGCTACAAGCACTACGTGGTACCTGATGCGGAAGCTAATGAGATGATTGCCTCATTATATAAGACAGTTCCCGATGTTGCCAGGGCGTACCTGATCATGCCAAAACTGATTTTGCAAGCTGATTTTTTTCGATACCTTATTCTCTACGCTCGGGGTGGAGTGTATCTGGATATTGATACATGGGGGCTTAAACCGGTGCTGACGTGGGTGTCAGCAAACGACACTTTGAATAACAAACCGAGTAATCCCGGTGTAGTGGTGGGGATTGAAGCTGATCCCGATAGACCGGATTGGAACGATTGGTATGCTAGGCGAATTCAGTTTTGTCAATGGACAATTCAAGCGAAGCCGGGGCACCCTTTGCTTCGTGAGCTCATCGCTCGTATAACTGAGCTCACCCTTGAGCGTGACGCCAATGGCAAATTGAGCGAAACGCTAGGGAAGGATGAGCTGGGCGATATAATGGATTGGACGGGCCCTGGAATTTTTACCGATTATGTGTTCAAATATTTGAACAATATCTTGCAACCTCTGGCCAACTTTGAAAGCAAGAACTACGAGAAAGTGATTGACTGGGAATTTTTTACTGGCATTCAAAGCCCAATGTTGATCGACGATGTCATGGTGCTTCCAATCACGCTGTTTTCTCCCGATGTGGGACAGATGGGCGCCGGCAGCCTGCATGACGCTTTGGCCTACGTAAAACATATGTTTCAAGGTTCGTGGAAAACGGATGGTACCGGTGAACAAATTTAACGATAAATGCACATACGTCTATTATCAGCAGTTAATTAATGTATTCATGAAGTTGCCAACGCGTCCCTCGGCCTCAGCTCTCATTAACAGCTCGCCGATAAGAAAACCGTCAACTCCTTCACGTTTGTAGTGGGCAACTTCATTCTCTTTGGAAATTCCCAGTAACGCCAACACCAACACAGGACCGCCGCGGCCATTTGAAGAAGCTTTAGCCGCCTCGATCAACCTGCTGGTGGTGTTTAAGTCAACATCAAAATTTTCGAGATTGCGGTTATTGACACCCAAAATCAATGGTTCATTCTTCGTGTTATTCACCGAGAGATGCAAAGCCCTTTGAAGTTCGTCTTCATTATTGATTTCCACAAGCGGCACCATTCCAAGCGAGTGACTATACTCGTAAAGTTCTTGAAGCAAATTATCTTTCAACATCTTGACAATCAATAAAACGGTGTCTGCACCGGCGAGACGAGCCTCAGCAATCTGGTATTTGTTGAAGATAAACTCTTTCCGGAGAATGGCAGGACGCTGATAATCTTTTGTCACACCTTGAGGAGCTTCCACCGCTCGACGAATAAGCACAAGGTCTTCCAATGACCCCTTGAACCATTTCGGCTCCGTGAGAACCAGGATGGCAGCACAACCATTCAAGGCGTACGCCACGCCTTGAGTAACGGCATGTGCATCAATATTGATATCACCCTTCAGTGGCAGAGCCCTTTTGAATTCTGCCAAGATGTTAGTTTTATTGATATCAAGATTCTTCCGCAATCTCTGATAGAAATCAATCACAGGGGGAGCAGTGCCATTGAATTTAAGCAGTTGCTCAAGCAGAGACATCAGCTTACCAGGTAACGATTCTATGATGGCGTAGTCTTGCTTTCTCTGATTGTAGATCATTTCAAGAATATTTGCTGATGGCTTACTGGTGGCGGACCCCCACTCACCACCTTCAACCAGCAAAATATTATCAATCATGGTTTGCCCCGCCTCTGTTAAGATCAGTTCCGGATGAAATTGAACCCCTTCAATAGCGTATTGCTTATGACGCACACCCATGATAATTTCCGGGTTAGTTTCAGTAGTGGCAGTCACTTCAAGGCACAGGGGCAACAGACCATGGGTACCAGCCAACGAATGGTATCGGGTGACGGCCACCAGCTGGGGTACTTGATGGAACATCCCCTTATCGTCATGCTTGATTGTGGTAGTCTTTCCGTGAACAATCTCCCCAGCGTACAGCACTTCACCTCCAAACACATCAAAAATGCATTGAAGACCCATACAGACGCCGAAAATAGGCTTTTTTCCCATGAAATGACGGATGACATCCCGCGATATGCCCAGATCTGTAGTGGGATGTCCAGGACCGGGAGAGATGAATAAAATATCGGGGTTGAGGGCATCCAACTGTTCAAGAGTGATCTGATCATTTCTGAACACATCCACCTTACCGCATCGTGGCAGCTGGCACAAGAACTGGTACAAGTTCCAAGTGAACGAGTCGTAATTGTCGATCATAACGACATGACGTTTAGCGACAGTCATGGCTGGTGGTGAACACTAAGGTGGGCGAGGGGAATTTTCGCGTGAGTCAGATCGTGTTGATAGTATGCACGTGAGGCGTATTACCGATGACTGAAAATTATGGGGTAGATGAACAGAAATACAAAAATATGTGCAGAAGATACGCTTAAGTTTCTAAATTTTTTTTAAGTTATTGGGATTGAACTGAATTTCGGGCAATAGTATCAATTATCAAAGAAAGCCACGATGAGGTTACCCTGAATTAGTACAAGTTACCCTGAATTTGCATACACATCTTCGGGTCTATGCGAGTGTTGGTTTATTGGGTGCAGATAATACATTTGATCGGGAAAAATGGTTCTTCATTCTATTTACATATGGTTTCTTGACTGATTCACATTTTGAAGCCGAATATACCCTTCCTCTTTTTGTCATCCTTGGCTGAGCTTGTCGTTGATTGTGATTCTGTGCGAGTCATCGGTGCCGGTAATCCTTGTGCATTATCCATTGTGTTTCCTCGTTTCAACCGACTACCCCCAATGTGGAATATTCCGTGGTGCTTTTTCAGCGTCAGTGTAGAAACCAGAATCGCATCCAGCAACTCCGTCTGAGCACGTTCTGGTTGCTGCTGGGGCCGCGACATGAAAGAGAATGGACCAAGCCGCTTGCTCGTAGCTGCACCACCACTCCCACTAATGTCGCCCAGATTCTTCAATTTAGCAAGATTGAACAAACTAGTGCTACTGGGTTCATGTTTGAGATCCGACAGTGACTTTCCGCCCGCAACCAATTCGCCGCCTACCAGGGCGCCATTTGAGTCAATCAGTGCAGCAGTGGCACTCAGGGCCTGCCGCTTCATCGTTTGACGAACTTTTGCACGATCCTGATGCCGTTTTTTCTGCAAAAGTCGCTCGATTTCTGGCTCCACCATCTCTTTCGTTTCCTTGAGCTTTCTCGCCATCTCACAACAATTACGCAGTCGTAACAGAAGCTTTATGTCCAAAACTATTGTCAGAACCTCGTATATGGTTTCGATAATGATGTCAGCTGGTACATCCAGATCCGGCAGGATTAACAGCTCCAACAGTTGAGTAATTATTCCTTGCATTGTGCCATCAGCGTCATCACCTCCACTGAGACCAATGGCTACCAGCAGATGGTCAAACACCAGCCGACTCCGCGGATTCAGCAGCATTTGGTGGGCAAAGTCGTTCGTCTGAAGGTACAGCAAACCATACATGTTGTGCTCGTCCTCCACATCCAGGGAAGAATTGTTAGAGTCAGCACTTTGGATTTCCTCCAGGCCAGTATATGTACCTTCCAGTTTGCTTCGTGGCCGGTTGACACGCAGGTTTTTCTTCAATAACGCAATGTCCGTATAACCATCATCAATGGTGTCAAAAAACCCTTCGTACTCATCAGTAGCGAAGTCAATCAGTGGAACAACCCCCACTTCCTCGGCAAGTTTCAAGTAGCGCCTCTTTAACTTTCGAGCTTGCTTGAGAACCCAACTTTCCTTGTGACCAATGATCCCGAATAATACTTCCAGCACCAAATCGTATAGAAGGGGAACTTTATAGAATCTCGCAATGCACAAAATATCCATCAGAACAGGCCAAAAAGCCCACTTGTTGCCCACTTGCCCAGTGTACAAATACTCGCAGAACAGCTTCACCAGTGCCAGGGAAAACGGCATGTACAATTTCCGCGGAATAAGCAGAGCTTCCATGCGGAAGTCATCTTCCAGGTCAAAGAGAAGTAACAGTGCCGGCTCTTCAGTAGTTGCTTCCAGTTCATTTCGCTCGAACGTGGTGTAATCAGCCAGCAGTACCAGCAGCAGTAACAGCGTCCATTTGCGAGAATCAGCAGCCGCCATCGAATCCAGCAGTGACGTTCGTCTTGGAGTCACCGGAGGCGGCTTTAAGTTGGGCACTGATGTCAGTGTCAACTGCTCAGGGGCTGAGCCAGTTGGAGGGGTTGCCAGGGAATGCAATGAGATCAGTGCTCGAGGCAGGGCAAAAGGCAGGTCCCGCGGCAGCCTCAGAGCGGGAATATTGCGAAGTGCAGTTAAAGTGTGCAACAATGAGCCCCGCGGAGAGTTGTAACCATCAGCAGCGGAATTTTTGCGACTCAGTGGACGCCACAGAGTTGGAGTCGCTGGTACTGCGGGTAATGGCTCTTGAGGCTGAGCCAATTGCGGCGGGATATCCTGAAGATGTGAAGTCCAAAGAGACAGGGCACCAGACTGTTGAGACGCTTGCGAGTTTCGGCGCAGCGCCAGCACCAGTGCCGGGCCAGGCCCATCGTCATGAGCGTTGAGGTCCAGAGTCAGGACTGGTGCCAGCAGTGAGTCTTGAAATGGCAATCTGAATTGGGGCATCTCCTTTGGCTTGGCGTTATTCATTGAAGGCACAGGAATCGAGAAATGGAAAGGTTTCATCGTGGGGCTGGAGCCTCCACCCGAAACGCCAGAAGAGCTACTGCCAGCCGCACTACCCACCAGCGACGGCTTCTCGATCATGTTATCGGTCAGACCACTAGCAATACTCAGCTTCGTCTTCTGCAGCAGCGAAAGCAGTCCTCCTTTGAGAGACCGGAGACGCAGCTGGCCTTGAGCCAACTCCAATTGACGTTCCAGCTCAAATCTGTCAACGGCGGTGACATACCCGCGGGCTAACAATTGGATGAAGTAGCGACCCCATCGTTCGGTTAACACCTTTAAGGATACAGGTACACGATCACCTTGGCACAGCACCAATTCGAAGTCCAGAACCATGTCACCGTACCGATCAAAAGCATTACGGCCTAAAGTAATAGCGGCAGGGGGGAACACCAGACGAATTTTACCAAAATTCAGCTTGGGTGCAGCGTAATGAACATATTCCAGGAAGGAAATGGGTCCCGCTTGGCTTAGAAGCGAGTCGCGTCGTTCTACTGAAACATGAGCCAGTTCAGAGTCATTGCTACTCTCCAGAGAGCATGCCAGCAGTTACAGCAATGCATAGTCCATCAAAGGCGCCTCCTCGTCCGACAGCAGGGAGTCGCGTGTGGAGTTATTAGAATCAAGGAATACCGGCTCACGAATGGTGTCATGTTTCGCAAGCTCCAGCAGAGCTAATAAATTCGTCACTGGCAATGATATAGCAACCATCATCGAAAAGAATCGGATTGCCAGTGTGGTACGTGAGGTATTAGTGTTCCCCAAAAGCACAACCTTGTGGTGACTTTGCCACGCAAACCCACCCCAGAACCGATGAGAGCCGTAATCGTGGTTGCAGTAAACATTTAACCTCAGCCACTTACCTGTGGGACGGTTATAAATAAACACCAGAATGTCGATATCGCCCGGCATGAACCCTACGATCACCAAGTTTTGACCAAATAACCCTCCGGTAGGATACCTAAGATTATATGGGACATTGGCAGTGTGGCTGCGACCGCTAGCACCAGTCGCAATCAGTGCTTGGGCGTCTTGTGGCTTCAATTGCCGTCGGGCGGTGTGTAATGGTAAGGGTTTACCATGGTGAATGTGTTTGCCAAGGTGGAACAGCACTAATGGGTTGAATGATGCATCGGGCTCGGGTTGTTTCAGTGGGGTATAAACGATGAGCAGCGGATGCCGGTGTTGATGATGATGATGTTGCGACAGAGCCACTGATGCCAGCAGAGGTATGATCGTTTTGGGATGATGATGGTGATGATGGGGCATTAGGTCATCCTCGTCAATACCCACGATAACCAGAGTGGTATAATCAATGTTGACGTCGGCCTGTTCGTCGACGGCGGTAGCAAGGTCAAGACCAAGCTGGGCGTCACGTTCAGGTTTACCAGTGGTGAGTTTCAAGTACAACGGATCATGACCGCGATAGCACATGTCCACCAAGTCAAAACAATGGTTGTCAAAGAGAGGTGCCAGGTTACAGTCTTTGCCGCCCGCAACAAAGATGCCGAAGTGGTCACTGGCGCCGACAAACGGCAACAGCAGAATCGATGTCAGTTTATGGTGGTAGCGAGGCTTGGGTATGAGAGGATTAGTTTCCCACCCTGCCCCGTCATGCAAACATTTCCAGGTCAACGTTTCGAGGTCGAATTGCCAGAGGTCGTTTGTGGGTTCGAGATACCCGCTGGGCCCAATGATGAGACCACCAAAGATGTAGGCACAGTTGTTTATCGCAGTGGTTTCGTGGAAGAGCCGTGGCTGCGGCTTGGGTTCGCCATCTGCGATGGCGACCCGCTGCCATTGGCGCTCCAAAAGATTGAGGTGGAACATCTCACCCAGCAAGAACAGTTCCAATTCCTTGCACCGCATATGGGATTGATCGACTTTGGCGGCAAACATCAGCATCACTTCATCGATGGTAAAGTCGACAAGCTCGAGGCCGAGAGTTAGCCCCCCATGAACGATCACCAGCGAATGGTATAGGGTCAGCGCACAACCGGTGCGGACCAGCAAGTTTAGCCGGTCATCGGACTCTGTTGGAGGTAGCGCTAGCGAGTAGCACCCGCTCAGAGTGGTCGTGGTCGCCATAGCGGGGTTGGTATGGGTGGGTGCGAAGATGGGCTAATAGAGAGGGATACCCGCAGTGCGGGGGGGGGGGGATAGCGACGGAGAGGGTATACGAATGTGACAGATCGCCGAGAGAAGCATTGTGATTGGTGGGGGTTTTAGTGGTATTGCTATAGTGGGCAGAAGTCGATGTAGCGATGAGATGGGGTGTAGGCAGTGTATTCCAACTTTAAATCTATGGGCTGAGGGATCGAGGTGAAGCTACCTGACGCCTCAGTTGGGAAGCCGCGGAAGTTCTTATCGGACATAAGGAATCGCGCAGGTGGGCGAAGAACGACGAAATCGCACGTACTAAAAATGATGAGCAGGGAGTAAATCGTGAATATGTTTGGTTAACGGGTATGGTTCAACAGGGATGTTGTTATTTGGCTCAACATCGACGCTCCAATGGCGTTTATGGAAGAATATGATGGGGAGATTTCAGATTGGTCCGGGCACTTAACCAGGACCTTACTAGAGAAAGAAAAAAAACACCTATGGATGGAAGCTTCACTAAAATCAAATGGCCCGGGTTTTGTTCCGGTGAGGTTATCCAGGGCTCGCAACCGGTTCTTTCGAACGAAAGTAAAGTGAAATCATCGTACAGCCGCAGCCGCTCCCACCACAGTTGGCAACCGATCACAAACCACGCGTTTGTCGACGGTTTCAGGTGTATTCGACGTAGAAAATGCCCATAACCCGAAATATTTTTCAATTTCACACCACCAATTCACGAGGCTATAGCTGCCTCAACTAGCGGTTGCCATTGCCAATAAGGACCCTGCTGTTGCCTCCTGCACAGAAAGTAGCAACCGAAACGCGAATTTCCAACCAGCCTCGTCAACAAATCTCCTCTTTACCACCTCTTCCTTTCTCCAATTGGGACCCAAAATTCCACCATGCCCGAAGGAAAAGGTAGATTCAAGAAATTGACCACGCTTTCTGGGTGGACGCAGGCGCCCTCCTCCCCGAAAAAGCCCCAGCCCGCGCCGGCGCCGTCGTTCTACCAGCCCGCCCAAGAACCTGAACCCACGGGTTTAAAGAAATTGACTGCGGGCGATAAATGGGAATCTCCGTTCAGAGGCCAGGAAGGGGAACAGCAAAAGCCCAAGGCGAATCCTTACCAACAGTTCAAGGAGGGTAACAAGTTGGACGCTATCACCGTGCCCGAAAAGTTCCGTACCCAACGTCGTCCTGCTGCTGGTGCCGCGCGGCCGGCGGCTGCGAAGGCTGCCGCCAAACCCGCTACTGCCGCTACTGGTGCTGCTGCCGATAAGACCAAGGATGCGAAGACGGCTGCTGATGCCAAGGACGTCAAGGCGGAAGAGGCTAAGGACGTCAAGGCGGTGGTTCCCGTCACTGACACTAACGCCCTGACCAAGTCGCTTAAGGACGAACCCGTCAACGACCTTGAATCCGAACGTCCGTTGACGGCTGCCGAACGCGAGTCGGCCAAGCCTAAGGACGATGAGAAGTTGATTACCGACGAAGACGACGTCACCGACGCCCCTAAGGAAAAATTGATCACTGACGAAACCGCCAACCCCGCGGTGGAGTCGGCTGACTACGCCGATGTTGACGAAGACTCGCAACAATTGAAGGAGCTTGCCGACAATCCTGAGGTTGCCGAAAACGTTGAGGAAGCGGCGGAATTGGAAGTCGAAGCCGAAAAAGCCGGTAACCAAGCCGACGCTTTAGAAGAAAAGCGTGAAGAAGTCGTCGACGAGCTTGGCGTCACTGGCGAAGCGGTGTCGGTTTCGGGTGACCCTACTGATGCCATCGTTGAACGGATCAAAAAGGACCCGCCCTCGCTCACCAGCATCCCCCAGACGGAAAAGTACTCGAAGATCGAAGAAGACTCGAGATACGAAGAGTTTAAGGACAGACCGGCCATGCTTAAGCGCTACCAAGAATTGAGTGAGCAAGGGGTGTCGGCGCTGACCAGTACCGCCGATGACCCTAACGCCCTCATTGACTTGGGTGGTGGCCTCAAAATGAAGCAACTGGACTTGTTGGCTATGGCTGCCAAGCGGGTCGCCCCTGTGTTGGCTAACATCAATGATGCTGTTGGCAAGACTCGTGACGATGACGAAGCTCGTCGTCAATTGGACATCCAGCACAAGGCCAAGGGTCACGAAAACTCGTTGTTGGCTGAGCTCGATAAGTTCAAGGGCAAGCTTGGTAAGAAGCACGAAAAGCGAGCAAAGGTCGTCGGTGAACACAAGGAAAACATCAACCGGATGAAGAAGGGGGTTGAGGCTCGCGATGCTGAGTACCAAAAGAAGATCAATGACGAAATTGACCAATTGCACAAGGACCTGGCTTCGAGAGAAACCAAGGCTGCCGAAAAGCACGAATCTGACAGAGATACCGTGCACAAGAACCACGAAGAATTGGTGGCTACCAAGAAGCAAGAGCTCGAAGACGCCAAGACCAAGCATGCTGAAACTACCACCAAAATCGAAGAACTTGAAGAAGCTAAACTGAAGTACCACGACGAAAACTCTGAGCTTCGCACTAAGCTTGAAGCTCTTCAAGCCAAGGTTGACGAAGAACAAGTGAAGGTCGACAAGGTTAAGGGCGAGTACGAAGAAGAAGCCGCCGTTGTTGCCAAAAACAAGGAAAAGATTGCTGGCCTTCGTACTAAGATTTCCGAATCCAAGGAAACCGTTGAAACCAAGCGCCACGAGCGTGACGGCTTGAAGCAAGCTGTTGATGTGTTGGCGGCGTCCATTGCCGGTTACCTGGCTAAGTTAGCCACCCTTCAAAACGACAAGGAGGCTCGTCAAGTGAGATTGAATGACGCTCAACAAAAGCGCAGTGACTGGGAAAACCAAAAGGCTCTGATGGCCGCGGAAGTGGCTGCCGAACACGAACGTCAACGCTTGCAAGCTCAACACGAGGCCGAAACTAAAAAGGTGCAACGTGAACTTGAACTTAACCAGCTCAAGGAGGAGCAAGCTGTTGCCGAAGAGCGTGAGCGTTTGTTGAGACTCAAGGAAGAACGTGAAGCTCAAGAACGTGCTCGTGCCGACGCTGAGACCAAGCGCCAGGATCGCGTCAAGAAGCGTGAAGCCGAACGCGCTCAATTACTTGAGGAAAAGCTGAAGTTGGATGCTGAGTACACCGCCGCCGAAGCTCAACGCAAAAAGGAACTCGACCAGCTTGCCCTTGAAATTGACCAACTCAAGCTGAACCAGCTGGAACGTGCTCTTGACCTCAAGGCTAACGCTGAGCGTGCCATTGCCGAATTGGAGGCTGAACAAGAACAACTCAGGGCTGAACATGAAGAAAACATGCGTTTGTACCAGGAAAAGCTTGACTTGGAAGAGTTGCAAAAGAGCCGTCTCAAGAAGGAAGGCGAACACCTGGCCCGTCTTGCTGAATTGCAAGCCGAAAGACGTCGTGTGGCTGAGGCTTCGGGTGAAGACGCTTACCCCGCCGACTTGAAGGCCAAGATTGAGGCCCTCCAAAAGGAAAACGAGATCCTCAACAAGAAGATTTTGAACGACGATGACAGCTACAAGGACAAAAAGCGGGTGGTGGACACCACTGAGCTTGACCATGCTCAGAAGAACCCCCCCAAGACTGGCCAACAAAAGTACCGGAGCTTGCTTGACCCTCCCAAGAACAAGTCTCTGACGTCGGTGGCCAGTGGCAAGTCGGGGTCGTCGCTGAAGGACTCGCTGTGGAATCGTTTGAAGAAAAAGTTCTCCCGCGAAGACCCTCCCAAGGCTGTCCCAGCTCCCGTTGCTGGACAAAGTTCGGCTCTGAAGCAACGGTCGGCTGCCGCGCTGACCCCGGCCAAGGAAGCTTTGGCTGTGCCCGCGGTGCCTAAAAACACCACCCCATTGACCCGTAAGGACCTGGTTGGAGTCGCCTCTTCGGCGGCGTCTTCGGCGGCGTCGGAGTACGAGACCTACAGCGTGTATGAAGAAGTGTCGTCCGAGGAATTTGAACGCAACAAGCACAACCCGGACTACTTCCAAGTGTCTCATGAAGAGTTTGAACGCCACAACAAGCCGCATGTTGAGGAGACCGCTTAGATGAATAATTGAATTGAATATCGCTGTGCAAAACCGATGTAGTTAACTTGTAGAACCCTACCATATTCATTTCGCTCAATTATGACCCTTATAAACTCACCTTTTGACCAGAATGTAATTTATCTGATGAATGGTGGGTTTTATGTAGTACATCGTATCAAAAGATTTAGCATTTATGTCCGTCAATATATTGGTTATCCTACGTGATTTTCGCTTGAAGATTGGCATCAGCCGCAATCTACGATCTGCTCGCAGGCCTCTAACAGATGAACCATCCAAACCCATAGTTGCAACAAATTGCAATTGCATGATTTGTTTTCTGAAAATTATGTAATCAGAGTGGCATATCTCTTGTGTATTTATTTACACATACCCTGGAAGTGAGCTAAAGCGGTGTCAGCTCGCAGAGCAAGCCTCATGACTGGGGGCATTTGGAAGCAAGCTCTCGACTAATTGAATTTCCATGATCCAAAATAACGCTATGGTACTTCCGAAATCCGTTCAGTCTGTGTGTCTAAATTATTCAAGGGTATTCCTTAACGGCATGATGAAATATCTAGGTGGTGGTCGAACCGATGGAAAGATACCCCTTTTCCAAACGAATGATTGGCAATTTCACCAATAAATACGGAGTGCTTGGATATGAAAATTGGTCAGTATTGATGCCCTAAAAACCACGCCTTAGCGTTATCCATTACTCCCTCAATAACCTCACTATTATCAGTGGTAATATATCAATGATTCATGCTAATAAGGACGTTGACGAAAAAGAAAGAGAGACAAAAATTGCTATCATTGAAGCAAGAACTGAACCGGGAAGAAGTTGTGATCGACATCGAGGGAAAACCGAAATAACTTGTCGTGGCATCACTTTCACTTTGAAGCGTATTAATCGCTAAGCGCGGTCATAAACTGAACCATAGTGCGTATATTGCAAATGGTTAAGGTTATGTGGAAGCCTTACGTTGATTCGAGGTTTTTGTGGTGCAGTGTTCATTTGGATTCGTTCCAAATCTTCGTCGCCATGATATCTGGTGTAAATACACCATATATGATTTGATAACTTTAATGTTGGTGCTCGTGCTGAATATTGTCAACATGTAGCACCTTGGAAACCTTTATTAGATTAGTTTGGGTAAATAATCATCAGTAAACAAAATTACTCAAAACACACACTACACACATATAATCGAAACGTAACTCATTAAAATGCTATGTACAACTCTATAAGTCTATTATGCTTTCTCTAAAATATCAATTACTTATATTCTTAAAGGCCTGTCAGCAATTAGGGTCCCCCCGAACCGTTCATTGAGAACAGGCACGTATAACAAATTTTTTTTGCTTTTCAAGTTTAAAAGTCAATGCCAATGACCATGGCCAAGAGCGCCATTCTCACGAACAAGCCGTAACGCATTTGGCGGAAGTAAGCGGCTCTTTGGTCAAAGTCAACTTCCTCGCTGATCTCGTTGGTACGAGGCAAGGGGTGCATCACACACATGTGTTGCTTGGCGGCGGTCAAGATGCGGTTGTTGACGACGTAGGTGTCCTTCAAACGTTCGTACTGAGCGGGGTCTTCGAAGCGTTCAGCTTGGACCCGAGTGCAGTACAACACGTCGGTCTTGGCGACGATGTCGTCGGTCAACTTTTCCAGCTCCAGCACCAACATGTTGTTGCGGACCAACATTTCGCGGATGTCGTCGGGCAACAGCAATTCTCTCGGTGACACCAATTGCACGCGGCACTGGTAGTGTTTCAACAAGTGGCACAACGAGTGCACGGGTCTGCCGTTCTTCAAGTCACCCATGAAGGTGACAGTGATGCCGTTCACCGAGCCCAATTCTTCACGGATGGTGAACAAGTCGAGCAAGGCTTGAGTAGGGTGTTCCTTGGTACCGTTGCCACCGTTAATGATGGGCACCGGCGAGTACTTGGCAGCAATGTCAGCGGAGTCTTCCAGAGGGTGTCTCAACACGATGGCGTCGGCGTAGCAGGCCAAGGTGCGGATGGTGTCTTGGAGAGTCTCACCCTTCTTCACCAGCAGCAGCAGGGCGTCCACCAGGACCACACGACCACCAAGACGTTGCATGGCGGCGTCGAACAGCGAGCAGGTGCGGGTCAGAGGCTCGTAGAATATGGTGGCGAGCACGCGGCCCTTGAGCAAGTCGAGGACGCCTTCACGTTCAACGGCAAGTCTCATTTCCTGGGCGACGGTGAACAAAGTGTGCAAGTCCAGGCGAGAAAATTCCTTGACCAGCAACACCAGGTCGCGCACGAAGCGGTTGTTGCGGCGCAAGTAGGCTCTCAACCCGTCGTCCCGGCCGTCAGTGGTGAACAGAGGCTGAGCCAGCACCAATTCCGAGCCCAAGCGTTCCAAGTCGTCCTTGGGTTGGGGCGCCACCACCAGAGGGCGACGGTCCAGCGAGAACAGCGACAGACGCTTGTCGACAATCAGCAGCTTGCGGATGGGGCCGTGGGCCTGGGCTTGGCCGTGGGCGTCGATGACGACTTCGTGGTCCAAGCACACGGTTTCGCCGTCAACCAGCACCCGGTCAACGGCGGGGCGTTCGAGGTCGACTTCAACGACGGCGTCTTGCTTAGGGAAGCCAAAGATGGCGACGGGGCGGTCGTGCAACTTTTCCACCACTTGGGCCACCGAGAGCTTACCCTTGTTGATGGCAGTGTACACTTGGTTCATCGCCTGGGAGTGGTTGGTGCCGATGGAGAAGCAGTCGATGTCGTCCAAGTGGTCCCACAAGTAAGCGTTGCCTTCAGCGAACAAGTCGGCGATCTTGACGTCGCAGGTCACTTGCAAGCGCTGCTTAGCCAACAGCACCACCTTCAAGTCGGCTTGGGAGACGACGCCGGTGATGTGGACGGCGCGGTTGTGCAACAGCGCCAACAAGAGCACCGCCGCCAAGTGGGTGCCCTTAGCGTCCGACAAGATAGGGAAGCGAGGGTTGTCGCCCAAGTTGTGGCCCAACGCCATCAAGTCGTCCTTGATCGAGTGGAGAGGCAAGTAGGCGACGTCGGTGTTGGTCAGCGCCACCGAGTAGTCGGTGTACAGGTCGTCGATGTCGACCGAGGTCGAGAGCGGGAACTGGGTGAAAGTGATACCCGCCAGCAACGCGTCCTTGGTGACAGCAGCGGCGTCGGCGCCCAGCGACAACTGAGTGGCGACGTCGACGAGACCGGGGATGGTGGCGGTCTTCAGCAGCAGCTGGAAGTCGATGGCACCCACTTCCAACTCGATGTTGCGGGCGATGGCTTCCACCAACAACTTGGCACACTTGACGTTAGTGACAAGGGGCACCAGGTAGTCGACAGCCATACGTCTCAGCTCGTAACCCTTAGACATGTACGAAGCGGGACGACGGAAACGGTTGGCCGAGGGCAAGTTGATGTAAAGGTCGATCAAGTTGTTGGCCAAGTGTTGCGACAACGAGTATTCCAGCTTCTGTTCGTCTTCGGAGTCCTTAGGCAACACTTCAAGGTATTGGACGGGGATGCCGTGGTCCTTGATGAAGTCCAGAGTACCGGCGGTGGCGAAGATCTTGTACCCCATTTCGTGCAACTTAGCAATCAGCGGCAAGAGTTCTTGCTTTTCCTTGTAGGAACCAATCGAGAACAACACATTCTTCTTCGGCAACTTGAACCCGGTGGAGATCAACGACTTGAGGTAGGCTTCGTACTTGTTGTGGCCGAAACAGGCGACTTCACCGGTAGAGGCCATTTCCACCCCGAGAACGGGGTCGGCACCAGCCAACCGCGAGAACGAGAATTGCGGCACCTTGACGGCAACGTAGTCTTCAGGCAACTTTTCCCCGGGGTAGGGAGTCACGGGCATGTCCATGATCGCCTTGGTGGCCATTTCAATCAAGTCGGTGCCCACCACCTTGGAGATGAAGGGGAACGACCGCGACGCCCGCACGTTACACTCGATGACCTTAATGTCGTTGTCCTTGGCGATGAACTGGATGTTGTAAGGACCAGTGATGTCCAAGGCCTTCCCGATCTTAGCAGTAGCTTCAACAATGCGTTCAACGGTCTTAGGGTCCAAGTCTTGAGGAGGCACGACGAGGGTGGCGTCACCGGAGTGGACACCGGCGTTTTCGACGTGTTCCGACACCACGTGCATGATCATCTTCCCGTCCTTAGCCACAGCGTCCATTTCGATTTCCTTAGCGTTCTCAATGTACTTGGTGATGACAACGGGGTAGTCAGGCGACACATCCACAGCTTGCGACAAGTACAGCGCCAAGTCGGCCCGCGAGTACACGGTGTTCATGGCGGCACCGGAAAGCACGTACGAAGGGCGCACAAGCACGGGGTACAGCACCTTTTCCGCAAACTCTTCGGCTTCGGCGATCGAGGTCAACTCCTTCCACGCCGGCTGGTCGACGCCGATTTGGTCCAACATCCGCGAGAACTTGTACCGGTTTTCCGCCGAGTCGATCATTTCCGGCAGCGTCCCCAAGATCTTGACGTTTTGACGGTGCAACGAGAGGGCGATGTTGTTGGAGGTTTGACCACCCATGGAGATGATGACCCCCGCCAGCTCTTCGAGGTCGTAGATGTCCAACACCCGTTCCAAGTTGATGGTTTCAAAGTACAAGCGGTCGGCTTCGTCGTAGTCAGTGGACACGGTTTCGGGGTTGTAGTTGATCATGATCGTCTTGCACCCGTTTTCACGCAAAGTACGGATGGCACGCACGGCACACCAGTCGAATTCCACCGACGACCCAATACGGTAGACCCCGGAACCGAGGACGATGACCCCGTGGTCGTTGAAGTCGACGTCACTGGAGTCGGCGTTGTAGGTGATGTACAAGTAGTTGGTGTAACAGGGGAACTCGGCGGCGACGGTATCGATTTGCTTGACGAAGGGGATGATGCCGTTTTCCTTACGCACCCGACGAACAGCGACTTCGTTCAGGTTGAGGAACTTAGCCACTTGACGGTCTTCAAAGCCCAATTGCTTCGCCTGCTTAAGGATGGCGGGGGGCAATTGTTCGAGGGAACCAAAACCAGCAATCTTGTTACCGAACTTGATGAGGCCGTCCAACTTGTTGAGGAACCACTTGTCGATGTTGGTGAGACGCCACACCTTGTCCACCGAGTAGCCGTCGGCGAGGGCGTTGGCGATGGCGTAGAGACGTTGGTCGGAGGGCGTTTGCAACTCGGTATCAATGTCAATCAGCATCAAGGCGCCTTCGGTCTTGTTGAAACCCAAGTTGTGGTAGTCAGTCGAGCGAATCGCCTTCTGGATGGCTTCTTCAAAGGTACGACCAATGGCCATCACTTCACCCACAGACTTCATCAGCGACAGCAAAAGCGACAGCACCCGAGTAAACTTCTTCAAGTCCCAGCGGGGGATCTTGACGACGACGTAGTCCAACGACGGCTCGAAGCAGGCACAAGTCTTCTTGGTGACGGAGTTCTTGATCTCGTTCAAGGGGATGTTGAGACCCAACTTAGCGGCGGTGTAAGCAAGGGGGTAACCGGTAGCCTTAGAGGCGAGGGCCGACGATCTCAGCAACCGGGCGTTGACTTCGATAATGCAGTATTCCTTCGAGAACGGGTTCAACGCGTACTGGATGTTACATTCACCGACCACACCCAAGTGGCGAATGACGTTGACAGCGGTGGTTCTCAACATGTTGTAGTCCTCGTCGGAAAGGGTTTGCGAGGGGGCAACGACGATCGAGTCCCCGGTGTGGATCCCCAACGGGTCGAAGTTTTCCATGTTACACACGGTGATACAGTTGTCGTAGGCGTCACGGACCACTTCGTATTCAACTTCCTTCCACCCCTTCATCGACCGTTCCACAAGCACTTGGGGCAGCACCGCGAACGCCTTCGAGCACAAGTCTCTGAGCTGTTGTTCGTTGTCGGCGAAACCCGAGCCCAAACCACCGAGGGCAAACGCGGCTCTGACGATCAACGGGTAGCCGATGGCGTTGGCGGCGGCGACGGCCTCGTCGATGTTGTTACAGGCTTCCGAGCGGGCACACTTTTCGTTGATTTCAAGCATCGCCAGCGCGAACAACTCTCTGTCTTCGGTGGTGATGACGGTGTCGATGGGGGTACCCAACACCTTAACCCCCAACAGTTCGAACTCGTCTTTAAGAGCAATACCCACCAGCAACGCCGTTTGACCCCCGAAGGTACAGTAGATCCCGTCGGGACGTTCGTGCTTGATCACCTTGCGGACAAACTCGGGGGTGACGGGCAAAAAGTAGACCTTGTCGGCCAACCCCTTTGACGTTTGGATGGTGGCGATGTTGGGGTTGATCAACACGGTGTAGATGCCTTCTTCCTTCAACGCCTTGATCGCTTGCGAACCCGAGTAGTCGAACTCACCGGCCTGGCCAATCAGCAACCCGCCGGAGCCCAACACCAACACCTTCTTGGCGTCGACGCGGGGGTGGGCCTTCTTGTTGTCTTCCCAGTTGCCACCGGGGAACGCCACCGGCTTCAATTGTTGGGTGGCGTCAAAGTCGGCCACGGCGTCGATGAAAGTGTCAAACAAGAACTCGGTGTCGCGGGGACCCGGGGTGGACTCAGGGTGGAATTGCACCGAGAAGAACGGCTTCAGGGTGTGGTAGATCCCTTCGTTGGAGCCGTCGTTGGCGTTGACGAACAACTCTTCCCAACCCGCAGTTAAGGTCAGCTTGTCGACGGCGAACCCGTGGTTTTGCGAGGTGATGTAACAACGACCAGAGATGGTGTTGGTGCAGGGGATGTTGTGGCCACGGTTACCGAACTTGAGCTTCAACGTCAGCGCCCCCAGGGCCCGCGCCATCAACTGGTGGCCCAAACAGATACCGAACACGGGGGTCTTGGCTTCCTGCAACACTTTGGCCAAGCGGTCGACGGTCAGCGTCATCACCTGGGGGTCACCGGGCCCATTGGAAATGAAGAGCCCGTGGTACTTTTCCTGGGTGAAGTCGTAGTCCCAGGGCACCACCAAAAGCTCGACGCCGCGGCGGACAAAGCAGCGGATCTGGTTGTACTTCATCCCGACATCGACGGCGAGGATGCGCAACGGGTTGCCGTTTTTGTCGGTCTTGACAGGACCTTCAGGCTTGTACAACACCGGCTTGGTGGTCAGCACTTTCGCCACGAGGTTTTTGACGTTGGGGTCGTCCCATTCGGGGATGTCGAAGTGGGGTTTCCAGGTGTCCAACGTCAACAGCGCCGGGTCGACGTCTTCCTTAGCCAAGCACAAACGACCAAGAGTAGACCCGTTGTCACGCAACCGCTTAGTAAGTTGTCTGGTGTCGACCCCGTAGATGGCAGGCACGCCCTGTTCCTTCAACCACTGGCCCAACGACAGCTTGGCGAGGTAGTGGGAGTACTCCTCGGTGTAGTGGGCGACGACGACCCCGGCGACGTGGATCTTGCTCAGCTCAAAGTACTTGGGGAGGGCGGGGGAGTAGTCGTCGTCCATGAGGTGGCGGTCGGGGACGCCGTAGTTGCCGACGAGGGGGTAGGTGATCACGAGGATCTGGCCTTCGTACGAAGGGTCGGTGAGCGACTCGGGGTAGCCCACCATCCCCGTCTGGAACACCACCTCACCGGAGGCAGGGGTGGCGGCCCCAAACGAGTACCCTTGCAACGCCACGCCGTCTTGGGTCTCGAGGGTCATCAACCGAGCGGCATCGCCTTCCATCGTCTGGGGGGGAGTAATCGGATAAGAAAGCGACATCTAAACCTCGTTAGTATTACGTTATATTCATTTGCGTGCGGTGGCGGGGGCAATCAATATGCTCCTGCACACAATTTGGCGATGCCTTCGCCATCACCAGCTCCGACGGGGTACTCTGACGAACGGGCCAAATCAAATTTTAATCGTTTGATTGTGGCTGTTTTGGTCGTTCTTTCGTTGTGTTGTCTCGCGGGGAGGTGATGTTTGTGGTGTTACGGCCTAGGGGGGCCTCAACACTTACCTTCAGTTGGCTTGGAGGGGTGTTGAGGGAGGATAAAAGGAAGAAGGATTTTGTCGCCAAGGGGAACCGCTCAATATATAGTGCGCGATGGGGGTCTGCTGGAAAAAAAAAAAAAAAAAAAAAAAACNGGTGATGTCACTAACGTGCATGCGATGAGCAACGCCCGCCCTACCGAAAGTGGGATGATATTCCTAGGCAAAAAGCGGCTCAATTAGGGTTACCGTAGGCGAAAATAAAATGACATTGCCACTTAATAAATGGAATAAAGAGTTATGATTGACTAGTTATGGCTATTGACGACAAATTCACTGGGGGGGATCTCGGGGTGACTCGGGACCCTGGGTCCGATTTCCAATATTTTGCCCCTCCCCGGGCTCGCAATCAGAAGACCCCGGGGGGACTAACGGTGATCAACCCGGCCAAATAGTGTCGTATCCGATCAAAAAAGGGATTAAAACGGTTACTAGCATTACTAGCTTGAATTACCAATGACCGTTTCATTTAATTACTGGGGGTTATTATAATTGCCGGGGGGATGACTCGTGACTCATGTTGTCACCGCGGCTACAGCGCGGGCCACTTGCCGCATTAGGGTTTAAGTAAAGACGTACACTATCATATCTGGGGGCTACACACACACCGAGTCTAAACGGCCAACTTGACCTCTTCCGCCGTCACCATATCCTGGTAGGGCGCCAACGCCTGCTTGACGTCGTTATTGACGAACTTCTCCGTCTGTTGCGGGGCTCTACCGACAAACGTCAGCGGGTCCAACAAGGTGTCCAATTCGGCCCAAATAGGCTCGAAGTACTTGGTGGCCTTGATACGTTCGATCAAGTCGTTGTCGCCACCTTCCTGCTTGACCACCGCCAGCGCCTGGTGCGACAACACCCGGATTTCTTCGTGGCATTCTTGTCTCAGCGCCCCCTTTTCCACCATGGCCATGATGATGTTTTCCGTGGCCATGAACGGCAACTCGGCGTTGATACGGCGCTCGATCACCTTAGGGTACACCACGAGCCCCAGACAGATGTTGAGCATCGTCAGCAACAAGATGTCGGCGGTCAAAAACGCCAGCGGGAGCGAGATGCGGCGGATGGCGGAGTCGTCCAACGTCCGTTCGAACCATTGCACCGACGCCGTCTGCAAGGCGTCGTTAAACAACCCGCCCAAGTGGCGGGCCAACGAACACACCCGTTCCAGGCGCATGGGGTTGCGCTTGTAGGCCATCGCCAGCGACCCGATCTGCAGTTTTTCAAACGGCTCTTCCATCTCCTTCAAATTGGCCAACAACCGCACGTCAGTAGCAAACTTGTGGGCGGTGGCCCCCAACAGCGCCAACGGGGCGAGGACGTCGATGTCGATCTTACGCGAGTAAGTTTGGCCGGTGACGGGGTAAGCGTAGTCAAAGCCAAGCAATTTGACGAGGGTGGCGTCGAGCTCCTCCACTTTGTCGTGGTCGCCGTGGAAAAGGGCGAGGAACGACGCCTGGGTGCCGGTGGTGCCCTTGACCCCACGCAAACCCAAGTCGTTGCGGGCCCGCACGCAGTTACGCAAGTCCCACAACAATTCCTGGATCCACAACGTCGCCCGCTTGCCCACCGTCGTCAACTGGGCCGGCTGGAAGTGGGTCCACCCCAACACGGGCATATCCTTGTATTCGAGGGCAAACTTCAGCAACCGGTCGATGACGTTGACCAACTTGGGGATGATGACGTCGTAGGCGTCGCGCAAGAAGATCAAGTCGGCGTTGTCGGTGACGTAGCACAGCGTCGCCCCCAAGTGGATGATGCCGGCGGCGGCGGGGCACGTCTCGCCAAACACGTGGACGTGGGCCATGACGTCGTGTCTAACGATCGCCTCTTGTTTCAGCGCCGCCTTGATCTCATCATCAGTGATTTCAAGGTGCTGCTTCATCTGGTCGATCGCCTCGTCGGTGATCATGTCGAGACCGACTTGTTTCTCGGCGATGGCGAGGTTGAGCCACAACTTTCTCCAGGTCAGGAACCGGTTGCGGAGAGAGAAGATGCGCAGCATCTCTTCCGAGGCATACCGCAGCGACAACGGGGTGGTGTACTTGTCGTAGTCAGACATTTTGGGGGAGTGTTCAGGGGACGTTGGTTGTGGTGGGGCACCGGGTAATTTTTATAAGTGCAGGCGTGACTCGGGCCGGCGAGGGTAATCCATCGCATATTGATCGCAGATGAGCGGCAGGGCTATATATGCCGGGGGGGAGTTTATAGAGGGTGGCCATTGGGGTCGCCGGCAGTAGGATTGTAGATTGATTGCGAGTGATGGATACCCCTACCTGTTTGGTGGTTATTTATGGGTTGGCTTGCCATTGGTGCCGAGTCAATAATAACCCTGAGATGGACGACTGCTATGGCAAGTAAATATGAAAATTTGTGTTTTATCCTAGAAAACGAACCATAATGTATGTGACTTCATTCATCATCTTTTTTTTTTGGTTTACTCTATTGGTTTGTTTCGAGGTGTATATTATAGTTGCGGATCTGAATGGGCCCACGTTGGTTGTTATTGTGGGGAAAATTTGCAATTTACTAAATTACCACCAGTTCGACTCTTCATGAAGTTGTAAAGAAAAAAAACACACTATTTTGAAACAAAGCGTTAAGTATAACTTTCAGAATATCACGATTGGCGAAATGGAATTTGAATTCATTTGGGTTTATTTTAAGGGTCTTAATGGTAGATCGCAGAATGCAGTGTTACCCCGATCTGAAAACCGTTTGGCAACATTAAACCGCTGAAATCCTCCGGTGACGGTTTTAGATTGAAATGGTGGAATATTTGAATCAGTTGATGCTTGGATTACATCACTATCTCACACCATTTTGAACTGAATATACACAGCTAATTTTACGTGACGCGTTCGCACAAGCACCAACACGATACCAATACCAAAGGCTCACCCGAAGATCGAGAAAATGACCGCCGCCACTTCCTAATCTTTGCCACCCGTTAAACAACTCACACTCCGTTGACGATTTGTTATGGTCTACAGTACTTGAATTTCAAGTCACCGCCACCGACGCGTCTACCGTGCTGGTCCGGGTCACGGTGTCCAATATCCTGAGTTCCTTACTACAAAGATGCTTAATTGGATAAGGATCACGACGAGCACAAGGTCACTGATGACGATAATGAAAAGTTCAAGGCGTTCATCGAATAAGATGGATCAGCGCATAATAAGGGTACATGGGCTATACACGGGTAACGTCAACAACTAAAGCCGTCGCCTAACATTAGCCCCAGAGATGGCAATGAATAACGATGAATAACGATGACGTGAACTTGGTCCAGTTGTTTTTTTTGCTTCAAGTGGATGATGTGGATATCCCGCTTACGAAGACTTGTTGGGTGACTATTGTTGTAATACATAGACTCCAGAATGAACTTTCGGAGGCAAATCAGCGGGAATAAACCAGGAGAATTGACCTATGATAACTTACTTGACAAGGGCCAACAATTCCAATATATTGAAAGTGACGCTGTTTTATACCATTACTGGAGATTATCATCCGTGCTCCGGTACCTTGGCCTTCACAATAACGGCACTGGCTTCTCTGAGTGCACGGCGGTATGATATGAGTGGATTATCAGGCGGTTAACCTGAAAATCAGTTGATGCCACCTGTGAATTTCCCGGCGATTTTTAAACTTATGGCGCCGACATCGGATGGAAGGTAATGAACATCCCAAATCTGCGATGCTGATGTTTTCACTATATTCTTTCCAAAGATGCAAAGCTTGGAAAGAAAGCGTGAGCGATCCTAGGAGCTTGAGCAGGGAACTACTGTGTTTCAGTCAAGGGATCCGTCTACAATGATGAGTTATTCAATATTAATTTCAATATGTTTCTCGTTAAGATCAAGGGAAAAATTGAGTGCGACGGAGTGCCATCGGAATCATCGTGGCACCGGACTCTCTCACGAATACTAAACTAGCAGGGGGCATTCTCACCGACTTGATGGAGGTGCCAGCGAAGCACTTCGAAGCAAGTTGGTCCACTTTCGCCTTGTACGTGACTTCCGCCGCGTTATAGGATTGATTGACGCCGTGTTCGGCTTGGTGGATCTTCCGTTGATCTTCAGCATTGATGTGAAACGTACGAATTATGCTCTCCATGGACTTTTGATCGTACTTGTTTCTTGTTACCTTCAACCGAGCCGTGGCGTCAGCTTCAAGACGTAACTTAGCGTCGGCTTCGGTTTCAGCATTCCATTTTTGACGGAAATCGTGAATAATGGCTTCATCTCCGTTCATGTATGCGTTGTGGCTTTCAGCGGACGTCCGAGCAAACCGACCAAATGCCACGGGATTAGGAGCCTGACAGTTCTTGAGGATTTCATCCTTAAGAAACATCTGGTGGTTGAAATTGATTCTGTTCAATTCCGCCTTTTTCTCAGCCATGATCTTTTCGTGACCGGAAAGGAACTGGTCCACGGGGTGACGTTCGGCAGCCGAAAGCTCCCAGTGGAACTTGGCCAAGCATTCGTCAAACGCACTCGAATAGGGCCCCCCACTGGAGATCCCAATGATGTTAACGCTCGTGATGATGTTAGCGGACATGATCTGTTATTCCAAAGATTCCCGGCAACCAAATGTCTGTTTATATACTTGCGGCCTTGATATGCGCATCCGTGGTCGACTTTCCTACAACCCCTTAATTTCATTGCTTAATTCATATCATGCAGGAAGCTATTTTTAGTGGAGATTGATTCAATTTGCTTTTGTTGGGAAATTGCAGGCGAGTACTTGCTAAATGATGGGACCTTAAAAATAGCTTTAATGTATGGATGCGACCTTACGAAAGGTTTTGATTAGCTTCATTTTTTCAGGTCTAGCACAATTCCATATCCTCACCTCATCTAGTCTTTTACTTCTCGCTCTTGACGAAGCTCTCTGTGTCTCAGGCTCCTCAATATGAGCAAAAGAATCAAATCATTTGTGATTGTTGGTACCACCTGCTGTAAACGAATTGACGAAGCAATTGAATAATCTGTTGAGGCAAGCCAAAGTGTTAGAAGCTTTGAATGTGATGGCGAGCACGGAGGCTGAGTACATTCCTATAATATGAGCAAGAGTATGTCCTGACGGACCAACTCAATGCAGACGAAACTTCCAGAAATCCTCATGTAGGGGATGTTGAATGTGTTCTTCAGCACCACGTTCTGAACCGCATAACGTTGTATTTGGATGCTCCATATTAACACCAACTTGAGCTCTGTATGGATCTGTAACCTTGTCCAAAAAGTATGGAGAGGTTCTTCCCGAGATCTTATTTAGGTGCACCAATATTTTTCACGTGATTTCTCGCAGCCAAATCACCATTTCGGTCTGACGTTATTGTCGGAGTTCCGTTACTCGGACTGCACGTCGTGTCCTCTTCTCATCTCCTGAAAGCAGATGAAAAAACTTTCACATAGAGATCTTTACCTTTTGTTGATCCTTTCATTACTACACTTGTTTCCCTAAGCGCTAAGCGCTAGCTCAAAAACCCCTGTGTATTTCCACTACAGCATGGCTCCCTAACACGCTGACCGCAAGTCGGAGAACCAATTCGCTAACTTTTCCGGTTATTCAAAGAACCCTGGCAAAACCGATTCTTATCATCATGAAAGGAGTGATGGTTTTAGAGGCAATAGAACTCTCAGCCTATGCGCTAGCCTGTTCACGAAAAACGTCACGAACTGTGAGTGCTTGCGTTAATGGGAGGCTTGTATCTCATCAAATCGGTCAAAAGCAAAATTAAAAGGTCAATCGGAGTCTTGGCTTGCCATGTGACCCAGCACCCAATGTGTTTCTTACTATTACTCGATTCAGCCTATAGTTGAGCGCCTCGGCGGGTACATCTGGATACCTAAAAGAAGTAAAACTGAGTATTTTCCATTTACCTTCTGAAGGAATACCAGGCAATTCTTACCAGTCTGTTTGACTCAAACCGCCGAGATATCTGAGATTTGCATGAAGAAATTAGTAAGATCGCTCTCTACAACCCGGTCCAAATTCTTCAAGGTTGTCTTCACTAACTCCTCCAAAGGCATCTCGCTGAAGGAGCTGTCAAAACTAGCTCAAAGAAAGTATGACTGCAGCTAAGCATCATCAAGAACAACGTTCATCGCTCATGAACGAGGCTTCTCCATTTCTTTTGGAGACTTACCCAAATTGTGCACTTAACGAATCGTAGCACGTATAGCGATTACCAACCACCAAATCGGCAAATAACCTGTTGGCACTTCTACAGTATTGGTTTCCTCAGGCAGTTACCTGGTTAGATATAGCTTGACATATAACAAATATCTCACTAAGCCATACTGTAGAGTAAACATGTTGATATTATCTCTTCCACACTTTCATAAACCTTTTATGATAACGGACTATGTTCGATCCGCAACCAGCCATGCCCACTCTACACCCCATGCGAACCTTCGACAGTCGCCACGCCAGCGGTGGATGGCTGAGAAAACCAAAGGCTGCAAATGAGGCAGAAGGCGTCACTGAAAAAGTCGTAACAACTCCTAGCGGCACCACTGTTGCCGAAGCGTGGAAGCGGTGTCTCGGTCGGTGGATGTTAGCCGTGTGAATAGTTACGCCTTCGATGTACTATCAAATGTCTGATGTCATTGAATGAGTGTAAACTGCGAAAATGCAGATCGTCGGTTTTTCTACTATTATTTAATTCAAATTTCGTCACTATTGTAATGAAACGGCCTCGATCAAACTATATGATCAAGTATGCATTACTTTATCTTCTTTGATACTAATGTACTTTTAGATTACCGAGGCGTGCAATGAGCGCTTTATATTCTGCATTCAATCATAAGACTACGCAAGCGACTCAATTGTTGTTCACTTTTCAGTAATGTTAACTTTGTATAAAATATTGATTATCCATACGAAAATCGGAGGCACGCGATATTGCGCACGTGGTATATCACGTGCAGTCATCATTCGGCGACTCACTGGATAGCATTAACTTGCTCTGAGTATTACGTGTTGTACTTGATGTGTGCAAGTGGACTGCTACGAACTGAACGACAAGAGGATTATTCTCTGATTTCGATAACGCGCGAGGAGTTGAGCTTGAGGAATGATGTCATATAGTTGGTGTCCTGAGATAACCGTGGATCGTCTGTTGGGGCAAGCAATATCAAGTCAACGATTCGGTATCGGAAACGAATTTGCTCAGACAGGGGTTCATTTACAGTCAAACGTCTTCCCGGAGGTGATTTAATCTACATTGGCGTTGATTTCACTATGTCATTCAAAGTTAAAGCTGCCAGTTAGTTACTTGGTAACTCACCGGGAAGCTCATGCTCACTTATTGCGAGTAGCAGTTGTTAATATTCGTCGTCATCACCTTCGTTGACATATTCGTCATCATTACCTCCGCTAACATATTCGTCGTCATCACCTTCGTTGACATATCCGTCGTCATCACCTTCGTCATCGTGGCCGGCGTCTTCATAGCCGTCATCGGCTTTAATTCCGCGGTTGACCAACTCCTGGTTGTCGACCGTGCTTGTTGAAGAGCGTGACTCCAATATCCCCGAATCGCCGTGGACACAATAGTTTATATTGATGGTTTGATTCGTCACATAATTGAATGGTCGATCGTTAAGGGCAGAAAGAATCTCGCTGATGTGGGGCTGCTCAGCGAGACGTGGGTGGCTACCAACAGTCCGGGAATGTGAGCCAGACGCAACAGCTTGAACCGTACCGGGTGACAAACGCAGATTCTTGTTTTGAGGCTTCTTGTTTGAGGCAAAGTTGGTCGGGTGGCGTCTTTTACGAGGCTGATATTGTGGGCCACTCAAGATGGGTTCGTTGCGAAGAAGTTCCGGGATTCCAGTCAGCGGCAGAGCTTCCATTGATGGCGACGGCGGAGGAGGGGTGTCATTGTGGTGTTCAACGACGTGAGCACCAGGAGTTGACGCCAGCTTTTGCGACAAGCGATTCGCCTGGGTCTTAGCCAGCTTACCCTGCAGGTTTGGCGGGGACCGCTGTTGGGGCGGGGTCAACCGTTGGCCGTGGGACGATTGGTCAGGCGGTTGTTCCCCGTTACCGTTACCGTCGTTGGATTGCTCACGCGGTACTTGCGCAGACGACTCGTCAGGGGAGACTTCGTTTTGCGGTGTCTGCAGCAGCGAAGAAGTGCCAGTGTTCAATATGCACTCTTTGATGTATTCATCAAGATTTTGGCCAAAAAATTTCAACATGTCCGAGAGCGTCCAATGGTAGAATCTCTTAGCTTTGGACAAAATGGTCTGAACCTGGGCGACGGCGGTGTCCAGCGCCAAATCAATTTCGCCAGATAATACAATTGGCAAAACCACCTCAAATACTTCTCGTGAAGTAATTTTTGGTACCGCGTCCAACAAGGTCACTTCTACCAACCCCCGGACTTCTTCTGTACCAATATTCAAGATGCAGCGGATTGCTTCTTCCAACATATCGGTATATCTTTGCTTTAAAAGCAAACCCGGAATCGCCTGCATATTTTTATTGGTGGCGTGTTGCAATGATATATTCGTGAATCGTGAGTGTTTGAGGGCTTTCAACGTGAAATTAAGCAAAAGCTCGAGCTCTGGAGTTTCCATTTTCACAGTCAATTCCCGGTGAATGTGCGTCAAGATGCCCCCCGCATACCCTACAGGGTTTGTACTTCCGACCTCCAGCAAGTCCTTCAACCACTCCGCGTAGATTGCTTCCTTGTCCTCAATCAGTTTGGCTGCAGAGATCCGTTTACTGAAATCACCTGCCGATGGGTAAAATACCTTTGTACAGGCCTTTTTTTTGCCGGTCGGTTTCTTCTTGGTGGATTTGGGGGCTGCAATTTCCTCCACCTCGGAGTCATCGACACGATCCTCACGGGCGTCGCGAGCGGTATCTTCCTTGTCAACATTTGTTTCAGGGCCGGTGTCGGCAGCAGCTTTTTGGGCAGCTTTGGTGCTGTTGGTGCTACCACGCTTCGGAGCCATCCTCAAAGGTTGGTAGTGGAATATGCTTAATTCTTCGTGCGCGCGGTTAATATAGTGGGTGCAACAGTTTCCCTAAACTGCCTCGCCCCCCCTGAAACTCCTGATATTATATTAGTAATCACCGAATGAGGATGGAATTGACGGATCAAGGCAGAGTTTTCTCTTTTTTGATTTACTTCAGCGAGGAAATCCTGTGAACTACTATGCTGATTTCGATGTGGGGCGCTTCAATCGATATTCTTATGGTGTGGGCGGGGATATGCGCCTTATTCCCGGTGTTGAAACATGCATCATGTGATGCTATTCCCACCAAGGTAAACAATGTAACTGCGTAATGGTCACCATGCTACCACAAACTAATGCTGAGAACTGCACGCACGAACTTACCACCTCCGCTGACTGCCCGCTGATGACTATTGCTTCTCAATGGCATCGTTTGTATCTCACCCGCATGCTAAAGTGAAGAAACATTGAAAACCAACTGCAGACCCGAATTTTGAATAAATAACTATTCCGCTTTAGTAGGGCGAGGTGGCAGTAAGCCAACGAAGGTTTGCAATCGCTAGCTGCTGCCTGATATGAGTATACCTCGAACCAAGCAAGCCGTGTCCTTGTGGTCAATGGCGAGGAACGCGTAACGCCTCCATGGCGGTTGAGGAGTTGTACGAAGGTGGATTCATGCCACATACAAGCTCAATGTGGCTGGGGGGTAAAAATCCTGGTGGTGAGCTGGACACCTTCCGCGGCGCTGCCTTCGTGGGAGTTTTGGTGCTGCTTGCATTCAATGCCAATTTGTTTTCATAGTTCATGTTTCTTGATACGATGTTGTTGGGGTGTGCCGAGCCACCCCATGTCTGAAACACCCACGCGTCACCGTGACCGCTTCGGGTAGAATAGCGAAATATAAAGGAGATATCTTTTTCATCAATACAAATACTTCATTTTTCAAGTGGACGTTCGGGCGAAGCTGATCAGTTGTGACACTATTGTTCCATCACGAGATAGACGCTGTCATTCAGTCAAGTACCTCGCGAGACCACGATTGATTCATCATACTACACGTTGTTTCCATGACCATTCTCCTGAATACACATAGAAACTGCGGGGCTCCTGCCGTTAGTTCATTATTCGTTAGTATGTCTTTATTCTGACGGTCTCTTTTGGCTCTGTTTAGTGCCTCTGCTTGAAATAAAAATATATCCACTCAGCACATGCTTGAAGTCGATCATGCCCGCCTTCAGCACAACCAAGCGACCCAGGCGAGGCCATGCTGCCTCGGTCAACTCCCGTTGACAGCTCCTTGGCCAGGGCATTTCGTCGAACCACACCAATCGTTAACACTCCATATTTTTTTGCTTTGGAGCCGGTAACGGCTTTGCTGCCCTATGGGAGGCCAAATCGGTCTTAGATATGTCTATGGACATAATGAATATGAGGAATTATCAAGAGGGTTTCTTTTGCGAGATGACTTGAGCTAGATCTAGGTAAAAATGGTAGAGTTAAGCTAAGTTTAAGTAAAAGTAGTAAAATAAATATAGACGACAAATTCATTGAGTCTGGTTTGCTGACCCTTTAGTGAAATATAGCCGAAAATATATTGTCAAAGATACAGAGAAAGAGAAGCTTGAGGAATTGTCCGACGTGTTCGGATTTGGCACGGCGGAGTACTTCGCCGACGCCGATGCTGCACAACTCATCGCATGAAGAGCGTGAATGAAAATTTGCAGCCATACGCTACGCCATTGGCTAGCTGCACATGTATATATATATTCCGGGAAGGAATGTAATTTTCCTTACCGGTCTCCTATCAAGTATTTTGAGTATGTCAATTAATATGAATATTGACAAGGATTCTGTCAATGGGACAGAGTATAATGGTCAGTCACCTGCTCCCGAGCAGGTGCATCACTTGATGAAAGAGCTTGAGATTCTCCGGCAGTATATGGCGACTCATGTAGAGAGCGCCCAAGCTGCCATACAGGCGTTGAATCTCACGGGGGCCGGAAATATATGTATACAAATTCCCTTCAGTAGGATAATTTTGGCATGGTCTTTTTTTTTTTTGCACCCAATTGTGGTTAGGGCCAGGGTGTCGCCCGTCACAAATTAGATCAGTAATCGAAAGAGCGATTCCTCAACACGTATTATCATAACGATAAATGTGTTCTACTGCCTCGATGGAGTTATGTATCAACCGAAGCCGTCCGGTACTCGACGGCCTGAGCTGATGCCGGTTCGCTCCGAATCCGACCCCGCCTCACCATGGTAGCAGAAATCCAATAAATGCATCGCCGAGAGTCGAAAACGACGCACGCAAATGACTTCACGCGACTGCAGGCACGTGACGAACCCGGTGCATCCGTAATTTTTTATAAACAACCTTGCTTGAATATCATGCTGATGCCTGGACAGAGGTTCATTTACAGTCAATTGCTTTCCCAGAGGTGATATGTCTACAGTGGTCTTGATTTCACCATGTCATTAAGAGCTAAAAGTATCAATTTCTCACTTGGCACTTCATATGAGGCCTCAACCTATTGCACATGATTGTTGTTAATCATGTCGTCGCCATCACCTTATTCGTCACCGTCGCCATTGTCGTCGTCGTCGCTATCGATTATGAAAATCTCGTGGTCGGTCGAATCCTGGGTGGCACCTGAGAGTGCCGAGTATTCTGAGTTCACGATGCTATTGATGATGAACAAGTTGCGGACAGTCGTGTTGTGCGGCAAGCCACTGATGATGGGTTGAATCTGAACCGCAGGGTTCGAAGGACTTGCCACTGTGTCGATGCGGGGCTGCCCAACGGGACGCAGAGGGCCAGCAACAGGCGGCGGAGGCAGGTTGTTGTTTCGAGGCTTCTTGTTGGAGTCAGGGTCAGCGGGGTTGCGTCTTTTACGAGACAGCGGCGTGGATTCGAGTGGTGGCGATGGTTGCGGCGGCAGCGGAGAAGCGCCAGTGTTCAATATCGCCTTCTTGATGTCCTCGTCGAGATTGCCACCGAAAAGGTCCAACAGTTCCGAGGGCAGCATTTGGCATACTTCCTCGGCTTTGGACAAAATGGCTTGAACCTGGGCGATGGCGGTGTGCAGCGTCAAGTCAAAATCGCCCACCAATACAATTGGCAAGACAGCCAGAAGCAACGGTGGTGAAGTAATTTTTGATACCGCGTCCAACAAGGCCTTCTCAACCATGCCTCTGTAATTGTCTGCGACAATTCGAAAAATGTGCATGAACACGGTCGGCAACAACTTAGCGATGGCAGGGTCTCGCACCAAGAGCACACCCGCAAGCTCCCCCAACAAAGACACGATGTGAAGCAGGATGATAGCCTTGTGAAACCATGGGTGACGGGTGGCATCCAGCAAAAATTGAAGCAAAATTTTGGTCTTTTGCGTATCAATGTCCTCCTGCAACAATTGTTCGCAGATGTGTTGGATCACAAGTTCCATTGACTCGTTATCGAGTTTCCCATTTTTCGAGACATCATTCGCATATCGCTTGTACAACGCTCTCAATTCATCAGTCAGACCGGTAAAGCTGGAAATGCGATTGATATGCCACAGCGGCTGTTGGACAGCGTTCTTGCATCTGTTAATTTCTTCACTCATGGTTGAGGTTTCGAGAGACGGGTTATCCATGGAGGGAGTATCGTTAGGTATGGGGAGTATCGTCACCACTCTGTTATGGAAACCGTTCTCACCGTTCTCATTAGTGTTACCGTTGTAAGCATAGCCTCCTGCTTCGGCCGAAATTCGCGGGCGTTCTGCTTCGGCCCTGGATATTTGGCCAGGGCTGGCGTCAGTTTCGGGGCCACGTGTTTGCACAGGAACTTGCTGAGGGGTTTGGTCAGGGCTGGCGTCAGTATCGGGGCCACGAGCATCCACAGGGATTTGGTTAGGGCCGGCGTCAGTATCGGGGCCACGAGCATCCACAGGGATTTGCTCAGGGACCTGCCGAGGGATTTGCACAGGGATTTGGTCAGGGCTGGCTTCAGTATCGGGGCCACGAGCGTCCACAGGGATTTGGTCAGGGCCGGCGTCAGTATCGGGGCCACGAGCATCCACAGGGATTTGGTCAGGGACCTGCCGAGGGATTTGCACGGGGATTTGGTCAGGGCTGGCGTCAGTATCGGGGCCATGAGCATCCACAGGGATTTGGTCAGGGACCTGCCGAGGGATTTGCACAGGGTTTTGCGCAGGGATTTGGTCAGGGCTGGCTTCAGTATCGGGGCCACGAGCATCCACAGGGATTTGGTCAGGGCTGGCGTCAGTATCGGGGCCAGGGTTTGGTTCTGGGCCAACTAGGCGGCATGCTTCGGCGCCAGCTTTGGCACCGGCTTTGGCACCGGCTTTGGCACCGGCTTTGGCACCGGCTTTGGCACCGGCTTTGGCACCAGCTTTGCGGCCAGCTTTGGCACCAGCCTTGCGGCCAGCTTTGGCACCAGCTTTGGCACCAGCTTTGGCACCGACTTTGCGGCCAGCTTTGCGGCCAGCTTTGGCACCGGCATTGGCACCGGCTTTAGCGGCCGCTTCCGTGACGTCATTGGAGACTGGCGTAAGCGGGGGCATCTCTGGAAATCAGTGATGGAACGCGTTTGTGGAATTATCTGTGGGCGCGGCAGCGGCGGCGCAGCGGTGTATTTATACACGAGAGCTGCGCCTGGGAAAAAAGGTCGAACCGTCTAGTGTGCAATGCTAGAGAGGTGATATTGTGAACCCCTCACTGACTTCGATCTTGTGGGGTTTGATTAATGTTGTTATAGTGTGGGATGGGGTGCCGGCTTAGTTCAGGGGTTAGTATATGCATCACACGATGCTACTGCCTCTAAGGTAAGCACTTGTTTTTCTGCCGAATCATACGGCGAAGGTCACCATGGCACCACCATGGTGAGGGCCCCACGCACCAAATTGATCTCGATATCACCTCCGCCAGCTGCCCGCTGATGACAACTACTGCTCAAACGCATCGTTTTCGTTTCGCCCGCATGTTATAGTGAATAAACATCTGCTTCGAAAAGCAACGTCGGAACCAGAATTTGACTAGAATACCATTTTGCCACAATGGAGCGAGGCCGCCGGAAGCCAACGAAGCTCTGCGATTGATAGTTGCTGCCTGATATGAGTATACCTCGAACCAAGCAAGCCGTGTCCTTGTGGTCAAGGGCGAGGAGCGCGTAACGCCTCCTTGGCGGTAGAAGAGTTGTACAAAGGTGAATTCATGCCACATACAAGCTCAATGTGGCTGGGGGGTAAAAAGCCTGGTGGTGAGCTGGACACCTTCCGCGGCGCTGCCTTCGTGGGAGTTTTGGTGCTGCTTGCATTCAATGCCAATTTGTTTTCAGAGTTCATGTTTCTCAGCATGTTGTTGTTGTTGTTGTTGTTGTTGTTGTTGTTGTTGCTGTTGTGAAACACACCCCATGTCTGAAACACACGTTGCTCGGGTGCAAGTGAGGTATATGAGGAGAATGAATTACCCAACATTGCACTTATTTTGCTTTCCGAGGCGATGTTCGGATGAAGCTGCTCTGTTGTTACACTGCTGTTCCACCACGAGATAGAGCTGGGCTTCTTTCGTTAGTTCAACTTCACTTGTGTTATCCTATAGCCCCTCTTGGCTCCGCCCAGTGCCCTCTACTTGACATCAGCTCATATCCATTCAGAAGTTGATCATGCCCGCCTTCAGCACAACCAAGCGACCCAGACGAGGCCATGCTGCCTCGGTCAATGCCCACTGACAGCTCCTTGGCCAGGGCGTTTCGTGGAAGCACACTAATCGCTCAGAATCCGCGTCTTCTGGGGCCAGCTACAGAAACCCCGCGTTGTTGTCCTGTAGGAGGTTATAGTGGTTTGTATTAGACGTGTCTTTGACATCGAGAGATTATCAAAAGGGTTTGCGACATTTGTGTAAAAATGGTGGAATATGAATGAGTTAAGCTGAGTATAAGTATTAAACTATAATAAAATCGACAAATTCAATAAGTCACTACAAAAGTTTGCTGTTTCTCTTGTGAGGACAGCCGAAGATAGTATACAAATTCCCTTCATTGTTCTAATGAATCATATTTTTGCACCCAGTTGTGAGAAGAGCCACAATGTCTCTCGTCAAGTGTCTGGTTGGTTCTAGCAGCATGATTGTGTTCTACCGCTTCGGTTCGCTCCGAATCCGACCCCGCCTCACCATGGTAGCAGAAATCCAATAAATGCATCGCCGAGAGTCGAAAACGACGCACGCAAATGACTTCACGCGACTGCAGGCACGTGACGAACCCGGTGCATCCGTAATTTTTTATAAACAACCTTGCTTGAATATCATGCTGATGCCTGGACAGAGGTTCATTTACAGTCAATTGCTTTCCCAGAGGTGATATGTCTACAGTGGTCTTGATTTCACCATGTCATTAAGAGCTAAAAGTATCAATTTCTCACTTGGCACTTCATATGAGGCCTCAACCTATTGCACAAGATTGTTGTTAATCATGTCGTCGCCATCACCTTATTCGTCACCGTCGCCATTGTCGTCGTCGTCGCTATCGATTATGAAAATCTCGTGGTCGGTCGAATCCTGGGTGGCACCTGAGAGTGCCCAAGAGTTCAGGGTACTGATGTTGGCGATGTTACGATCATCGAAGGTCATGTTTTGCGGCAAACCACTAATGGTGGGTCGATTCTGAACCGCAGGGTTCGAAGGACTTGCCACTGTGTCGATGCGGGGCTGCCCAACGGGACGCAGAGGGCCAGCAACAGGCGGCGGAGGCAGGTTGTTGTTTCGAGGCTTCTTGTTGGAGTCAGGGTCAGCGGGGTTGCGTCTTTTACGAGACAGCAGCGTGGATTCGAGTGGTGGCGATGGTTGCGGCGGCAGCGGAGAAGCGCCAGTGTTCAATATCGCCTTCTTGATGTCCTCGTCGAGATTGCCACCGAAAAGGTCCAACAGTTCCGAGGGCAGCATTTGGCATACTTCCTCGGCTTTGGACAAAATGGCTTGAACCTGGGCGATGGCGGTGTCCTGTGCCAAATCAAGTTCGTTCGACAATACAATCGGCAAGACAGCCAGAAACAACGGTGGTGAAGTAATATCTGGTACCGCGTCCAAAAAGGCCTCTTCAACCATGCCTCTGTAATCGTCTGTAACAAACGTCAAGAGGCAGCGGATTGCTTCCGATGACAAGAGGATAGATTTTTGCTGCAAAAGCAAGCCTGGAAACTCCTGTAATATGTTGCTGTACCTCAATATGGATTCAGAAAATATGTGTTCGGTGACTTTCAACATGAAATTAAGCAAATAATCAACCTCTGGCTTTTCCATCTTTCTCATCAATTCCTTTTGAATGTGCTGCAAGATGGCTGCCACAGACCCCGGAGCGATACGTACCTTTGGCGTGATGGCGTTCGTCCATTCCTCATAGATTGCTTTCTTTTCCTCAATCAGATCGGCTCTGGAAAGCGGCACGAGATATTTTTTGGCAGTTAAGGTAAATCTCTTTTGGGAGCCCGAATACTTGGATTTGGACACATTGCCAATGGATTTCTCCTTAACGATTTCAGGGGTTTCGATTTCATCCACAGCGGGGTCATCGGCATTACCCTTACCGTCGTCGCTGGTGGTACCATTGTCATGGCCAACGCCAGCGTTGGTGGCGTTCTTGGCGCCAAGCTTCGGCTTGACCATCCTTGAAGGTTGGTAGTGGAAGATGTGGGAAACGATTGTTCGTGCGCGCAGTTAATATAGTGGGTGCAACAGTTTCCCTGAACTAACTCGCCCCCCCCTGAAACTCCTGATATTATATTAGTAATCACCGAATGAGGATGGAATTGACGGATCAAGGCAGAGTTTTCTCTTTTTTGATTTACTTCAGCGAGGAAATCCTGTGAACTACTATACTGACTTCGATGTGGGGCGCTTCAATCGATATTCTTATGGTGTGGCCGGGGATATGCGCCTTATTCCCGGTGTTGAAACATGCATCATGTGATGCTATTCCCACCAAGGTAAACAATGTAACTGCGTAATGGTTACCATGCTACCACAAATTAATGCTGAGGACTCTACGCACGAACTTAACACCTCCGCTGACTGCTCGTTGTTGACTATGGCTGCTCAATTGCATCGTTCTTGTTTCACCCGCATCTCATAGTGAATAAACATCTGCCTCAAAAAGCAACGTCGGACCCAGAAATACCATCTTACCTCAATGGAGCGAGGCTGCCGGAAGCCATCGAAGCACTGCGATTGCTAGCTGCTGCCTGATATGAGTATACTTCGAACCATACAAGCTCAATGTGGCGGGGGGGGGGAAGAATCCTAGTGGTGAGCTGGACACCTTCCGCGGCGCTGCCTTCGTGGGAGTTTTGGTGCTGCTTGCATTCAACACCGATTTGCTCTCAAAGTTCATATTGATGATGATGATGATTTTGTTGTTGTTGATGTTGTGAAGCACACCCCATGTCTGAAACACACCTTGCTCCACATGAGTAATCGCTCGGGTGCATGTGAGGTGTATAAGGAGAATGAATCTTCCAACATTGCAATTATTTTGCATTTCGAGGCGATGTTCGGATGAAGCTGCTCTGTTGTTACACTGCTGTTCCACCACGAGATAGAGCTGGGCTTCTTTCGTTAGTTCAACTTCACTTGTGTTATCCTATAGCCCCTCTTGGCTCCGCCCTGTGCCCTCTACTTGACATCAGCTCATATCCATTCAGAAGTTGATCATGTCCGCCTTCAGCACAACCAAGCGACCCAGACGAGGCCATGCTGCCTCGGTCAACGCCTGTTGACAACTCCTTGGCCAGGGCATTTTGTCGAACCGCACCAATCGTTATTTCTCCATGTATTTTTGTTTTTAAGCTGGTAACGGCTTTGCTGCCCTATGGGAGTCCAAAGCGATTTGTCTTAGACGTGTCCTTGACATTGAGAGATTACTAGAAGGGTTTCTTTTCCGAGATGAGTGAAGCGACATTTTACTAAAGAATGGTAGAGTTAAGCTAAGTTTGAGTAAAAGTAGTAAAATAAATATAGACGACAAATTCATTGAGTCTGGTTTGCTGACCCTTTAGTGAAATACAGCCGAAAATATATGTATACAAATTCCCTTCAGTAGGATAATTTTGGCATGGTCTTTTTTTTTTTTGCACCCAATTGTGGTTAGGGCCAGGGTGTCACCCGTCTCGTATTAGATCAGTAATCGAAAGAGCGATTCCTCAACACGTATTATCATAACGATAAATGTGTTCTACTGCCTCGATGGAGTTATATATCAACCGAAGCCGTCCGGTACTCGACGGCCTGAGCTGATGCCGGTTCGCTCCGAATCCGACCCCGCCTCACCATGGTAGCAGAAATCCAATAAATGCATCGCCGAGAGTCGAAAACGACGCACGCAAATGACTTCACGCGACTGCAGGCACGTGACGAACCCGGTGCATCCGTAATTTTTTATAAACAACCTTGCTTGAATATCATGCTGATGCCTGGACAGAGGTTCATTTACAGTCAATTGCTTTCCCAGAGGTGATATGTCTACAGTGGTATTGAAAACATTACGTAACTGAGAGTTAAAATCACTAATTATTCACTTGGCACCTCACTGGAGGCCCCTACCTTTTGCACGTGGCGATCATCAATTGTGCTGATAAGCCTCATATTCGTCATCATCAACGGTGCTTGAAATATTTGATGCTTCTGAATCCGTCGCCGTCAACCTCGTCGCTGCCATACTCGTCGCTGTCATACTCGTTGCTGTCATACTCGTCGTCAAAAAACTTGATGTCAACGCTTTCGTGGCCAGAGTCGTCGTGGTGGACGTCGTCGTGGCCAGCGTCTTCGTGACCATCATCGGCGCTAATTTCGCGGTCGGCTAACTCTTCGTTGTCGACCGTGGATGCTGAAGAGTTTGCCTCCAGTATCCCCGAATCGCCGTGGCCACAATAGTAAAAATTTAAACTTATCGGCCCATAAAAGAAGAATGGTCGATCTTTAACAAGAGCAAGAATCTCGCTGATGTGGGGCTGCCCAGCGAGACGTTGGTGGCTAGCAACAGGTCGGGCGTGTGGGACGGACGCAGCAGCCCTTGGCATTCTGGATGACACACGCAGATTCTTGTTTTGAGGCTTCTTGTTCGAGGCAAAGTTGGTCGGGTGGCGTCTTTTACGAGGCTGATATTGTGGGCCACATAAGATGGGTTCGTTGCGAAGAAGTTCCGGGATTCCAGTCAGCGGCAGAGCTTCCATTGATGGCGACGGCGGAGGAGGGGTGTCATTGTGGTGTTCAACGACGTGAGCACCAGGAGCTGATGCCAGCTTTTGCGACAAGCGATTCGCCTGGGTCTTAGCCAGCTTACCCTGCAGGTTTGGCGGGAACCGCTGTTGGGGCGGGGTCAACGGTTGGCCATGGGGCGATTGGTCAGGCAGTTGTGTACCAGAATCATCATCGTCGTCGTCGGACGATTGCTCACGCGGTGCCAGCGAGGACGACTCGTCAGAGAAGATTTCGTTTTGTGGTGTCTGCTGCAGCGAAGAAGCAGCTAATATCGCCTTCTTGACGTCCTCGTCGAAATTTTTACCGTATAAGTCCAACGCTTCCAAGAGCCTGATAACGCCCAATTTCTCGGCGTTGAGCAAAACAGACTTAATCTGGGTGATAGTGCCGTGCCTTGTCAAATCAAGTTTGCCCAACAATACAATCGGCAAGACCTCCCTCATAATATACACGATTTCTGTCGTCTGCATCTCGTTCATAATCGCCCTTTTAACATAGAAGTGGACATGGTTGGAAGTGATATCCAAGAGGCGCACGATTGCCTCCGTCAACAGTTTTCTATTGTTATGGTTCTGCTTAAAGAGCACGGCCGGAAATCTCACTAACAACATTGTGGTGCTAGGCACGTAGTCGGCATTGTAAAACCGCGGGTGTTTGGTGGCCTCCAACCAAAATTGAAGCACAGCTTCGACGTTGTCGTATTCAAGATTCTTTTGCAATTCCAGACTTGCGTGTTCAATGATGATCTCCATGGACCCATCACCAAGCATTGTGTTTTTTAGCGTCTCCTGGGCCCATTGCTGGTAGATAGGTATCTTCTCCGCAAGCGTCCCGTCGAAGTTGGAAAGTAATTCGTCATATTGCTGCGGCGTGAGTATGCTGCGGCTCAATCTGTTGGACTTGAGGGCATTGGGGGTCGCTGGCACTTTTGCGGTATTGGGGAAGTCAATCTCCTCCTCGTCGGTGTTGTTGACGATGTACTTAACGTCGTCACTAGTGGTACCATTGTCGTCACTGCCAGATTCACCGCCAGCTGCAACACTAGTTGCAACACCAGCTGCACCACCAGCTGCACCACCAGATTCAACACCAACCTTAACACCAGCTTCACCGCCGTCATCGGCGACAGTCGTCATTTCGGGAATTATTGAAGTTGTCAGTGGTAGATTTTTGATATGAATACTCGTGCGCGCAGTTAATATGGTGGGTGCCACAGTTTCCCTGAACTGCCTCACCCCCCCCTTAAAACTACATTAATAATCACCGATTGAGGAAGGAAAAGACGGGTCATGCAAATTTGATACGACTTGGGTGAAGCCTGGTGGTAAGCTGGACACGTTCCGCGGTGCTGCCTTTGGAGGGATTTTGGTGCTGCTTGTATTCAATACTAATTTGTTTTCAAAATTCATGTTCCTCAGTATGTTGTGGATTTTGTTGTTGTTGATGATGTCCGGGTGGTATGACCTGTGCTGCACCCCATCAAACACCACCCCCTATCTGAGACGCACACACGACACTCTACGAGTTTCCTTAAGTAGAAATGAAGAATATACGGAAAAAATCTCGAACTAAATTCCAAATACTTTTCACAGATATCCGAAAGTATTTGTTATTTTCTTACTTATCTGGAAAGACAATTTCAAATTTGTCATCAGTACCTCTATTTTTTTTTTGGTGCGTATGGCTCGCTTACTACCACTGCTCTGCAACTGCGAATTTGCAGCCAAAAAAAAAAAAGGCCCGCACCCCACCACACCGGCGTTATGATTCGGTATTGTTGATAGACAACCAAAACCGTGGCTATCTCAGTTGAAGTCCACTTATACCTAGAGGTTTCTCGGTGATTAATTCAACACTTTCTCTGAATATATTGTGATCATACAATAAATACCCGTCATATTTCGATTCTTCGCGGCGTTAAGACTCAATGTAATTTTCAATTTCATCTGTAGTCTCATTGATATCGTTATTGTCGTCCTGAATAGATTAAAATCGTCTTGTGCAACGGACATAGCACCGACGCTGTCAATATTATTATTCGAGAGGCATGGAAAGCTCGGCACTCCTATAATACTGGCAATAATAACCTTTCTCGGATCTAGACTACAAGCATCGATATTCGCCTCAAAGGTCTTTTCATCACCAATCGCAACGATTCCTTGAAAGGGAATTGTTTTCAAATCAACCGGTGAAAATTACGCAGTGCGCTGAACTGGCATTCGATTTTCACCGGAGTTGCTACCAACATGGTCGTGACAACCAACGGGGGTTCACCACAGCCCCCATGACCTAGTAGCAAGTGGAATCATAGCTACCAACAGTCTCGTTGATTCCCGCCTCTTCGTTGCTGGTATTGTCGACAACCGACCATAAGGGCGACCATGACATCGTCAGCGCAAACAAATACCTGTGGTTGATCATATGTCCATTTAGTACTGTCAAAATCTAACTAGTAGCCACGTAAATGATGCCTTGTTGCTTCAAGTTTATAAACACCAACTGCGGTAACAGATCAACAATCAAAAGAGTTAACCTTTCGAAGTCTCACAAAGCCAGCGAAGCATTGGCAGCAGTAAACTTTCCACGTTGATAATCCACGTCGCCAGTCATCTCAATAGAGATTTCGAAAGGATCGATTAGTTCTGTTTCAGGAGCAGCTTCGATGAGAGCATAGAAGGTAGAACTCCCAAGAATGGAGAAGCCGTGGTTCAATGAACTGGAGTCAAATAACTAAGTTATTCAGTTTATATTTTGAGGAACTGTTGGATGGCAAGACTCGATTATTGACTTTATGCCACGTTTGTCCCATTAGGGGTTTACCCAAGAATAAAGATGAGAAAAATTCTTGATGAATTGCACTGACTCCAATGATATCCCCAGGTCTGTCAACTTTCCGTCGATTAGGAATACGTGACTCCATATTGTCGTCTAAACAGTTGCCTCTCTGAAATTACGTGCACTCTAGAAAAGAAAGTGAAATATTATGGACACATAGTAAAAAGTTCATAGAGAATACGAGACTTAGCATATTTGATAAATGAATTTGTATGAAATTCTTGTGTAATGCACTTGTGCATCTGAATGTCGGCCTACCACTCTTTGTTCGATTTTATTCCAACGGCAGAGGGGTTGTAAGTGACTCCAGGATATCCCGGGGATTTGAAGATTTGATAGCACACCCCTTGAAAACACTGACGCCATAGTAATGCTCTCTGAAAACTACTTTTTTGTCCTTTGGTTAAATTAGCGATTATATGCCAATAACCTTTGCTTCTTGAACATGACCACGGAAAAGTGTTCCCATTTATCCAAATGAGAGCGCTACACCCTCATTTTGGTTCGAAAATTGACAGGTGATGCCAGCATCGTGTAAGTTGTATTCGAGTACGATTCGTCATCAATTATCTAGGTATAAGTACCACGCGGCGTCGTTCACGTTTGCACCCATGAACATTGTCCCTAAGCGATATATGCAAATACGTTGTTGTCTATAGCGAATGCTCTCTCCTGATGACGTCGACATATTCGTTGGACTAGAAAATAACACAACCCCGGCATATCCATCGGACTCAAGATCAAATCGTTGATGTCCAATAATAGGCGTTGGCGATCTTGCCATGCATAAAGATAAACGGTGACTCCTTGACATGATTCGGTATCAGAGGTAGCATCACGCAGTGTATGTTAAACAATACGAAGTAAGGAAAATCAAGGAATCAAAAGTTTGTCGTAACGCGATTACATATGTCAAGGCTTCTTCAAACGTCGTTTGTCGGATGTGAAATTGTTGCCGTCTTTAAGCATTTCCTCGCCTCAATTGAACGCATCTCATTTTGTGCGCGATTTAAAACAAATTTAATTGGTTGGTACACTGAAAAATAGCTCTGCGAGTAGTAGCGAATCTCTGAGAAAGACAATGGTGTCTCCGCTAATGAGCGATCGAGAAAATCAATCTGTTTTTTTATTTTATTTAATAGTGAACAGACGGTATGCATCAATTTCTGTAGAAATTCTAATATCACTAGTCGATTTATCGATGTTGCTTTGATTATTTCGCTATCGCGCTATAAATACTGCATTTGATAAATTTATATGCAGTCAAATATACAATGAGTCTTGCGGCACAATTTGTAAATAAACAAAGAACTAATCTGAATTATTTGTATGCTGAAGATGTTACTCTCTAGCAACTAGACGATGCTCAAAGCATTGGTTTTTAAACCTAGTTCTGGAGCTATGGTACTGGTATCATACTCTGTTGGTTTTGTGTAATGTTCCGCGGGTCGCAGATCACTAGCAACTCCCCTTTTCAACCACGCTACTTTGAAGTTTCTGACAGATAGCAGTACAATGCCTCCAGCAATCAATTCCTCTGGTAACAGAGTTCACAAACGAAGAAGACCTCTCAATAGTGGCGGGACCGCAACCACTAAGCCTCAGGGACGCGATAATGCAGGGGAGGTTGACCCCCCACGCATTATGCCGCCGACGCCGTTTGAAAGAGTTTCGAAAAGAAAACACCCAAATTCCACATCGCCAATCAAAAAGAATACATCTGTTGGTGGAAATGGGGATGTGAGCAAAACCACAAACAACCTGAAGCTCAACCATCGTCATGAAGGGTTGAATTCATCACATGGACTGAAGGCAAACTCACTGTTGAATGCCACACACGTTACACAGCCGGTAAAACGACGGTCAACGCCGAGACTGCAATTATCAACCGAGGAAATCGTTGAAAGGGAATTGAAAAAACGACCTTTGAGAATAAAAACGGTGCTTCGGACTAATCTCACTAACAATTATCTCATCAAAACGTTCCCTGATTTACCATTGTCGAAGGTGGTGGACTACATCAAACGGCACCACCCTAATTGTGAGTTTACCCCTGGTGAGAAAGAATTACTCGAAAAATTCTTTGAGCGGGACGAATTGAATGGTCCTATGGGAGAAGAAGTTTTTGGCCACTTCCCTATACGAAGCAAGAAATACATCTGTAACATGTACGGGAGGCTCCAATATTGCAATATGGAACGGTTCTTACATTCTCGCTTACAAATTGTGTCGCTGGCACTGAAAGTGCCTAGAAAATCGCAACCCATAAGAGAACCTTTCACCGACGCCTATGATCCCAAAAATATCATGAGTGATACGAGAGTCCCCCTTCACGGCCGCCAGTTTTACTTGCCGGAACTCTATACCAACCAAAATCTTCCCGCCAATCCCAGATACCCAGAACCAGATAGCGGTTTCGATTCAAGGTGTCCCGTTGGAACCGATGTCCCCAACATTGACGATCTGGCTGTGAAGACCTGCAAAAACTCCCCAAAGTGGTTCACCTTACTATCGGAAAATTTTTCGCGTTCTTTCGGTGAAAGCAGTATGAAATATTCCCCAGTGATTATGTTGCGATTTTATTTTTTCCCTGGTCATTGTGCAAGTTATACAATTTGCAACCCGCGTGGCGGATATTTTGACCCAATCATTCGGATTGGAAAATTTTGGCAAGTCTGTTACTCATTATATTTCTCTTACCTGGCTCGTCTTCAAAGTATAATTTTCCAGCTTCAAGAAGACTTAATTGCCGCATGGAACAATGACGACGCTTCTGAAATCCTTTTTCTTGTTGATAAGTGGAACCTTCTCATGTTGTTCCTCAGTCCTAACCGACAAGCTGTGGAAAATATCGTGAATAATAACGAGATCGATATAAACCAAACGTGGCGCATGCAGCTTTCAGAAAATGGGGTCAAGCTAAAATCAGTAACACTCCAGGATTTAGCCTTAGGCATCTGGGTTGACGAAATCATGGAAAAATCAATTCCTCATACATTATTTCCGAAGAGTGAACAGGTTCGATCTCCGCAGTTTCTGCTTCCACCTAATTTTTATGTTCGCTCGAGACAACGTATTCGGGAACAAAAAACATTACTGAGACTCGCTGTGCACTTGATACTTGATAACGCATACGCTCGAATTGTATCTCCTGAAAATTCTACCCTTCGGAAATACACAACTGGCACCCCTGAAGTGTTTGGCGAGCTATTATTCCCATTCGTCTCCGAAATTTTTACTATTCTTCAAATAAAACCCGACCAATTGTTTTACGACCTAGGAATGGCTCTTGGTTTGATTTGCCATCAATTGTGGCTTGAATTCGGAGTAAAGTCGGGTGGGTGTGAAATAAGAAAAGATCTTCTGCCTATAACTATGGCTTTAGATAGGTGGTTGACCAACCACCTTTTGATGCTTGGTATCCAGCCACAGCAAATAAACTTTGAACTTGGGAAGCTGTTTGTGGGCAATCAAAAAGTGGAGAATGAACTTAAGCACTGCAGTGTGGTTCTTGTACCCAACAAATTGTTTGACCTGAAAACTAACGATGGTGTGAAGGACTTGTTGAATTGTTTGCGAGACGGGTCCAAAGTCATCTCCTTATGCGATATATACAGAGATGAAGATTTGAAAGAATTGACATTCAACAGAATCACCGTGCGAAAAGAACTAAGCCAACCGGTACTGGTATCGTGGTCTGGCCTGCGACAAGATTATTACATTATGACGGTTCATCGAGAAAATTGAAGACAGTGCCACACACATTAACTTCGAGACTAGGAACTAATAGTTGCAGGAGTGGTTACTGGCATCTTCTCACATCTATACCTTTTTAAAATACTCACATATCTATCAGATGAAATTTGATTATACAAATCAGTTTCAGCACCCATCGAAAGGGTGGCTTTGCGTGAGGTTCATGTTGTGTGTATGAATATAAGTCCCTGCAATTTGCTCAATGTTTACATCTAATGACAAAAGTGACGAAGGCATTCTTCGCAAATGGCAAAATGAAGGTACATTTCAGTGGCTACAACGTAGAGTTTCGAGTTTATATAATGATCATAGGTAAGCATATTCTGGACAGGGACCGTTATTGTCCTGACATTCAAAGCAACTCATGAATTATGGTACCATGTATAGTAAAGCGTACAAAGTAGACCTAATTTGTTTCACTAAAGCTGCCTGATAATTTTATTCGATTGCCAAAATCAAGCGAGTACCGATCTACGATTGTATACCGAGTTCGATTCCATGAAAGCCCAACTGAAGGTTTTTCATTAATTGCTTTGCCCCTAAAGTGATGTCTCGCATCGATATCTATTCAATATTCACTGAACTTCTACATCTAAATTGAGAAGCCGAGCACGAGGTTGAAAACATGATGAATCTCTGGTTGTTTGCTATTTCAATGACTCTACAGCGGTTGGCTTTAATGATAAGAAACGCCCCCTAGTCAATTCCTATGTGTTGGGATTTAGGTCCCTGACCTGTCTCCAGTTGAGACGTGTTGCTGTTAACTGAGTCAGTCATTGTTGTCTTATCTACACAATACGGTCGACTATAACCAAGCTTCCAGGAATAGGGGTAAAGAGAAAGCTAGTTAAAGTGTCGAGTTGATTGGATGTAGTAAGAGATGTGTTCTTTTCTATAAACCGCGCGACGTTCATATAGCTCGTCGCGCTCTTGTGCAGTCTAGCCTCTCACTTGACCGGACGGCACACCGAAATGGATGTGATTACCTAAACAACTGGTGGATCACATCAGCGGTCCGCCAACACTATGTTAATAATCCTTTGCTTCACTAATCTGGTACAATCGTCAATCTAAAGTAATTTCCATTAAACTATGGCAGCTGACAATATGATTCAACAATTTCAGGACATTTTTCATTGTTAACAATTTTCCAACAGCCAGACAACTAACATCAAGTAAAAATCAATGTCAATCTTTCAACCCAAAGGGACAGTGATGTAGACGGCTACATGATATGGGAGCGTTAAGGTCATACTCAACGTAAAAGTATCTTCAATCACATCAAAAGCAGCAGTAGCGATAAACTTCTGAATCAGTCTTACTAAGGCAAATCGATACAAGTGGGGCAAAAGCATGAGTTTGAAATAGTTGCAACCTCCGTACAATATGGCGAGAAAACTGCCCCACTTTGTGAATCTCAAAGGCTTAAGATTAGCGGTGATGCTGAATAAGAAAATTAAAGTACGGTTGTAATCCTACAAGTGCAAGACCTTTCTGGAATTCTAAAATTAAGGATCATTAACTTTGAAGAAGATGTTACTTTCAAATCAATCATTTTATAGTATTGATCAACTAAAGTCTTTACGTGATAGCCCCAAACCAAAAGAAAATGAATATATCTTTCAACATCAAGAGCGAATCACTCACTTGTTGTAGTGCAAAATAATGTCGAACCATTGGCGCTTACGCACTTCATCTGGAGGTAAAACGACATTACCGTAGGTGAGGGGCGAGAAGAAGTAGAAGCACCAAATAACGGGGATGATAAGAAGGGCCAGCACCAAAAGGTTCTTCTTCCGGCGCAAACCCATATGGGTGCCTCTAAGCGTCAGGTTGTTGCTTGTAAGGAACTCCACTAAACCACCCGCGAACATTGCAGCAATGACATGAGCGGGAAGATAATGGTGCAAAAACTTTTGCCGGTGCATCAAGAAGAACGGGAAGTAATGGCAGCCCCAAGCAATGAACAAAAAGCCAAGTGTATGGTAAAGACGCAGTCTTGCTTGATTAGTGAGGATGAAGACATGGCGACGACGAGTAACCAAGTCAGCAAACACAAGTCCCACAAACACCGCCAATAATGCCGTTTGTACCCAGAAACCGATAATGTTACCGACGAAGAAGATTTGGCGCTTGTTTTCGTTGTCATTCCAGAACAGCACCCCCGATAAGGCAAGGGGCCATGCGTCTGGTTGCGAGGCGTACGGGTGTTCACTGCTCAATTGATTGTTGTGGCGGAACATAAGCCCCTGCAATTCCCACCATTTTTTCAAAAATGGGATGTGCTTAACTGGACGAGGCTCATGAACGTTACGAGGGTCGTCTTCACTCATGCCGACAATTTCGTCAATCGTCCACAAGTTGTTGCTCTCAGCCACCTTTTTGTTGCCCGAAACTTCCTGATGGCCAAACCCCCACTCTTGAGGAAGTACCTCGTCATCGTGAGTCCACATCGCCACCACGGTGGCCACGTGCATCACTTTGATTTGCAGGGTTTTAGTCTTGATTTGTTTCCTCGCTTTGTGGTCCTTCCCACCAAAACGGAAACGGAATAAGGTGTCGTTGTAAAGGCGACCACCGACAGCGACGTCGTCGTTGAAACCAACAGTAAACTCCTCATTGGTCAGCAAAAGCGGCAGAGCCACGTCGTGGGTTAACATGTAGCCACCAGTACCCACATGGCGCAAACGGAATTGGTCTTGGGTGAACACCCCGTCGCCCTCTTTGTCACCTTGAGGAGCTTCCACGATCCAAAGGTTATTTTCATCGTCAGCGGCGTCACCGGTGAAATGCTGACCGGGCTTAACAGCGGTGACTTGCTGGGTGTGTGAGGACACCCGACCGTCTTCGTACCGTAAAGGGTACACGAAGTCATGGGAGTGCAAAAACGCTCCCGTGTCCTGGTGCTTAATGGTAATGGTATCACCGTATTGGAGCAGCTTGGCAATGACGTCCAACTCCGATTCTTCAAGCGTCTCCTTAAATTCCAGCAGCATGAAGTTATTACCAGGACCCAGTTTGGTGAGAATGGCAAAGTGGAGGTAAAACCAGAACAAGTAGAGACAGAAGGGGACAATGATCAATGCCCACGCGCGGGCGGCAAAATGATAAGTGAACTGAACCATGGAGAGGCCACGGTCAGCATCTAAGAGAATCCAAAGTTCGTAGGCAATGCCGACGCCAATCGCCGCGTAGGTAAACACCCCCACGTACTTGGTGGAGATGACCAACAGAAGCGAGATGCCGGTGGCGTAAAGCCAGAACCACCACTTCACCAGCCACGGCTGAGTGCGCACCTTAGAGTAATTGGCGTAACAATACATCGTCAACGTCACTGCCAAGATAAGGGTGGCATCCAACAAAATGAGTCTCAGATCGTTGATTTGGGCGTTGTCAAATGCCACAAGCACCAGCGAGAACAATGCTGCCAGTACCGAGAACCCCAACGTCTTCATCGTCAAAAATAACACCGGCACCACTAGCGTACCCTGCACTGCCAGTAACAGCCGTAACCACGCGTAGGGGACGTCGTGTTTGAGGTAGTCGTCGTTGATATTGTCGAACTTAAAGTGGCCATCGTACCCGGCAAGCCACCCCCAGGCGGCGATAAGTAATTTGGCCATGGGCGGGTGCAAGTCAAAGAAGTAGGTCCGTTCAAGGTAGTACAGGGCAAATTTGCCAAAGTGGACTTCGTCAAACACCACTCTTGATGGGAACTCGAGGTTGGAGAACCGAAGGTAGGCGGCGATCAACGTGATGATCATCATCGCCCCGTAGTACTTGTACTCCGGGTCTTTGGGCTCGTAAGTGAGAGTAAGCTTCTCAGCGGTGGCATCTTCACTCTCCGGTTCCCGTATGGTAGCGGCGGCCAGGGGGCCCGGTTTGCGGGAACGCAATTGGGACATGATGGATGTGACGTGGAGACACACGCGGTTATGGGTAACGTGTCCCTGGCTGCGCGGGGGCAGAGCTCATAATTATGACAACAAATAACGAAAAGCACCGGAAGCGAACTCCAGAGCATGGCCATGAAGTCAATGGATGTAGTGTGAGGATTCGATGAAGGGACCAACTGGTAGGCTCAACTAAAGGCAGGTGGTCAATTTACGCAATGCTGAGATGAGAAGCAAGCACTCAGATTTGGAATTTCGTTATTTATGATGGCAACGATGGCTGGAGTTTGCGCGGTCACATGACTGCGAATTCCAAATCCCTCATGGTCCCTTACAGAGGCGGTAAATATAACCCCGATGAAAATTCTCGATTACTTCTCGACAAACCGGCTATGAATTACTGGTCCCATTTCGTCACCCGGCTCGAAAATAGCGATGATGACTTTTTAAGCGTACATATACACCTGGTTCACTTTTTCATTGTTACATAATCTTTAGTAACACAGCCGGCAAACGCGACGCCGCACTCAGGCCAAAGGCTATTTCTTAACCCGCCGACAAATCCTCACCCGCTCCACCACCAAATACCCGTACAACCATGGATCTAGCTGATCTTGGGGACAAACTACGAGACAGCGAGTACCGTGATGGCCCCGAGGTGCGTGAACAGTGGGACCGTATCGTGTTCCTGGTGGTGCAAGGCCTTGACAACGAACCCAACGAGGCGCTCCGGTGTCTTATAAACCTTACCGCCGACTCTAATACCAACCGCCAGCAGTTGGTAGCCACCCCCGAGGTGTGGAGAGGCGTCAACCGGGTGTTTGCCGAAGTACCAGAGCGCGCCACCCTCCTTTTGCTCCAGTTCATCTACGCCGACGAAGCCCACAAACTCGCGTGGTTGGGGCGGATATACCCCCAGGTTCCGTCGGTACTGGCTTATATCCTTAAAGCAGACTGTACTCAACAGCTTGAGGCCCGCGCCGGACTTGTGGAGTGGGTCAAAGAGGTCCAGGCCACAGAGAACCACGTTCCGGAATCTCAGATCCCGGCTTGGGTGTCACTTATCCCTCAGGCGATTGCCACCAACAATGATGAACTTATGGCCAATTTAGCGGATATCGTGCTTCGCGCCACCACGATCGATGATTGCAAAACCGTGCATGGGCTGAACCCGGGGGTTATCACTCAAATTGAGGCCATCCCCACCCTGAGTAGCAACTACGCTGTAATTGCCCGGAAGCTCTTTGCCATCCTGGGTCATTTGACGCTGATGCCGCTGTACCCGGTGCATGAGGAACTCGACCTTGCAATTGCCGGGGTGCAATCTTTACACAACCCTTATTCTCAGGCAGCGTGGGCGATCACTTTGGGGAACTACATCACGCTGAAGCAGCGGGCAGAGGAAGTATGGCGACATATCGACAATCCTCGCCAATTCATCGCTCGTTATTTTGATCTTGCCATGAACGACGTTGTTCAGCTTCAGGCAGTACACATGATGACTAATCTCATAACGCTGGAGTATGTTGACGAAGTGGTGACTAACCACGGCGAAACGCTTGAGCGATGGTGCCAAATTTCTCGCACAAACGCCCAATTGTATCCGGAAATCAGTGGGTTGGTGAATAAATTGTTACGAAAGCTTATCCGTGTGGGAAATGCGGACACCACGGCAAAGCTAATCAAGCTCGTCGAAGACAAACACACGAAATTGACGTTGCTCGAACAGCTGGTGCATAATGATGGCAAGCTAGACCCCCAATTGCTCAATCTGTGTTTCTCCTGGGATGAAGGTGAAATGCCACTTGAAATTGTCCTCGAACAGATAAAACTTTCCGGGATGGTGGTGCACAAAGTGGTCACTCAAAATATCCCAATTTCCAACGAATTTTATGCCGGTCTTAAGAATTTTCTTGCCAAATTGGCAGAGCTTCTTCCTTCTGCTCGTGAAGAACCTCTGTTTAAGATTCTCAGCAATAACTCACGGTTTGTGGCGGCATTACTGTCGTCCTTGCCTCAAGCTGACACTGAAATTAAGGCATTATGTGCACAAATCCTACAAAACGAGTAGTAGTATATAGGGAATATCATTATGATACCACAAGTTACAACGCCTTTGAGGTTACAGTAATAAGCTTAACAAGTTCTAATTGCGGCAGTAGGCAATGGATGTAAAACATATCATCACTAGAATTGGTTGTATTCATTGTTCGAGACTCGTCAAAGTCATTCTCTTCCTCTTAACAATAAATCGATGGTATCAAAATTTGAGCCTGGGGTTGGATATAGAGACTCAACTCGATAAAGGGAAACCGAGTCTCAACTACGAATTACTTATGCTATAAGTTTGATGAAGTTTTAGAATTGTAACAAACAACTATAAGAACGACAAAACAGATTGAACATCAACACGAAATTGAAATAGTGATAACAAAGTTGCTTCGAAGTTTCTCATTCATCATCTACGTTTGATGTTCAACTATAAAACTCATTTAGACACCTTCCAGCTACTGATCTACTTGTTGAAACTAACAGTCAAAGTTTGTGGTATGAGAACAATCTTATTTCACTAAAAATGAAATAGTCAATGTCCCTCAATAGCGATGCGCTTACTCTAGTAGCTTCAAAGCCATAATCAGAATTCACGTCTATTGACTTTTTACTCATAACGCTTTGCGATATAATTCCTTTCGTGTAGATGTTCTCTTTCAATGTCATTCAAAATTATTCAAAAGTTACTTACTTCTTCGTCCTGGTCATCTTCCGACGTGACAGCATCTGATACCTCAGAACCAACAGTACATCGGCATTTTGCTGGTTGTTGGCACTCAAAATCGCCTTTATAATCGCAGCCTGTTCCTTGAAACTCATGTCGTCTTCGAACCGAGAAGCCGCGGTCACGGCACTCCATGGGACGTTGCCCAGAGCAGCGAGGAAGAGCTTGGCAATCAGGTTGCATTCACACTCGGTGAGTGCTAGGAAGTTAAGAATATTCTTGAAAAACGAGTCTAAGACCTTAACAGAAGCCAAAGGCGCTTCTCTCCCGATTACCACCTCGAGTGAGCCATTATCCCAACGCCATAGCCGAGCCAACACCTCTCCAGCCGATTCAGCTAACGCCTTAGGTTGACGAATGATCCAAGTCAGGAGTTGCTGGCTAAATGCGAAAACACTAAAGTTGCTGGCTTTCCGCTTCACTAGCGCCAACACCACAAGCAACAGCGTTCTGGTAAGCGTTTTCGACAACTTAGTTTGGGGTAATTCCGCCGCCCAGGCAACGAAATAAAGGTCATTTTCCAAGCCCGAAGGCAACGAATTGATGTATGCAATCAGATCATAGCACGCCTCGACTTTGACGATCTCCAGAATATTGGCCAGTTTCATCAACTTTGAGAATTTGTGACCCCGTGTGAAAAATTCGTCAGACAGCATGATTGATGGAGGTGGCTGAAGTTTTAATCCATCCATCCCTTTTTTTTCCTTAAAGGGCACGACCCAACAGATCTGAGGTAGGTGGCGGTCGAGATCGGTTGGAAAAGTCTTGCTGAGGAGCAAGGATGAGGTATACACTTTCAACTAGACCAAGGCGTAGTAGGTTGACGACCAAACGATTAATCAGTTAGACCTTATAGCGTTAGATTTGGAGCATTCAGTGATTTTCCATATTGCAGGGAAGCTACTTGTGCGGCTCGTGTCAGTGATTTACACTTCTTGCACTCACTTTCACAACACCATTGAAGATAACTATATGATCACAGCCAGTTGAAATGCGAAAATAACCTAAACCATCATTTAAAAGGACAGCTATATCATACACAAGAGGTAGCTCAGGTTCTGAAGCGTAATTCTCACCATATGTCACGCGTACACGGAGACTCATATCTCCTTCACATTCTCTGTAAGCTCACTGAACCTGTGTTCGTAATTATACAATATTCACTGGAGATCATCCACGTCTTATGGACTGAGTTTAGATTGGCCTTGGAAACTTATTCGATAGCGCTGGACGAATCTCTTTTTGTCTTCCCACGATAGGACTTTAACTTCAAGCATTTCAACGTCTCATGATTAGCTATACCATGAGAATTGTCAGCCTAGTTGTTGGTTACCTTCTAATTTGCTCTTAATCAAACTTTCTTGGTTTCTGGTGTTGCAAGATGCAATTTGGATAGTATGCGACGAGTCGATCTCGAGAAACGGTCAAAAACACCATTGATAGTTTCATCGGGTTCTTCATACATCTTAGCAACTTTGGTGTTGATAAGTTTGTGGTAATTGAAGGCGATGTCGACTTAAAGCGGCTGCAACGAAAGTGATCAGTCCAAAATTCAAAGACTTGTTGGGTTCACGTCAGGCCATCCGTTGAAGCCTTGTTTGTTAGTTCAAATTAAACATTGAGGTATTTGCAGAGCATTATTTGGTGCCATCCCCAAGTTAATCAAATCAATCTGCAAGTTTGTGGAAGAGAGATAAATCAAAGTAGAGCTCTCTTTGGCAAACACATACCAACATCCGTATGATATCAATTCCTGATATTTCATTTTGGGATCAAGCCGATTACACCATTGATTCAAGTGGCGCGGACCACATTTGGTGTGTTGGTGTTTGTATTGAAAAGTTTTCAGCATGTTTCACCGATTCATGCAATTAATCGATCAACTGACTCAATGTTTTAAATGCAGTATTCGTGTGGGGATTGTGCATGAACGATCAGCACTACTGGTGGAGACAAATAACCTCTTCCTACAAAGCCAATAGCATTTGCTTTGACGTTAATAAGTATTAGACGCTTATATAGTTAAGAATAATGGCCCATTGTCCCTCTTTCTCGTCACAGAACTTTGGTTAGTATTCGTCCATGGGGTCAGCTGATTATGCATATGCATGCACAATCATCACCTGTGACAACATCGAAAAGACCACGAAACCAGAAACGAAAACAAGTGGGCGCATTAAGGCAATAAGCATGAGGTTACGCTTAACTTACGGTGTTTTTGAATCAAACAATCATCCCAGATATCCAGGCTTTACATTTGGTTTCTGATCCAATCTATTAATGCTTGCCACGTTATCGTCGTGATACACCTTCCACGAGCATGGTTAGCCAGATGTACGGATGAACCAAACTAAAATATTCATCCCTCGTGAAGCAGTGAAAGGTGATGACAAGATTACGATCAAAGCCAATTGATGCTTCCACTAGTGCCAGATTTTGTTATCATACGAAATGAACTAGCTTCCAAAAGAATTATGCCCTCAGTTTTGATTATTCCAATTCAATTTCATTCACAAACTATATACTACTTACTCGTCCAGGTCACTACACGCAGGCTCTTCGATTTCGCCATCGCCGCATTCAGCCACGTCGGTTTTGCCATCACCAGGGGTAATGTACACGTTGCAGTTGGTGAGATTGGATTTGATGAGAATCGGCATTGCCAGAATCCTCAGAATAACCTGAGAGGTTATCGAATTGGTTCTCCGACTTGCGGTCAGAGGACTTGGGAGTCATGCTGTAAGTGTAATACAGTTGATAGGGGTTGGTAAGCTAGCGCTTGGGGGAAGCAAGTGTGTAATAAAAGATATAAACAAAGATAGGTAGATCTATGTAAAAACTTTTCCATCTGCTTCCAGGTGATGAGCAGAGGGCACAACGTGCAGTCTAAATAACGGAACTCCGAGACTACAGTCGTGAGACCGAAATGGTGATTTGGCTGCAACAAATCACGTGACAAAATAATGATGCCACAACAGGGCTTGTCAATGTAGATAATGCCAGAGGTTAAACGCTTCACCTGGTGGTTGCCACGTTGCTCCGCTTGACCATCAGGCGTGGCCTTTCTCTTGCGAGGACCAATCGCACCAACCACGCCCACTGACGACGTGCCTTCAACTGGGGGAGTATTGGGGACGGTCAGTTCGTCAGACGCCGGCGCCGTAGTATCAACACCCGGAGAGGGTTGCGCCAGCACGGTAGGAGTGGTCGCCTCCTTGATGAGCCGCTTGAGCTCTTCCTTTTCATCATCATTGAAGCAATCAGAGAAATGGGACACCATCATTTCAGCACACCACCGGACATCTCTGGCAAAAACAAGGAAGAGTTTGGCAAGATCAACTAAATCAAGCTTTTTACGGATGAGACTTTCGAGGCAGGCCTTTGTTAGTCTAGGGGAAGCCAGCAGTGCCTCATTCCGGAGAACAGCAACGAGCTCCTCGTGATTCAGACGCCAGAGCTCACTTAAAGCTTGTCCAGCATCTACATCAAAAGATTCAGGTAAACGAATGAGCCAAGTCATAAACTCACCTACCTTTTGAGATGCAACCGTACGAAAAGAATTTGATGACCGCAGCAGTAGCCAAATAATTATATCCAAAATCAACATTAAAAGATTACCCGACTGCGGCATAATCATTTGCGGCAAATTGATCGCCCACTTCACGTAGTTCTGATCGCCATCCAAATCGTCGGGCAATGAACAAATGAAATCAAACAGTTCGACGCACGCGTCCTTCTTCTCTTCTTCCAGGACATCGGCCAGAGCCATCAATTTCGCAAACTCAGCGCCACGCTTAGCAAATTCCTCAGACAGCATATTTGATTAAATCAATAAGAAAGGGTGATGATTAAATCAACGGGAAAGGGTGCGAGTGACGAATAAATTTATTCAACCCCTTTGCAAGGGGGGAGGGGGTGTGGCCCAACCAATTCTATGTATCTGTTTCAAATCGACAAGGTGATTTCAGCAAATATAGTAAGGATAGGTCATGACTTTCACTTTAAACTTTCTTTGGGGATAAATAGGCGCATTTCATTACGTCACTGTGCTGGATAATCTAGAGCAAAAAGTCGTTGGGTTTGACAAGGAGCAGCATCGTTCATATTGTGTTGGCGGACCGCTGATGTGATCCACCAGTTGTTTAGGTAATCACATCCATTTCGGTGTGCCGTCCGGTCAAGTGAGAGGCTAGACTGCACAAGAGCGCGACGAGCTATATGAACGTCGCGCGGTTTATAGAAAAGAACACATCTCTTACTACATCCAATCAACTCGACACTTTAACTAGCTTTCTCTTTACCCCTATTCCTGGAAGCTTGGTTATAGTCGACCGCATTGTGTAGATAAGACAACAATGACTGACTCAGTTAACAGCAACACGTCTCAACTGGAGACAGGTCAGGGACCTAAATCCCAACATATTGTCATCGGGGGCTTGTAGTTATCAGAATCTTCTACAAGAGCCATGTAAGTTTGGGCAGCCCTCTGTGCGTCAAATGGTCTATGAAAGAATAACTGACGTAGTGCGAGATAACCATCCAAAGCTAAGGATTGGTCCGAATTTCTCATTTTCGCATGCTTTCACGGTTAAGCTCTCACCAAGGGCATACTGCGACTTGAGCACAAAAGCCGTGAGGTATCCCAATCAACGGTGACGGGGGATTGATAATTGGAATTTTTGATTGTTGTTATCTCTTAGGTAATTTGGATCCTAGATCACGGTGGTGGAAACCGTACCACCCGCCTTGTTCCTCTTTTACATTTTCACATATCCGCTGGGGTTTTTGATCATCATCCATAAGGAACGAAGACGTAGGAGAATAATTCCAAGTGTCACAAATTTCGAGTTGAATTGATATTTAATGCCTAAACTCGCTTATATCTATTTCAAATTGTCAAATAAACAGCATTTTTGACTAGTATTGGCAGTTCAAAGCGTTCAAAATTATGCGGTAAGACATTTTCCAACTAAATAATTGACTATCAACTCAAATATACAGAAATCACAAATAGAGTCATTTACGTTAGAATCCATATTTCTATAAGCCAACTTTCTATTGTTGTATAGTTTGTTCGGCCTTGGAGGAATACCCCGTCGAAGATACTTACACACCGGTATAGGTTTACCGGTAGGTGACCGGGGCATGGGTATTCGCCGGTAGGTTCCGGCGGTGGTGCACTCGGGAGGAGTCCGCGTGAGTATTATATAGAAGCATACGTGATAACTCCGGCAACGGAGTTGTCACGGTGCGGGCAGCTTAAGGTGTTCAACCCTAGGCTGAGCTGAAGTCACCCGCTCGTTGGATGCACGCCCTGCATACACCGTACAGACCCAGCACATACCCGGCGGGGTGTCGAGATTACAACCATATGCATCTAAACACAGTTATCGAAAGGTATCAAGTTTGAAGTAATGTTGGTCTCGACATCCCGCCCTTTTTACGTTTGGCTATTTCGAGTAGTACACGACTTTCACCCAACTTAATACAACATCTATCAATAAGGTTCCGTAGTCTAGTTGGTTATGGCGCATCCTTAACACGGATGAGGTCCCCGGATCGAGCCCGGGCGGAATCACTTTTTTAAGATTTAACTCTCAAAGGCATTGATGTATACAACCTCAATAAGTTTTTTGGTTTTATTTTTTATTTTTTTTCTTTTTTTATTTCATACATAACATAAGTAACATCACAAAATAAACATCATTTCGCATTGAATCTCGTGATAGTGAATTGGAGCGGCGTTGCCCGTGCTCCTTCATTCACTTTTCCAGATTAGGGCGGGCCAGCTTCTTCATTTTACCAACTGGTACCGGAGCCCGTCTCTTCTTCGTTTTCGAGCCAGCGCGGTGGACGACCGTGTCAGTAGATGTCGACGACTGGCCTTCGATAGCCTCCACAGTGTTAGAGTTGGAGGGCGATGCCGTCGCAGAGACATCGACCAAAGCTTCAGCATGCGTAATGGGCTGTTCAGGGATCACTGGCAACTTAGTGGCAAGAAGTTCGAGCACTGTCTTCACGGTAGGTTGGCCCAAGTCATCGGCGTAGTGGTTGACCAACATTTCAACACCAATTCTGGAGTTGCCCAGAGCAGCAATCAAAAGATCAGTGAAGTGGGAAATCTCTTTTCTAGTATAGATTTCGTCAAAACCATTGTACTTCAAATTTGCGTCATTGGCGATAGATTTCAAAATTGAGTGCATAATTGGGGAAGGAATCCGAGACGCCTCACGGTGAATCACACGCTTGAGCACGGCGCGGTCTTCGTCGTAGAAGGTAGTGATAACTTCCTTGATAACTTCAGCCAAACTTTGAGGTTGACGGAGAACCCACGTGGCGATCTCTTCCCGAGGTTGTTCCTTCCCTTTGTTCAAAGGGCAAAGTAAGACGACGAGAAGCACTTGTTTGGCGAGCTTCTCCGAAAGTTGGAGGTCCTTCAACACGGTTGCCCCTTCGAAAAACTCCACCAAATTTTCAGGATGAGGCGATTTGAGATAAGAATTGTAGTAGGCCGTCACCTCCTTGCAGGCTCTCGTCTTCAATTCGTCCAGAAACACGTTCAGAGCCAACAATGGCCAAAACACTGTGCCCAAGTTAGTACCTTCTTCCTTCAGCATCGTGTGGGTGGTAAACGGTATCGAGTGTTTCCAGGAGGCAAGGGGTGGGAAAAATCCACATTAAGCAGAGTTAGAGTGATTTATATAGTGCAGCACCGTAAACGTTAAGTCACACGAGTCTATACGAGATACGTACTCGACTATTGCCTCAAATAGGACTACAACTCCAACCATAGAGCGTATAGTAAATTACCATTTTTCTAGCATTAAGGATCAAGCGTAAATCACTTCTAACCCCGGCCATTGGGTTCTAATTGTAGTTTATAGTGTTAGTGGCGGTGGTGGGTGGTGCGTGTGGGGGGAGTGGAGGGAGGGGGGCTCTACTTGACCCGTGCAGGATGCGTCGCTGGCGCTTCCCCGCCATTTGTCTCATCGCCACCGCTGGCAGTAGCAGCCATGGCTGTGGCACTGATTTGTGTGGGTAAATAAAGCTATAACTAGCTAGCTGTATTGAAAAATGAAGTGAAATACCACCAAAGAATTACCACAAACCATCTACGCCTGGTTTTTTTCTCCATTACAATTGATGAGGTTTGTTCAGGAGCGTTCCAAGCTTAAGCCGTTGTCAATTGAGCACCCCAAGAATGTGCAGTACCGGTAAAGTGGAGCTACTCTGCAATACCGAGGTCGGCAAAGGGACTGTGGGAAAGTGTAAGCCGCGAACCCCTCCCCATTTACTACCAGTTTCCGTAAACAGATAGTCGTACACTAGCACTTGGTGTAAAATTAAAGAGATTCCCAAAGGGCCGACCATTTAGACTAATATCCGTTTAAATCAAATTTTTGTGTAAGAAAGCGACGGCGGCGGGTGTGTGTGGGTGTGTGCATTGAGAGACATACATAATATAAAAAAAAGAAACGTGTAACGATCGCCGGTGACGTATAACGGGTGTGAGACCAAAACACTCCCACCAAAACAGTAGGGGGTTTCGTAGGCTCTAAAAAGGAAAAAAAGCCATCCAGACTTGCTGGTGTGTCCCACTCTATAAACCACGTTGTTCACTGGGGAATTCAAGCGAGCGACTGACCACCATACACTGAGGAGATGGGTAACAAAACGGTACTCTCGGACTCGGTCCACAAGACCAGCTAGATGGACGAGGAGAACTCGACTGATGAAATGGCGGTACTCTTTTCTACGGGGCAGTTTCGTCGGTTTAAATACCTCATGTTTGGTAGAGGTCATCACCCTCGGGTTCAGTGTCATGACTCGCGCCGTCACCACCCATCGTCACCACCGTCACTAAAGCGGTACCAAAAATGACAACCAAGTGACACAAAAGATGACACTATTTATAGAAAATGATTACACACGATACACCAATGTGTAGTACAAGGTTTTACGTAACATAAATAACTAGTCGTGTTTCACCGGCTTTTGCTGGTCACGGGCTTCGGCTCTGGCCTCGGCGGCGGCTTTGGCCTTCGCCAGCACAAACACCGCGTCCTGCTTGTACTTGCGGGCAATCACCCACAGCACCCACGACTCGGGGAGGTACCGCAGCAACCACCCCATGAGCCACCCGCTCTGGCCGGCGTAGACGTGGAACTTAGGCGAGTGCGCCGACACCACCGGCACCACCACCTTGGCGTAGTCGTCGGGGTTAGTGGCGTTCTTCGTCATCTGCGACGCCGCCATCACCAGCTGGGCCATCTCGGGCACCCGGTACAACTCGGTGTCGAAGCTGGGGGAGTCCTCGTGGGCGTGGGCGGCAATGGCGGTGTCGACACCACCCGTAATCACCAGGTACACCGACACGCCAAACGGGGACAACTCGTGGTGCAAGTAGCGGGCGTAGCTGTCGAGCCCGGCCTTCAGCAGCCCGTACACCGCCGTCCACGCCAACGGGACGCAGGCGGCGATCGAGGTGGTAAACACAATCGTCCCCTTGGTGGCGACGACGTATTTGGCCAAGTACTTGCACACGTGGATGGGGCCGAGCAAGTTGACGCGGAAAACCTGTTCCATGCGGGCGTCGTCGTACTCGACGGCCGGGTGGGCGTAGGCGACGCCCAGGTTGACGTACAACGTGTCGAGGCGGCCGCCGGTGGTGTCCTTGATGAACTGGCGGGCGCGGCGGATGTCGTCGATGCTGGTGATGTCCATGCAGTAAGGGATCACTCCCAACGTCAGCTTCATCTCGTCGAGCTCCAGGGCAAACCGGTGCGGGGCAAAGCACACCACCAGGTAGCCCTTGCCTCTGAACTGGCGGGCAAGCGCCTGGCCAATGCCACCGGTAGCGCCAACGATCAATGCAAATTTCGTCATAATGAGTAAAATAACGAGGAAAACAACGTGTATAGCTCGGGTATTTAATCCTGTTTGTCAGTGGGGGCAATCCGGGAGACGGAAAGTTTAAGGCCATCGTACCACCGGTCGTGGAATTTGTTGAGCACGGTGGTTGCGTCATGGGCAGTGGGGGTAGCAACTGTCACAGCAGTGCCATCAAAGGCGACGGTGACGTTATCGACACCAAGGCGGTGGCACTCTTCCACGATATCGGCCTCAATATCCTCCTGAAGCTGTCTATCAAACTCTAACGGACGGAACATATTTTCAATGCGGAGTGATGTTGATTTAAGCAGTAGTTTCCGCCGTTCAAGCTCGAGTTTTTCCTCGTACGATAGCGCCACTTTCGGTTTACCGAACTCGGCCGAGGGTGCCGCTGCCAGGGGCTGGCCGCCAAATTGAGGCGTTGCCGGCTTTTGCCGATGGATTGCTTCTTCCACTTTGATGGTATGGCCGCGGACGGTGGTGCCATCGGCCAATTCGATCGCTTGAGCAGCACTGACCACAGTATCGTAAAACACGGTACACTCGCCCTTAAACCGGTCGTGATCATAGTACATTTTCACCCGTGGCCGTTTATGTTGAGTATTTTGCTGTAACGGGCCATACTTGCCGAAAAGCTCGACTACCTCATCGAGAGTGGTATCTGGGGGGAGGCCCAGGACAAACACCAGTCCCTTCTGGCCGAACTCCTGGCGGAGCGACGCAATCGCCTGGTGGAGCTTGTTGCGCTGCTGCTGGCGGTGCTGCTTTATCTGGAGCCGGTTATCGTCATCGTCAGCTTTGGGGGAAGCTTCCCTATCCATCAGCCACTGTTCCTTTGAGTGCCTCCTCAGCGCGCACACAATACTACTGAAACTAAGCTTTGATATAAACAAATTAGATGAAAAACATGATAAATCACTTTACCTGACGTTTCATATCACTCTTTACTATTCATTAACACTTATATAGTCTTCCTTTCCTGGTGTCCTCTCTGTTTCCGATATCTCCTGGAGTCTCACGTGCCACGCACGACGTCCACCGGAACCCTTCCCTCCCGTCTCCACAACCACCACCACCACCACCACCCCCACACCCCCACACCACACGATGTCCGTGGCGGCTGCCAACACCCCGAACGAGTATATCCTCAGCTTGACGCTGGAGCAGATCGACCAGGACCAGAAGATCGGCATCAAGGCCATCCGGCTATTTCTCCAGCTGAAAACGCTGTACGACGTGTTGCCGGTGCTGTACCGGCTTGTGGTGCTCGACACGCTGTTGTTGGTGAAAAAACTGCTCACGATCTTGCTCCAGAACAACATCGTGCTGGCCCCGTTGTGGAACCTGAAGACACTGCGGTTCGACGGGTTGTTGACCCTGCTGGACTTTGTCAACGTCATCCAGTACTATTTCCAGAACCCGGACAAGTACGAGTTGGTCGACCAGCTCACGTTGGACGGGTTACGCGATATCGAGCGGGCGATCGGCGCCCAGCCCATCGAGACGATCCTGATCCACCCGTTTAAGCTGTTGTACGAAGCCTGTGTCAACATGCTCCAGCTGAGAGCGCGCCGGGTGCCGTTGATCGACGAGGACGAAAAGACCCACCGCGAGATCGTGGTGCTGGTTTTAACTCAGTACCGTATCCTTAAGTTCGTGGCGCTTAATTGTAAAGAGACCAAGATGTTACTTAAACCGATAAAGCACTTGCCGGGGCTCGGCGAGGCTAAGCCCATCGCTACCTGTACCATGAACACTCGCGTGATCGATATCATCCACTTGTTAGCGGAAAAACTGGTGCTGTCGGTGCCCGTGGTCGACGACCAAGGCAAATTGATTAACGTCTACGAAGTCGTCGACATCTTGGGGTTGGTGAAAGGCGGCAACTTCAACGAGCTCGACCTTACTATCGGCGACGCCCTCTTAAGGCGTCCCGAAGACTTTGAAGGGGTGCACACGTGTACGTTCAACGACCGGTTGAGCACGATCATGGACACCATCCGCAAGTCGCGCTTGCACCGGTTGTTTGTCGTCGACGACGAGTGCAAGTTGGTGTCGGTGATCACGTTGAGCGACATTTTGCACTACATTCTCTTTGGCGAAGACCTCCTGGACTAACTCATGTACTAATACCTAGATGGATATTACGATACCGTAGCTTAGTAGTCTGAACGACTACCACTTAATCATCTAAATTAACCTAATATCCGATACTATAGCATTTTTGTTTTTGTTTATTTTTGATCTTACTGTTTGGCTTAGATTAAGGGTAGTGGTACCGTTATCAGCCATTGCTAGTGCGCACTCATCGCTAGCTATCCACGATGCCGCCATCGCGTCCGTATAAACGACTAGTGGGCAAGGAGGCCAAGACGCATGAGATCAAGAAGGCGTTGACCCACCGGGCCCGGATAAGGAAGAACTACTTTAAGCTTTTGGAAAAGGAAGGCTACCAGCCCCCAGAAAAGCCGAAGTCAAGGCATGAGGCTGATGAGGCTAAAGATGAGGCTAAGGAAGAGGCTGATAAGGCTAATGAAGATGCCAGCGATAGCCAAGAAGACGCTGCTACTGACAAGCGTCAATCCGAGTCGCTGAAACCCAAGGAGGCGCCTAAACCGATGACGTATAATGACCGGCGAGAGTTGATCAAACAACGCAAGAACGAGAAGCGGTTACGCCAGCTTGAGCGGGTACGTGAACAAAAGCAGGCACTCGAGTCCCAGGAAAAGCTCAGACAACGCCACCGGGCCCGTATCGACAAGCGGACCCGTAAAGGCCAGCCGATGATGGGCCCTCGTATTAACAATTTACTCGACAAGATCAAGAAGGAGACTAAATAGACCGATTTATATTAACTATATTCATTATGCATTACGTTTCGAGCTTGGCCATGTCTTCGGCGAGGTCGTCGTCGTCGCCGGCGAGCCCCTTCTCAAACACTTCTTTACCCAGCATTTTCCCCTGGTGCATTTGCTGGAAGCGCAATTGGTCCCGCTCGTCGATCTTCATCTCCTTTCGGAACTTGGCTCGCCACTCGGCAAACAGCTCTTTGGTCACCGGCGTGCCGATAAACTTTTGTTGTTCTTTCTTCTCTCGCTCCATGATCTCCCGGTCGTATTGCGCCTGAGCCGCCGCCACTTTCTGGGTGAACCTAAGCTCGGCGTCATCCTTAAGCTTGGTGGCAAGGGCAAACACCATCGGCATCCCCAAATTCATCTCCACTTCCTCGGCGAGCTGGGCCTCTAGCTGTTTGACGTCGTCGCGGTCAAGCACGATCTCCTCGGCCAAATCACGCACTTGGTTCAGGTCATCGTCATCGTCTTCATCGTCGTCGTCGTCGTCTTCATCAGCATCGACGGTAACTGTAAGCGTGGGGGCGGTTTCAGGGTAGTCTTCAGGGTATTGTACTTCGAGAAGCGCCCGATGAGCCCGCGTAGTATTGGTGTCAAGGCTAATGGTGATGGAGAAACGGGTATCGGACTCCTTGACGAGCTCATCGGGGTAAATGGACTCGAGCACCTCGAGTTCCTGGAGCTGTTCTTCCTTATAGTCCATCGGTCCTGGTGAAAATGTGTTAGGGCAGTCAATATGCAGGTTGGGATTTTTTCCCAGTAGGGACACACACACGGCTAGATATAATACATGTTTAAGGGTCCCATTGTTATAACCTTCCCTCAGGAACCAAAATTAAAAATAAAATACCTTGAAAAAATTTAGACTTGGCTGTCAGATTTAACTAGTGCTGTTACCGCATTTCTTTTCTTTTACGGTGGTCGGGGTCGAGTCGGAATGTGACCACCCGCCACAATTACAAGACCATGGCTTACTTCAGACTTTGTCCATCGATAAATCAAATAAACTAGTAATTAAAATCAGTTTCCAAGTCCAAAAACTAGACTAATTCAGGGTATATTTTTAGTGTTGGTGGTCATTGTCTGGTGGGTGTCATTGTTGTCGTAATTGTACTATTGGTGCGCACCTGGTTTTTCTGGTCCCGCCATAGCCACCACCACCACCACCCGCCGTTTACGCCCCGCCCGTCGATGGCAACCACACACAAGCTTCGGAGCGTGTTCCCGCCAGGGGTGTCGATACGCGACTTCGGGTACCCGGACACCCACCACTTCCACGCCGGCGACTACCGACTATGGTACGACGGCGACGTCGTCCACGGCACTGACGCCGCCGACGACGACGCCAGCGACGGCGACGACGATGGCGTTGCTGGTAGCGACGATGCTTATGAAGAAGCCGGGTCTGACGACGACGGTGACACGGCGACGCTGGACGAGATCAACCGCCAGGCGATCGCGCTCTTCCTGTTTACTCCGGAAAACGATAACGAGATGTTGCTTAAAGAAGGCCAGATCATCTGGATCCTGTACCGCCACGGGCAAGGGTGGCTTGTCGCCGAGGACCCCGAGCTGGGGGAAACGGGGTTGGTCCCCGAAGAGTACGTGGAGATCTGCTACGACCGCCAGGGGATCATCGAGGATATCCCGCGCCCGTTTTTGCCCAGCATCCTCAACGGGTTCGAGCTGCCTCCCGACGCTGCTGTCGCCCAGAACGACGACGACGACGACGATGAAGGCGAGTGGGTCGACACCGACTTTGAGGACGGCGACGACGACCACTTAGTCGAAGACGTCGCCAAGTTGCGCGTCAAATAGCCCCCAGCCATTTTACCCCCTACGAGACCACGATTGCATAAACCAAGGCGCTACCCGCCTTAACGATCACCTGTACTATAATATCATCATTACCAAACTTGTTTTGTAGTCATTTGTAGTCATTTTTGTCGTCATTTCCATAATCATTTATCGTCGTGGTTATCGCGCTTTTTCGTCTCACTAAGACAGGGCGTGTTTTGTGTGGCGTTTTTAATGGAACAGGGGAAGAAGGAGCGGAAGACCAGGAAGAAAGCGCCCGACCCGCCGCCGTACGCGCTTGCCGGGTACGTCGATTTCTACAACCGGCAAGTCCAGGATTTCTTCAGCGTCAACGACCCGTGGGACCAGACGTTGCCGGCGCTGGTCATCACCAGTGACGGGCGGGTGTTTGACGGCGACTCGGGCCACCCGGGGCTGTTGTGGCTGCCACAAGAGAAGGATAAGTTCTACCGGCTATTGGAACGCTATCTGATCCACCGCATCGACATGATTGCCGAGCAGTTGCCGCTGAAGCTGGCGGAGGAGATCATGGTCTACTATAACGTGCTCCGCAAACTGCTCCAACGGGCGAAGCGCAAGGGACGCCGCCAAGAGTACCCGTATACGGTGACCAAGAGACGCAAGACGAAACACTTAAAGGGGTACCTGGCGCTGGAATTGGTTACCTATGACGAGATGCCCATCGCCTACGAGATGAGCGAAGGGTACCTCATATTTGAAGATATCCAGAGTAAACGGATGACGGATTGGGAACCGCCCGACTGCTCGCTACACCAGCTCGAGGAGGAGTGGGCGGCGACACGGGGGGGGCCGATGCCGCCAAATTTACGTTTCCCGGAGCTCTTACGCCACCCGTCGACGAGAATCGCCCGCTTATGGCGAGAAATCTACCCGAAACAGAACGTGCTTCCCGAGCCGATACAGAGACCGTGGCTCACGCCGCCGGCGGGGGATGGCCAGGAGGGCACCATCGAGCTCTCGGCGGGGGCGGCGCTTTTGCTCGAGCAGTTGGTGGTGGCGATGACGACGAACATCATCACCGAGATCGTGGCGATGAAGGCGCTCCAGTACCCTGACCCCCCCTTCGACGGCCACGGCACCTATGACCAGTGGTTGCAGCGGACGCTGGCGCGCCAGGAGGCGAAGTGGGTCATCGCCGACGACGTCTACGACGCCCTCAACCAGATGCGGCTCCGCAACCCGGAGCAGCTCAGCAAGCCGATGTACTGGGCGGGACTCAGCCAGCGGCTCCGCCTCCCCTTCGACTTCGAGATATTGTCGCAGGGGAAGCTTGTCCGCAACTACCTTTCGCCAGAGGAGTCGGCGCGGTTGTTTTTCTCCCAGAGAGGGTGGCTTCACTACAACTGGTTTGGCGGGATCAAACTGATGCCGATCGACGTCGAGTACGAGCGCAAACTCTTCCCCACGCCCCCGGAACTGGTGGCGCCGCCGCAACGGTACCCGGTACCGGCGGACACGGTGCTGATCCACGGGATCAGTTCTCGAGAACCCCAAGAAAAGGACCTATCGGAGCCCGACGATTTGATCGAAGTGGCCATCACTGACGACGATACCAGTAAAACGATGGCGGCGATGGAGGAGCTCGAACGGGCGGAGACGGAGCGGGTCGACTACAAGGATATCGTCGACCTGATTGGCCACGAACACGCGTTGCTCACCATGATGCTGAAGGGAGTGACCCTTCCCCAATACGACAAGTATGCCCACTATGAAGTCATCGACGAGTGGCGGCGGCGGCACCGCGCCCCGAAGCTATTACGCAATTTCTTGAAGAAACACGACACCTACGAGCGGCGCCAGCAGTTCTATAAGGCGGTGGCCGACCACATGGACATCGACTACCCCGACCCGTTCCCCTGGGAACGCGGGCCCGACTACTACTCCTCCGAAGACGACGACAAGTATAACAGCGACGACGACCACTACTACCACTACGACACAGACAACGCCGACGACAGCGACGCCGACGACGTCCCCATCCTCTACACCGAGGGGAAATTGGAGAGCTGGGTGCCGTGTCTCCAATGCCAGCAAAAAGTGGTCTACGCCCAAAACGACGGCTATTGCAGCGGCGACCGCCCCCAGTGCCTCCGGTGCTATAACGAAGGCATCGAGTGTACCTACGCCACCGATGTGTACAACAATCAGAAAACGTGGAGGAAACGCCCCCGGCGGGCGCCGTTGTTCCCCGACTACCAGCGGCGGCCGTGTGCCGCCCACCACAAGGCTATGTGTCCCGAGTGTACTCTAAGCGGCGAATATGGCGTCAACCCTTACTTGGTGAGAGGTAAATGGAAACCCGCCTGCTTTGGCTGGGAGAAGGTCCTTAAACGGAAAGAGGCCCTCATCGCCAAAGGCGGTAGCGTTGACGATATTGACGACGGCGATGATGACGCTGGCAATGCCGATAATGCCGAAAATGACGACAATGACGAGAATGCCGACGACGGCAACGCCAACAAGTACAACGACAACGACAAAGACAACCCATTAACTGACTTGCGCTTCCATACGGGCAAGATACAGTACCGTGATGACGACGAGGAAGAAGGCTGTGAACTATGCCGGGACCGGCGGATAAAGTGCCCCAAGGGCTACCCTTGTTCCAATGATTCGGCGACTAAATGGCTTTTGGATAGCAACGGCGGCTGGGGGGGCACTAACCGTGGTAGTGGTGGCAAAAATGGTGGTCTTCCTGCACATGGACCATCCGAGCACGGTGATGTCATCGATCCAGACATGCCTAACCACCACAGCAGCAATGTTGAACGAGAACCCCCGCGTCTTGCGGGCACACCCGGCTCGGTCGCCGTGGCCAAGGAGACGTTGGCGTGGTACTCGCGCCAATTCCCCGAATACCCCCGCCACCATTAAAACACGCTTTCCGTGCTGCTCATCGCTGGCTTGCGTGCTGCGGACGGCGAGGCGTTTTGCCAAAAATTCCCACCTGCCGCTTTCATCGCCTCCTGGCACCTGCATAGATCCATTTATGGCCTTCGACTTCATTCTATGATACCTGCATATAGTGAATTTTCCAATAAAAAAAAAAAANTTTTCCAAAAAAAAAAAAAAAAAAAAAGTCTACCTAGTTTTTTTTTTTGGGTGGCGCACGTTGGTAGCTGCCGCAACAGAGCATACAGGCCCACATATATAAAACGTGTAACTCCCGGGTTAAAGATTCTCAATTGCATCACCACCAAACATGAGCAAGGTTTTCTTTGACGTTTCCGCCGACGGCCAAAAGTTGGGTCGTATCACCTTCCAATTGTACGACGACGTCGTCCCCAAGACCACGGAAAACTTCCGGGCTCTTTGCACTGGCGAAAAGGGTTTCGGCTACAAGGGGTCTGCTTTCCACAGAGTGATCCCCGAGTTCATGTTGCAAGGGGGTGACTTCACCCGCGGCAACGGTACCGGGGGCAAGTCGATCTACGGCGAAAAGTTCCCCGACGAAAACTTCGTCAAGAGACACGACCGCCCTGGCTTGTTGTCGATGGCCAACGCCGGCCCCAACACCAACGGGTCGCAGTTCTTCATCACCACCGTCAAGACCCCCTGGTTGGACGGCAAGCACGTTGTGTTTGGTGAAGTTGTCGACGGCTTCGACATTGTCAAGAAGATCGAAGGCTTTGGCTCCAACTCCGGCGCCACCTCGGCCAAGGTTGTCATTGACGACGCCGGCCAATTGTAAGTTTGCTTTCATAGTTTAACTCAAGTTTACGTATCAATTGAGTGTAGAAACCATATACTTAGGGTTTACTTAGGGTTTCGTCGAAGGGGGCGGGGGTGTGCGGCCCGGATCGCTAATTCCCCCATTTGCGAAAAGACCGACGACTAAACGATGACGTCAGCTTACTGGGCCAACGCCGCCAACACTGAGTCGACCCCCAGCACATGGACCCCCAGCTCCGTCTCGTGGGCAAACCACGCCACTTTGCCGGCGTCGATGATTGCTGCGTGGCGAACGGGGCGGCCGGGCCCCTTTAGTAATCCAATGCTTTCAGAGTACTTCGCGTCGCCGTCACTGGCAAAGTACACTTTAGGGTAGGCGGCATTAGCGTCACCAGCGTCCAAGTGGGCCAGCGCCAAAAGAAGCTTACCCCACGCCAGCACCACAAACGCGTCGTTACCAGTGTACACGACGAGGGAGTCGACGCCGGCGTGCTTTAATTGCGCAAGCTTCAGCAAATACCCCGGAATGTGGGTCTCAGTACACGTCGGGGTGAACGCCCCGGGCACCCCCACCACCACCGTTTTCCCCGTGGTGACAACCCCATCAAGTTCAAGCACCTGGGGCCGGTCACATTGCAACGGATTGAGCACGCTGAGGTCGGCCCAGTCGATGGGCACGTGTTTGAATTGCACCCCGCGAGGGAAGTCGTCGCCGACGGTGAGCCCCATGATTATTAATGTATGGGAGTGGTATTCGCATGCGACTATAGGGTGCGAACGAAAAAAAAAAGTGGGGCCACAGCGAGTGGGCCATAGCGAGCGGGGCCAGCGCGAGCCATTGCCAGCGTGGTGCGAAAATTTTGCGAACATCAAAGGCTTTGGGTAGCATTTCCAGTGGCGTAGCCATACGTAGCTATTACCTATCATTTAAACTACCAAGCCTAGGCCATTTACCATGGTAATATTGACGTTCCGTGGACCTGTTACCACTCAATTGGCGAGCTAAGGCGAAAATATAAGTAAATTGCTGTCTTTTTCGAGGTTTTTTCGAGGTTGGTGAGCTAAACGACGGTTCAGCCGTCCGTCGCGGTAACCGCGTTCCCCTCGACATATTTCTCACGCTCGTGTTGTCCTTTTAAGCTGGTGCAAAAAAGCGCGACGCGATTGAGATAAATAAAGCACGCTCATGCAGGCTCAGAAAGACTAGGCAAGGTGGTAGGACAAGCCCGTGGTCAATCAATGCCAGCCATAGCCGCAATCAGCTTAAGTCTCACGAGTATCGATCGTGCTTGTCGCTTCGGTGAATTTCGGTGTGCATATTGAGCCGGGATCAAGGGGGAAGATACTATAGTAAATTCGTGACCCAGTGCTCGCAATCGACAAAACCACCGAGAGGTCGTCATGCACTGGTAACGTCACTATACGCAGTGCTCTCTCCCAGGCATCTCCCCAAACGAAAGCGCTTTCTCTTTCCTGACACCGCTCGTTGTTGCCACTCCCCACCCCTACGATGGATCCCGGCGACGACCACGCCGCCACCCTGCCCAACACCCTGGAGGTTTTGCTGGAAGGGGAAGAGTTCCACGCCCGCCCCATCAGGCTCCTGAAGCAGCGCCTGGAGCTGGCCCTGAAGCGCCAGCTGGTGCTGAGCGGGTCGAAACGAGTGCTGATGGCCCTGGTCGACTTGTTCCGCCAGCTGGTGGTGCTCCCGTCGTCGCTGACCGACCTGAGGCGCCACCTGGCCTCGCTGGTCGATCTGGGCCGCCGCCTGTCCCACAGCTCGCTGCTGAAGCTGAGCGACGCTGGAGGCGAGTTCCAGTGTCGTCCCATGCGTCTACTGAGCCGCCACTCTAAGATATACCCGTCAACTCCCAGTACTCAGCCGCTGACCCCCACCGCAGCCAATTTCACAACCACCCAAAATGTGCTTACTCCCGCCGTTGAAGGGTCCGAAAAACGACGCCTGGTGGCCCTGGCAATGCTGGCAGCCCTGGTATCGCTGAGCCACCTGGCCCAGCTGGTTAAACGCCACCTGATCGAGATCCGCAACTTACCGTTTACCAAGCCGGAACCACCAAAGCTGACGGCCGACGCTAACCTGGATATGATTTTCGCCATGTGTCTCGTCGACTTCCACCACCAGCGCGGGCCGGAAGTGCAATGGTGGCGGCTGAACTACCACCCGGAGTACCACCCGCTGCTATTCCGCAACTTGCCGTTCCAAGCCTTACCCGATGGCTCCCATTTATTCGAAGAAACGTTCTCCAACTTCAATTTGGTGTACGATTTCAAGACGGGAGAACTGCTTGACGATATGAAGGAGCTTAACCTGTTTCAAGGGGACCCTCGTCACTTGAAGACGTTGTTTGGATGCTCGTGTGTGTGCCAAGTAAAGACGCTGGACTTGCTGGAAGAAGGGAGAAAGGATAAAGATATCACCCGGTCGATGGTACAGAAGGCAGTGGTGGTGATTGTCCGCAAACAGCCAGTATTCGCCAAGATTAAGGAGAAACTCTCCATCATCACCAAGCTGTACTTTATGCAAGAAACCTTCGACAATAAGCAAGTGCTTGAGGACTTGTTTGATAACCTCAACGGCTCGTTCAAGATGGACGATACCACCACGAATGACGTTGTTAACGACGTATTACTTCACGAACAACAACGGGTGCTTAAAGATGAGGAGGAATTCTTTGTCAATTTGGACTTACGGGCGACGATCATGAAGTTCAAGCAACAGTTTATGGTGATATACAAGGCGCTCTTATTGGAGAAGAAAATCGTCATTTACTCCAACACTAATATCGAGCTACTCACATTGTTCCAAAACAACTTAATCTCGCTTATCCCCAACTTGATCAACAACTTGGACGACCTGGGGTGTCCCTTAATTGACTACGTGGAGACCAACGGCCCCCTTTCCAAACCTACCAGTCTTAATACCACTAATCGCCGACTGATGCTTAGGTTCTTTGGCCTCCCCCTCCAGCTCTTCAACACTAAAAACGCCTACTGGAACCCGTACTTGCCGTTACAACAGCTTGACCAGCTTGCCATTGACTCGTTTATGATCGGTTGTTCCAACTTATTATTCGTCAATCAAGCGAAACTGTTTGGCGTCGACATCATCATCAACTTGGACACGTCGGAAGTGACGTTCCCTCAGGGCAAAGGCGACGAATACAACTTGAGCTCTAACGATAAAAAGTTTATCAATCTGATCATCCATCAAATTGGCGAACACGGCGAGGACGTGTTTAAAGGGAACGACGACTATATCCGCTACGGATTTGAAGATTACCTCATGTCGCTTATCCTGACCACTCGCTACAGCCAGTACCGAGACAAATTCAACCAGCCTCCCCCCGGATTTGAGGACTCCCACGCCACTTCGGGCGACTTACTGGCATTCAACCAGGCGTGGGTCGACCAGTGGCGGGCAACAAACAACTACAAAATCTGGAACGCCATGGCCGACGAGTTCATCTTCAATTTCGCCGAGCCGAGACATGTTGGCGTCGATATTGACGACGGGCTGAACCCATTAAAGAATATTAGCAATTTCTTCAGTGGGTGGAAACAACCGGCGGTACCGACGGCGGCGCCCCACCAACTGCTGGAGGCGCTGAAGTTTATTACCGACGAACCAGTGGTGGTGGAAAGCTCCAATCTGACCACTACCGAAACCGCTACCGACACCACGGAGACGGCGTCCGCTACTGCCCCCGCCGCCGCCGGTGAAGACGACTGGGCGATGTCGAAGCTCATTCTGAGCTGGGGGGCGTGGGGGAAAAAGAAGGCGTGAAAAGCATTTGCATTAACGAGGACGATAGCCATGATCACATATATATACACAAGTACACAGTCTTAGTACTCGCCGTGTTTGCGGAGCACTTTTTGCGGGTACAACGGGTAGACATCCAGTCTCAGCTCGATGTCGACGTCGTGGCTAAACTCGGGAACGGTGACCTTGTCGCCGGTGGCGGTGAACCCTTCGATAAGGGGAGTTTCGTCGGTGTCGACAGCAGCGTAGACGGTGCCGGAAGCGGGGTCGACGGCGAAATCAGTGATCAGAGCCAGAGCCTCGATCATGTGGCTAAACGAACCATCGAAATTGTAGACAAGCACCACGGGGGTCTGTTCGACAAGGACAAATAACTGCTGGTGGTACAGTTGGAGGCGCGTCACCACCATTTCCGGCACCAGTTCCGGCGTGCGGAAGCGCTCTGCCGGCAAGTGAGCCTCACCCAAGTAGGGTTTAATTTGCAGCGCCACGTCGATCTTGGTCACTAATTCGTTATCAAACCACTTCCACACACACACGTAGTCGTCGCCACCAGCACTAAACAATAATTCCGGGTTCAGTTGGGGGATGTGGAGGGCAGCGACAAACTCGGAGTGGCCAAAGAGCCAGTGCTTAATCACAAACAGCTGCGGGTAGTGCAGCACGCGGACGTGTTCGTCTCTGTCACCAGTAATAATGTATTTCTTGCCGTCGTGTTCCGCCATCACCACCAGGTTTAGAAGCAGGACGTGGCCAAGCACCGGTTCCATCTTCTTGGGGTCGGCGATCTCCTTGCCGCTATCCACCACGTAAACGTCACCAAATTTATCCGCCACCACCACTTCGTTGTCAGTGACGAACGCACCGGCGCTGGGACGTTTAGGACACGGCTGGCGGCGGATCAAGTCGAGTTCATTTTCCTTAAAATTAAACAACTCCACCGCTTTATCCAGGTCGGTAGCCGTCAATAATTGGGTGGCAGTGGTATCGAGAATACGAACAATGTCGTAGGCGACGGGGGCATTATCTCCCGGCTCGGCCACTTTGGTGGTTTTACCCTCAGCGGCCACTTTGGCTTTAAGCGCCAGCTGACGGTCAATCGGGTCGGTCCACTGGCCAACGCGGGCACCCAGGGTCTGGTCAAACACGTACACGTGGTTGGTGCACGTCGCCGCCAAGTGGCCACTTTTGGTGATCGCCACCTGCTGGTAAGGGTGCTTCATCTCTCAAAGGTATCTCAGGTCGTGCGATGAGGCCAGTCGCACCACGGCTGTATACGACCCTGATAAGCCTCTACCAAACTGAAAAAATAAATGGTTTATTTGATGTCTAAACTTTCATTTATACCGATGACTTGGTGAATATTTGAAATTTGTTTGACCAATAGCCATGATTTAGTGATGCCTAAATTGTCACTAAGATCGATATGTAAGGTCACCAAAGACTTTGACCTAAGGTCTTGGAATTAATCGACTAGTGGAAGCTACAATTGCAATGCTCGATTAATCTCTGGATTATAGCGGAATCTATAAATTAGTATATTAGCGATGGCAGGGACCAACTTTGTCGAGCGAGTATTATCCACAAGCTTATAACTCGTGTGAGTATACCTCGTGTGCTTGGAGTCCGTGGTGGGGATGAAAAAAAAAAATAATAATAAACAGATTAGGCGTCATCGTTTGGTATTGATGTCCAGGGGTGGTTCGTCACTTGGTGAGGGGGGAGCCGACACTACTCATTTTGCGCTTCTTGAGGGCGGCCTGTTTCGGGTCCTCAGCAAACGTCGTGAGTGGTGATGGTGACAGCACACTGCCTCGTTTCAGGCCTGCCAGCGGCGGTGGCCGCGGTGGTTGTCCCGCCGCCGTCGCCGCCGCGTGGTTGGCATTGACAAACATGTCCAACGCCTTTACCGGCAGCACCACGTTGTTCACCATCGAGAACTGCATCAACAGACGCAACTGGCCCATGACGTCCAGGATCTGCATCACTTGCATCGCCGTATCGTCGAGCCCCACGGTACGGGCGTGTTTGGCCGCCTCCAGCCCCCGGCACACCTGGGAAATGAGCTCCAGCACGTCGACGCCCGTCTTCTCCTGGAAGGCGTGCAATTGCCGTTCGAGAGCGGCCAGCAGCACCGACGACTGGTACAGGTGGCACTTGACGTCGGCCCAGTCGATGCGGAAGTCCCGCGTCATCAAGAGCTTCATGTCGCCGTGCACTTTCGCCAGCGACCCGTCCATGTACACGTAGGTCATCACCACGTTGGCGGTGATGAGCACCGCCTGCGACGCGAATACCTGGAACTTGAGGCCCGGCAAGTGGATGTAGAACAGCTGGATCAGCGACAGCGCCACCGCGGCAGCGAAGAACCTGGGGGCGGTGGTCAGATTAAGCTCGTATAGCACCAGGCCGCCGTTCTGAGCCGCGCCAAGCCCCATAAACCCACCCGACATGTGGGGCAGGTTCTTTTTGCTTCCCGGTTGCAGCTGAGGAGTAGTGGTAAACCGTAGCGAAGTGGTGGGTAAAAGGAACACCTGGGCCACCCGCTGCCAGTACTCAATACTGCGCAATTTGTCCCGCAGTTCCCCCAGGATCTGGTCGATCAAGTCGAGTATTCGCACCACGCCGGCGTTGCCCAAATTTCGCCGGAAGATCTTGGCATGGATCTCCACCTGTTGTTGTTGGTCTTGCCTCTGGGGCATCGGACCTGCTTGTCCCGCTCGCATTTGTGGGTTATACGGCTGGGGACCCGGCGGTTGGCCTGCTCGCGCCTGGGCTCCTGGCTGGCTGTTACCCGCCATCTGCGGCATCATCGGCCCACCAGGCTGGGCTCCTGGAGGCTGGGGTGTCGGTGGTTGAGTGTGTGCCTGCAGTTGGGGTCCCATTTGTGACCTCACTGGCGGCTGGCCCAGGGGAGCCATCGGTTGAGGTCCCAGCACGAACCCCAGCAGTTGCGGGATCTGTGGCGTGTGATTTTGCGAGTTATTGGCCAGGGGGTTCATGTAGGGACCTCCTTTCGCCAGTGGCGGCGGCTGCTGGCCGACGACGTGGCCCATGACCACTTGAGGCTGTTGGCCTTGAGGCTGGCCCTGAGGCATCTGCTGCGACTGGGGCGGCTGGGGTTGTCCCTGTTGCTGTTGTTGTTGCTGTTGTTGGAGCTGGCGTTGCTGTTGGAGCTGGCGCTGTTGCATTTGGAAGCGCTGCTGGGGTCCCAGCTGGAGCTGGCCGCCCTGGGGCGTCTGGGGCTGGCCCGGCTGTTGCTGCTGCTGCTGGGCCATCATCATGGTCTGCTGCTGCTGCAGATACTGCTGCTGGGCCATCATCTGGCGCTGCTGAGGCTGTTGCGGGTGCTGTTGCGGGTACATGTTCATCATGTGGGGGTTGTTGACGATGCCGTTGCCGCCGCCGGGGTTCTGGTTCATGGCACTATGACTCGAGACAGCCAACCGGGTACGCGCAACTTTTTGGGAGCGTGGTCAGCACAAAGGGGTGGGGTGGCGGTGGATTGAGCAAAAAGCGCACGGACCAGCGAGTGTTGTAGCTCCCCGTCAACGCTCGGTGTAACGATTGACAGCTCCCGTAGCGCGGTGCATATAACTGTGCGCGACCGAAAAAAAACCTGGTGGAAGTGAGGGGAAACCAGAGGCAATGGAACCCATGGCTACGAGCTGTTTGAGGGAGTTAACAGGGGGTGATTATAGCATGGGGTGAGGATAATTACTTAGTGGTGGTTTAGTTTCATTTGGTTCGCTTTTTCGTCTGCACTTTTCGAAGTGCGTCACCCTCGTGGTGGCCACAGTATTAAAGGGGGCAGCGTGGTACATCGAGACCACACGCCCCACATCTATGAGTGTTAATCGCCGTGTCTCGTACGAGGGCAAAGATCTCTTAATGAAGATGTAGATGGCTAAAGTAGAAAGGTAATACCAAAGTACACACGACGCCAAGCGTGCTACCCTCATCGCCAATCCTTTAGTCTTTATAGCATTGGTACATTACACGCGGGCGGACGGGGCGGTTTACGAGGGTTGGCAGACACAACCCTTTTTGGGTATAGTGACACAAACCGCGAGGAGGGGGCCAGTTACGGCACCGGTGGTATTCATTTCGATGTCTACTATCAGTTACTGGATTAGGCTAGCCAAGCGAATTCGATGGTTATGAGAGGCGATCCGCTAGTATAGGTTTATAAGCAAGTCACACAATCTCGCACCCTCAGGGCGATCGCACCGGTGTCGATCCCTTCCGCTGGCTCGCCGCCTGCCAAGTTTTTCTTTTTCGTCGCACGGGGTTCGTGGCAATACCGAGAAATTTCCCACGGGCGGTGCGAGTGGCCCCCCCGTATTGTAACGCTCGTCTATCTCGTTAGACGCCCGACGTCATCTGCCAGCAGTGCAAGATTAGCTTTTGTAACCCCTAACTACGAACAAGCCTATAGTAAAGGTCGAGTACTAACATTAATGCATTTGCCAGTGTTTTTACATTTCGTTTCAAATTGATTTTACTGTAGTCGTTATTCGTTACAAGATGCCGTGGACGGTCAAGGTTTCCCGCTCTTTCGTCGAGACATACGACCAGAACGCCGGGTGGGTTCGCATCGGCCGTCTCGGCTTATACGCAGCCAGTTTGGCCTCGTCGTCAGCGTCGTCGCCGTCTTTGGCCTTGGCCGCTCGCCGTTTAAGCAATTTGTTCACCGTATCCCGCTTCTCCTCTTCCTCGGCTTTACTCTTATAGTCAGCCCGACGACGAGCCGACTCCGCTTTACGAAGAGCAATTTGCTCCTCGTTCCGGCTGCGTTGTCTCAGGTTAGGGAGCTCCATCACGGCGTCGTTGTCCAATTTGCGCCGTCTCAGCGTCAGACTGGCCTCATACACTTCTTCGTCGTCATCGTCTTCATCAACACCATCGTCGTCTTCACTGATCACTCGTTTTCTTGACAGTTTGGTCGTGGGAGCCGGTTTTGCCACGGGGTTCACGTCGTAGTCTTCGTCATCGTCGTCGTCGTCCTCGGCCAGATCCAGAGGTTTTAACGAGTCGTTGCCGTCCTGTGCATAAGTATCAAGCTCCTCCGACACGTAGGAGCCGACGTCGGAAAGCTGGTCTTCGTCCAGCTCGTCGCTGGAGACAATGAGGCGAGGTCCCATGAGGTCGCACTGGTTGATCAAGGTTGATATGGACTCGACAATAATGGCCCAACTGTACCTGGAAATGACTAGAAAATTGATGTTTTGAACCTCGATAGATGTGATTAGTGGTTCACATTAATCAATTTGCCTGGCTTAGATCTAAATCTACTGATTTGACCTTCATCGGCTTAGTCTCCGCTTTGAGTCCATATCTCCTCAAATAACTCAAAGATGCCATCCAAATTGAAGAGAATCATCTAATAAAGTAAGATACAATCAAAATTTATCCAATTCATTGTCGTCTAACTCAACTTAGTGGTGATATATACTGTGCCCGCATTTGTCAGCAACGTACGGCTGCGACCGAGTACCTGACGCCACCCGTGATTGCTCGATGGCTTGTGATGTTCGCCCTAGCCCCCGTCATCGATGATATATGGGAGTACCTTGATCTCCTGCTGAAGCTGCTGCTTATCGAAGCCCTCGCTTCCACTCCCGCCACCGCTGGCATTGCTGGTCACTTAAGCCACCGCCGGCTTAAGCTCTACTTACGGTTTGACCGCAAAGCGATCCTGTTTGACTGGGCTAGCAACTTGGTGGATGAAGTGCTTATCGAAGACGCGGAACAGCTCCTCAAACAGTTCTCCCAGGTCGATTTGGTGTTGGTAAATGAAGAAGTGGTGCCGTTCGAATATATCCAATTGCGGATGAGACAGCTCTACAAAAACTATAAAAACCATATACGCAGCATTTCCCTCCACTGGGCGTGGCCCCAGCTATCGGAAGAGCCGTGGTGTGTCAAAGTATCGCTGTACTATAGCCGCGATAGTGCCGTACGTAATCCTGTGGGCACGGAATGCAACCAAATATTGATGACCAAACAGCTTCCATTACTAAACTCGATTGGGTGTGATGGTTGGTTCCCCCCAATTCAAGATTACCCCGGTTTACGCCACGTGAAATTCATTAACATTGCTTATTGTGATACCCAAAAGCTGTTCGTGCCGCCTCCGTGGCTCGAGCACTTGGGGGTGGTACGCAGCAGTATCACCATCAAAATCGAGTCGCCGCTTGTGGAATTGAAAACGTTATTATGGGAAAAGAATACTCAGCCAGTCTCACAGGTACTTCCTGGTATCCCCCATCCAACATCGCTTACGACTACCGATAGGTCCATCACTAACTACGACCACTTGACATCGTCGGTTACCACTCTCAGTTTGGAAAACCCCCGCGTGCTTGATTTGTCCCATTTTACTCGTGTTGATACCCTTACTTTCAATGGTGGTTTCCAGTACTTGGACGTGATTGACGAAGCAGTACGTCGTCAGATTACGCTGTTATCGCTTGAAAGCTGGGACGTGAAACCCGAGGTCGATTTCGCTCGTATACTCACATTGTTCCCCTCACTCAAACGGCTCCGTCTCACTGAGTGTACAGTGGTGTTTGAACCTGGCGTAAACCACGCCAATTTAGAGCACCTCGACATCCAGGAATGTGCCACTGACTCGGACTCACTCGCCACTGATCTCCCTAAGCTTCGCTCGCTTAGACTAGTGAGTAGTTTCGCCAATCGTGATATGGGTGAGTTTATTGATATCGGCCAATTGCCCGCCCTTGAGCTGTGTACCGTCTGGTTTTGTACCATGCAAACCATTGGTGGATCGCATACTCGTCTCCAGAAGCTCGAAGTATGTAGTGATGTCAACCAAGTGGACATCACCGGGTTCCCCAATCTTATCCACATCGGGATATCGTCAGCTAGCCTTACCGAACTCACTGTGAGCAACCCATACCTCAAATCGGTGGTGGTGAAAGAGTGTATTAACTTACAATCGCTCCAAGTGACGTCGCCGCAAGTGGAACTTGTTGATGCCTCTAACGTATTGGCAGTACAAGACTTGGTTCTCCCCGAGTCAGTAACGTGTTTGGTGGCCAGTCAGCCGCAACGAGTGACCACTGATGCCTCCACTTCAACATGGATGATCCCCCCATTGAAACTGGCGATCTTTAGAGTCCACGCTAACATGTTGAGTAAAGAACCGGTGCTGATGCGATTCTCTCCCGCCACCACCTACGTCGATCTCGAGATCCATGCGGGCAAACGGCCCCTCGATATCGAGTTCCCACCCCATATGACGGGGCTCCGGTGTCTGTTTGTCCCCGAAGACTTACTCCGCTATCCGTTGACATACTTGTCGGTGAACCTGAACCGTATGGAGGAGATCCGGCTCCCGCTGACGATTGAGCACTTGGAACTACGTGGCGTGGGTCCCATCCCCAAAATCGTCTGGGACACCGATAAAGCCAATGTACGCTACATCGACCTTACTCGCTACAAGTGGACGTGGTCCGATTTACCGTTAGCCAGCATGCCTCATCTAGCATTTATCAAGTCGCATAAGCCGCAAACTGAGCCTGGTCCCATACCCGTGGCCAGTCTGTGAAACGTCTATATAATTTCATACTTGCCCCAGCATAAACAACCCCTTGATACCCCTAATCTCATTCTTGGTCTCGGTAGCGATATCGCGAGTGCGAGTACGCTCACTGTCTCCAGTGTCCGCAAGCTTATACGAGAAGAACTCCGACGAGTTAAAGTACTCCAAGTCGGCTTTGTTCTGAAAGTTTTTAATCGACATCAGCGCAAGCTTATAGTGGGGGATCTCCTGGACAGAGTAGCCGCGACACTGGCCTAGGCGGTCAGAAAGCTTTGTAAGCCGCTCCACCAACGAGTTCTGGCGCAACTTATCGGTACGGTCAAGCTCAAGGTCGTCAGTAGGGTCATCGGGGAGTTTCTTGTTGACCCGTTCGAGCCACAGATCGGTGGTTTGTACCACGGCATCGGCGTACCGCTTACCATTCTTACGGTCAAACGACACGATGGGGATGTGGCTGACTTTGGTAATGGTCTTCAAGTACAAGCTAATGAGGCTGTGACGGTATTTCTCCAATACCTCGAGGCGGCGGTGGGCGGTGGTGTCGAGTAACGGTCTGATCACGAAGAACCCTATGACGTAGATAAGGGCGACGGCGAGGCCGGACCCGCGTAGAAGACGAGTAAGGTAGACAACAAGGCGGCTGCGGCCTTTGGGGAGCACGCCGTAGGTGCTGGCAGCGTCCCAAGCCTGCTCAGGAATCGTCACGACGGGCACTGACATGTGGGGAACCAACCGAGTGCGAGTCACCGATAATTGTGGGGAGCCAAGGAACACAAAAAATCAGTCCAAAAACTGTAAACTACAAAAACAAATTACAGTAATTGGAGTATGTGATCAATATTAGTTAGTGATTGGTAAAATTTGTAAATTTGATGAATTTGCCGATTGGTAAACGGTGTGATCTATATGGTTTAGCCGAGGCTAATGTTGGTGAAGCACAGTGTCGTGCGAGTGTGATTTCAGGGAAGCCCTCAACCGTTGAAGCGAGATATGACTGTAGAGCAACAAAAAAAATTGTGAATCAAATAAGTATTCTATAACTCACCTTAGAATTGTATAGTCATGTTTTAGGTACATGCCTTTGAGGTGTAATCGTTGAATCGTACGTCTTTGTAGGATTTTCTACACTTCGATAATCTGAAAATATACGTTAACTAAATAACGTCTTCATAGGATTTTCTACACTTCAATAATCTGAAAATATACTTTAACTAAATAATGTTCTAAAAATTGAAAAAACGACGTTTGAAAAAGTCCAGCTAATTGTACTGTCGAGTAGGGGGGGTTCTTCCATTGGAGGGAACAACATGCAATTGGAAATGTTAGTGGTTTCCTTCATCCTCAAACTCCTTGTGTTGCTTTTCAATAAACTGGATCGTCGAATGCATCCGGTTGTGGCAGTTGAAAAACGTGATCAAGCGGCGGCCCATGAAAATCATTGTAAAACTGTGTGTGTGTTTCTGTTCGAGTAGTGATTGAGGGATTGAGGAGAGAATTGCTAGCGTATTTATACCTGGGGGGCGTGGCTTTGCTACCGTTGTCCGTAGATCCGGTCGACGGTGGTTGATTCCGTTACCCCGAAGCGACTCTGAGTCATGGTGTCACTATCTCGGCGAACCGGAAGTTCAGCCTCGCCTAAGTTGACTAATGCCCGAAAAATACAGTTATTGCTCAACCATTACGGACCACAGGAAACGGTTAAATCAGTCAGCAATCAAGAGCATAGGGAACGTCTTCTTCAATGATTTACCCGGGATAGTCACCGCTAAAGGGGTGACCAGCAGCAACGCTGGATAAGTATGATGTAAGGAACTAAATGTACTTATTGGTGGATGTTATTACCCGTAGGTTTTTGGAGTAGTAGCAGTGGTGGCTAATAGCCGACGGCAGTGACTACTTGTGACTTTCGGGTTTACGGGATTTCTCCTAATGGGCTGTGTAACTATTTAACAATCAAAATCGGGAATAGGACGAACGGGAGAATTTAATTGAGGTTATGATAGCAAAGATGTACCCTTTCATTGGTCAATTTAGTAATGTAGAGTTAGTTAAAGTCAGTTTCCCGTTGACAGTAATGCCAAAACAAAGAGTTTTGTGTTAAATCAGTAACGTGCTTTTTGGCCCGATTGTCTCAGTAGGTTTTGACAACTGGACATGATGAACCTCATTTGAGGATCAACCATGCTCTTATTGCAAGGTTTAACATTCAAACATTCACCTCCCTGGCTTCTTTTGTGTGTATTGGGGTCATCGCGGGTCATCATCATATGTACAAGTTAGAATCAATCAATCAATGTAGTCGCCGGGGAACAGGATTTTGCCACCGTCACTAGCTTTGTTACGGTGTTGTTTCCGAGGCTTTCGGGTCGACGGAGGCAGTGAATTATGAGCTTTAGTTTCCAGGGCTGCCATAAGGTCCTCAATGTGGACTGACAGCGGCTGTTGCTCGACGCCATTAACCGGGTTCCGGGCCTTCCGCTCCTGCTTGCGCCGTTGTTCTCGTTCCCGCAACGCTAGCCCTGTTTGTTCCGACGGCTGCCACTTCGATTTGAGGATACGCCGGATCGCCTCGGGCAGCACCTGGAAATACTGGGCCAAATCCACCGTGCGGAGATGGGGCATCTGGGCAGCGATATGTTTGACGTCGTCCATCTGGTCTCGGGTGAGTTTGCGGGTGGGGTTCCACTGGCCGTAGCGTTTCTTGATGGCGGCATCGCGCTTGTGCCACTCGGGTTTGGCCGTGTTAGCGCTGGGTGAGTGTTTCAGAAGCTTCGCCAGGTTGAATGAAGCTAGACTTCGAATCGGGTTTAAGCTTCCAGGGCGTAAACTCCCTTGTAATCGGCTTATCATGACACAGTCCAAGTGATGATAACACAGTGAGCGAATGTGCGAAATCGCAGTCACTTCGCCACATAAAGGAAAACAAAGACGGCCATTTACCACCGTAAACCAGATTTGACGACTAAGACTTTCCCAAGGTAATGTAATCATAAACTCATTATTTTGCCTTTTTTTTGTCTTATCTTTGAGGCATCTTATCTTCCGAGTATACCAATATTCGCGTCTACCATATAAAATTGTGTTTGATAATGAACGATCAAATGGTACGAGAACGTACGGAAAACTGTAAACTTTATCTTGAAAATCACTACAGACAAATCCAATATTATCCAATAGCTATTCAGGGCAGTTAGAACTGGTTTACACCATCTTGTTGGGTACCAATCTTCATCGTTTCAGTTTGTATCCTGCAGGAATCCCGCCGACGGAGTTTTTCGCCACACCCTAATCATCTACCACACCCGAAGTGCACACCACAGTTCTGGCGACCATCCTCGCTTCGCTGCCCTCCGGGAATATACCCCTTCTTTTAGTGCAACCGGTGTGATGAACTTTCTCCGGAAGTTTATGGGCGTGGCCAAGGAGGAGCCCGAGATCGCCCTGGTGCCGCTGGGACGGTTCTTGTTGACGCGGCTGCCCCGCCTGCCCAAAGGGGCGTTCGAGTGTCTCTACCCGGACGCCTACGCCCTGATCCGCGGCACCTCCACTGCCTACTACCACCAGCTCTGTATCCAGCGGGTGGCTGCCGGCGCCGACCCGGCGTCGCTGGTGGGCGGGCTCAACGGCGACGAACTGGACCTGGACGACGACGACGACGACCTGATACGCCTGAACAACGGCGCCGACGACGGGCCCCACACGCTGGACGAATGGACGTTCACCATTGGCGACGATTTGGGGTTTGCTACCTTCGATAACGACCAGGGATATCGCGTAATTAGCTGGAAGGACGTCAATGGCGATTTGGGGGATAAGTTTGAGTTTATCGTTGATCCCAGTGTCGATCATGCTCGTGTCGATGATTTCATTCTTATCTTATTTAAGTGTCTTTATGAGGCTACCTACCAGGAACTGCTGGAGTCGATTAAGCTGCTTGACGATACCCGATTAGCTACCCTCGTGAGTAATAAGCCGACGGAGCTCATCGATGACCCGTCGCTGATTCTCCTGTACCTCCAACTGCTGCTGCTGCTGCTGCTGGCCAACCCTATCTACCTGGAACAAGCTCGTCATTGGTGACTTTGAGGGTATTTTGTGAGTATTCGTGGCTAATCCAGTGGTACCAAAACGTCGGGAACGTTTTAAAGGTATCACATCTCCATCATAATTTACATGCATTGATCTATGTCCAATCAGGTCAATAACTTATGATATTGAGGTCCTGAGCCAACGGGGCGAAGCTAAGGCTGTCAATCTCCTTTGAACCTGTGTTCTCCACTGTTGAATGAGAGCCAGCATGACTCGGGTAGTTTTTGGTAGTTACTGATCTCCGAGCCTTCCGAGGAAATAAATAATTTATAGCCACAAATTGTAGTACAACTACCCTCACTTCTTAAAACCAAATGTCCGTTTCATCTCATCGGCCCAAATAATCCGAAAGGCATTAAATTTTTGCCAGGGCGTTGGCTTATACGTTTGGGCATTAAGCTTCCTCATCTTTGCCTCCTGGATATGGGGGGGGTCCTCATAAGGGATACGGTTGATGCGATGGTGGATCCGTTTCACCCACTCACGGAACCGCGGCAGCTCGATGAGCTTACGGTATAAAAGCTCCTCCAACGACTGTGGCGGCGGCCTCATATTGTCCCGACTTATTTATATAGTATTGGAAACTGGTGCGGCTCCTAGCAATGGCAGGTTCGCACTGGTACTGAACAAAGCGAGTGACGACACCACCACCTCGACGACCTCGAACCGATTTGGACACGCCCCTGCTTCTTGCGAGTGATTGCTTGAACTTTTAAACGCGTCAAAACCTTTGATGATCACCGACTCCCAGCTTAACACGATCGCCCTCGGCTTCGGGTTTGCCCTGATCTTGTTGATCTTGGTGTACCACACCATCCTGACCAACGTCAAGGCGTTGGAGGAAAAGAAGCGGACCTAGAGGTGAAATGATGGAACTTGTGTATACTAGATAGGACATACGGTAATGATACAACCTAAATATTGGTAACGATGGCTACTTGACAGGACGACACGATCGCGGTCTTGAGTTAGAAAATTGCTCGAATATATCCAATTGCATACTTTGATGTTTTGACGTGGTTACAATCTATCAACTGGGTAAAACAATATCATCTTGCCTGGTGATTTCACAATATTGCCAGCAAGATGTTGAGGGTTTCTCGTTATCAATTAATGTAGATGTCTGTCTGTTAGAAGGACTATCAATATTTTAGCTTCTCATCGGTGACTAATATTCAATCTGCTATAAATTGTTCAGATATTTCATTGCAAGAATTACGACATGCTACTTTTAATGGCTACTGCGTGGAGGCTGATATAACCCTATCGGTGCCCAATTCTTACAATAGCACCAAAATAAAAATTTTCAATGCCTCTGCATAACTCACTATAATAAATCAATTGCACACTCACCTTCAATCTTCACTTACCAACATATCCAAACATTCGTCATTCCATCATAGTCGCTCCGCTCGCCCTCGAATTTTCGCCACCATTTCGCACCCGCGAACAACCTCACCACCAACCAGTACCCGCGAACCATGGCTGACAGATACTCGTTCTCGTTAACGACATTTTCCCCCAGGTAAGTAAACTTCAAATTGGTGGTAAGTGGATGGATTTCAACCACTGATTGATGGAGGATCACGTTCCACGTGAGACCCACTCCTCGAGTCCTCTACTAACATACTAGTGGCAAGTTGGTCCAGATCGAATACGCCCTCAACGCGGTGAAACAAGGTGTCACCACCATTGGCATCAAGCTGGGCAACGGGGTGGTGTTGGCGACGGAGAAAAAGGTCAACTCGCCGCTTGTCCGCACCGACCTCGCCACCACGCTGAAGGTGGAGCTTATCACCCCTGATATCGGCATGCTGTACTCGGGGATGGGGCCTGATTTTAGAGTGCTTGTTGACCGTGCCCGCAAGTTGGCTCACACCAATTATAAGCGCATCTACAACGAGTACCCCCCGGTGAGAATATTGGTCCAGGAGATCGCCAAAGTGATGCAAGAACTGACCCAACTGGGGGGGATCCGCCCCTTTGGCGTGTCGTTGCTTGTGGGCGGCTACGACCAACACAGCCAGGAGTTCCAGTTGTACCAAGTGGACCCGCTGGGGTCGTATTTCCCGTGGAAGGCGACTGCCATCGGCAAGACGCTGAACTCGGCGAAGACGTTCTTGGAAAAGCGGTGGACGGAAAACTTAGAGCTTGAAGATGCTATCCACGTCGCTCTCTTAGCGCTTAAGGAGCTGGTTGACGGCGAATTGACGGGTGACAACTTGGACATTTGTATCGTCAGTGACCCTCAAGAGAACGCGTTGGGCTTTAAGGGGACCGACATCGAAGGCCCCCGCTTCCGCAAGTTGTCGGCGGACGAAATCAATGATAGATTGGATGCGTTGTAATGATAATGATAAGCAGGTTTAACTAGTCGTAGTCAGTAGTGGTAGTGTGGTCACGTGACTTACTCCTAAAGATTCAGTGCGAACAGCGATAATGCGATGACCATCGCGACCGTCTAAGACCCTTTACCACCTTACACCCCGACTATGGCCAAGGCGAAACTGAAAAAGAAAGGCGGGCAGGCGGGGCTGAAACAGGCTCAGCGCAGTCAGCGGAAAGTGTTGGACGCGTTCACCCGCGCCGAGCGTGAGCTTAATGGCGGTGACTCCGATGAAGACGATAACGGTGGCTCCGATGACGATGCCCACCGCGTCGTCGGCGGGGTATTGGACGCCCGGCGCTTTCTTGGGGAAGATGCTGAGAACCACGGCGACTTCTCCGACTCGGAAATCGACTCCGACGCCGCGTTGGGCTCCGACGACGACTACGATGTGCTCAACCTGAAGTTCTCGCAAACGCTTAGAGATAAGGCGAAAAGACGACGGCTCGCAGAGAAACGGGGCGAACAATACGAAAGCAGCGACGAAGACGACGATGAAGGATACGCCAGTATCGACGAACTGCAGATGGTCCCCCTCTCAGTGGCGTGGGACATGGATGAAGCCGATTTAGCTAAGCAGACGGGCGAGGTGGTATTGGACGACCAGTGGGAGCTGGAGCTGGAGTCGGAGCTGGAACTGAGTCTGAGCGACAGCGACGACGCCAGTCTGAGCGACGAGCTGGACGTGTTTGCCGGGTTTGACGACGACAACGACGTCAACTTGACGACGACGATGGCGCTGCTCAATCAGGAAATCGAGCTGGAAAAACCCAAACAGAAGAAGAAGCTCATGGTGGAAAAGAGAGAGGAGAGCGAGTACGCGTTGCCCACCAACGGGGCCAAGTTGCTGCTTCAAGATATGTTGGCGGTGGTGGAACAACCGGACGCGGTGTTAATTGATAGAGACACCACTCCCCTTGCCGTTCCCTTACCGAAACGGATCCAACAGCGTCACGACCGGGAAGCGGCGTTTGAGTTAACCAGAAACGAGATCGGTAAGTGGTCGGAGGCCATCTATACTAATCGGGAAGCGGAAACGCTTAAGTTCCCCATTGCCCCCGAACCTGAGTTGCCGCTGAAGGCGCTTACGTTCCGCCAAGAAGCCGAGGCCTCTACCGACTTGGAAAAGAAGATCGAGCTGGTGCTTAAGCAGCTGGCGCTTTTAGATGAACAGAACGAGGCCACTTTTGAGGAGATCCAAAAGGCCAAATTGCTGCCGGAAGAAGTGCGCAAACGGACGGCGGAGCTCAGACAGATGCGTGAGCTTATGTTTAGAGACGAACAGCGGGCGAAGCGGTTGAAAAAGATCAAATCCAAGCTGTACCGCCGGGTGCTTAAACGTGAACGTTTACGTAATGCTGAGTTAGTCGATGACGAAGAAGACGAAGACAGCGACGACTGGGAACGTGACGAAGATAAAGACATGAGACGCGCCGAAGAACGGATGCTGCTTAAGCATAAAACGCAGGGGAAGTGGGCGAAACTGATGATCAAGCTGGGGCTCCTGAAGGACGCCGACTCGCGGGCCGAGCTTGAAGAGATGTTACGCCAGGGCGAACGGTTGCGGGAGAAGCAAATGGGCCACGCCGACGGCGACCAGAGCGACCTGGGGGTGCTGGACGTCGAACAAGAGTACCAGAAAGACGATACAGTCGCCGACGACACCTTGCGGTCTCGCTTGGGTAAAGGGGTGCTTGCCATGAGTTTCATGAAGAAGTCTCAGGAGAAACAGAGACAACAGAACCTCGCCGAGATCGAGGAGATGAAACAGTTGGAGGAAGGCCATGAACCGTCGCTGGTGAACCAACATATAAATGTCGGTAGACGGGTATACACCCCGGGGGCTGCTGCCACTAAAGCCGATGCCGAACGGGTCAACGCTGAGCTCGACGCCTTTGCCGAAGAGAACCAGCTGGCCCTGTTGGAGAATAAGCTCCGGGGACGCGACCGTATCGTGGAGATTAACGAGGAAGAACAAGAGTCTCAGCCCATCGAGCAATCGGAGTTTTCTGAGGCGAACCCGTGGCTCCAGGTGAAGCTGGATAAGCACCTGGGTCCCAAACTGCTGAAGATCCATGTGGTGGACGAGTCGCTGTCCAAGCTCGCCAAGGCGGCGGCGAAGATCGCTAAGCAACAGAAGTCTAAGCACAAGGAGAAGGAGCTTTTGATTGACATTGACCAACAACAATTACGCGGTGACGTTGATGCTGATGGCGACGATAGCGATGACGGTAAGTTTGTCCAGAAAGATCTCATTTCCGAGGCGTTTGCTGGTGACGATGTTGTCGCTGAATTCGAAGCGGAAAAGCGTGAGGTGATTGAAGAAGAAGGCGATAAGGAGGAAGACGTCACTTTACCTGGGTGGGGTGACTGGGCTGGCGACCTGGCCCCGCAGAAGAAGCGGCGGAAGGTGGTTCGCAAGATCGATGGGGTGGTGCAAGCTAACCAGCGTCAAGATAAGGATATGAAACGGGTGATCATCAACGAAAAGGTGAATAAGAAGAACCTCAAATACCACTCGCTGGCGGTGCCGTTCCCTTACGAGTCGCAAGAACAGTACGAGCGGTCGTTGCGGATGCCCCTTGGCCAGGAATGGACGACGAAGCGTGCCCACCAACGCATGACGACGCCGAGAGTGCTCGTGAAACAGGGTACGGTGATCGACCCGTTGAAGGCCCCCTTCAAGAGTAAATAAGCCACGATAATGACTCAATAAATAACGCAAAAGACTCACTTTGTACAATTTAGATCTGGTTTTTAAAACTTTTTTTTTGATCACTCACTTCCTTGGATTGAAATTTAAGGAAGGTACAGGGTGATAGGGGGTAAAAATTATAAGCTTTTGATCATGCAATCAGTTAGTTGGTTAGATTTATGTCTCTGGCGAAGAGAAAGAAGGTTGGCGCTGGCCCCTCCAACTCTACTTCAGTGACTCAATTGCCTAAGTTCCAAGGTCTTTTGGGGAAACTTGCTGACGCCAGCGACCGCCAGTTCTTAACTGACTTGATGAAAGACGTGGAAGACGTGGTTCAAGATTACGAAGCGGCGTGGAACATGATCAGTATCGCCTCAAACCCGTTAAGTGAGCTTATTAATTCAAAGGAATCTCTCCCAGGGTTAAACCGTGACGATGTTCAACACTTAAACCAATCGTTTGCCCAGATTCAAGCTAATTATGACCAACACAAACAACAAATTGAGGCTCTGGCGGATTTACTCTCGATGTTTACCGACGAAAAGGGGTACATTAACACTCGTAAGACTGTCGACACGGAGCTTGACGTGTTGAAAGTGGCTACTACCATGGAAATCTCAGAGTTGTTGGATAATCTCTACGGGGTGCCTCGCGAAACCTGTCAACGGCTTAAGGAGTGCTTTGACAAGGCGAGACAAGAGGTCGACGACTTCAAGGCGGCGTTGACGGAAAAGATCGTCGAGACGTTTGCCGAGAGATTACACAACACCACCATCCCCAGCGTGGTCATCATGGAGGCGGTGTTGATGCTCCGCGACACTGCCAACTCCGACCCCAAGCGCCAAAAGAAATAGGAGCTAATAATTAATATCACAAGTGTTCGAAATTGATACGTAAATATTTCAGTTCTCGTTTGTGGTTAAGTTTTGGCTGACAATTTTAGTAGCCGTTATTTGTAAGGTGTAACGAGGGGTGCAGCCAGGGGCACGCGTTGCCGAGACATTCGAGTGAGTCGACGGAATGTCCACTTTGAGACTATCCAAACGACTTGAGGATGTCTTGGTGACATCTAGAGACCAAACTAAGCTTGATAGACGGTACAAATCGTTTGGTGCTCACGTAATTGTCTACAATTCTGGCAATAGTCAAGTGGGTCATGGGTATCTTAAATTCATTACGTACGTTACAGGTCAAGTAGACACAGAGGGGAGCTGGTGGAGACCCCGGCACTCGAGCTCATGGCTATAGTCGCCGACAAGGTCACGGAAGCGGTGTGGCGAGAGCAGGGCGAGACTGAGGCGTGCCTGGTGACGGGTATAGGGCAACAGCGGCGACGTCGAGACCGGAGGTTGTTGCGGTTGTTCCATACGACGCTTCACTTCATCATAAACATCGACGGAAAACTCACGGAACTGGGCATCCAGGAGCCGGCTCCATTTCTGGTGGGCCTGGGCGGTGCGGGTCTCATCCGATAAAGGCGAGCCAAGCAACTCGTCCAGCGAGCGGAGAAACTGTTTCACGACGCGGTGGTGGTGGTGGAGCTCAGGTTCAGGCATGACTGTTGAAATTAACGGCTTGCTTTGAGTGTATTTAAAGGTTTATCGGCCCCCATCGGGTGTACGTAGGGTATATGCAGGCACGTGGCTCGCCGATGGCCGTGTGGCAGGGAGCTCGTAAACTGGCCCGAGGTTGCGGTAAATTCCTGTCTTCCCCCCCCTGCGGTTGCTATTGCCGGGGTGCCATATTTCGAGGATGCAGTGTTGTTTATTTGCCCGGGGAAAGTGGTCCAATCGTTAGAGGCATGGGGTCATCGTGATGACGCTTGATGGCCGTCTATTTTTGTGGGGTGCAGTGGCAGCTACAGCACCCGGGGAATGTAAGGGGAATGAGGAATGAGGGGCGGAGGAGGGGAATCTCGAGTAGTGGAATTGAAACGTAGAAAATTGTAAGATAATGCTTGCTTGATACAACGCATGGCTTTGGTGTCGATCGCTGCCATCAGATAGAAAGAGAGGAGCACATGAAACGACGATGATTGCGGTGGGTTGCTATACACTATACACGATGACATATCTGGATCATTGCCAAGGAAGGCTTCGATAGGTAATGCCCAACTGATTGCCGAGTGAAAAATCAGGTAAAGAATAGTTAATCGAGGTAACTTGAAATCGAAGGAAGTGGTTGACCAGAAAAGAAACATTTTGTTCAAACGCTATAGATGACATGTTTTGCCACTACTTCGTGCTGAGTTGTATTTCCGGTTGGCGTTCCCCGTTTTGAGCTCCTGTTGGCGATGCCCGTTTAGGGGATATCGCCTCACTGACGGAAGCAGTAAGTTCGATTTCTTTTAATAATGGCAATTTTACAAATTTCAACAAATGTAGGAAAAATAGGATGCAAAAGTATTTCTAAAACTATTGAGTATACAGTCTATCTTTACACAGCCTCGAATAGGGGGTGGCAAATCGTTTTTGGGTGATATAAATTCGCCAAGGTTCGATCGGGTTCTACGGAATGCTTTTGGAGCCGTAGGGGGCCGTGTTCATTGCGTCACGTGACCTCGCGGAAGGCGAAATATCAAAAGCGATCAAAATTTTCCCTTCGACTCCAAGAAAGCCACGCCACCAATATGAATCCCGCCGTGACCAACTTGGTATTGATGCTCACCATGATGCAAGTCGCCAAGAAGCTCGACTTCGAGGACCCTCAGGTCTTGCTCTACGCGCGGGTCGGCTACGTCGCCTGCCAGGTGATTGCCCTCGCCGTCTATCTTATCACCAGAGCCAAGATTAACAGCAAAAACGACATGGTGACCCTCAAGTACGTCGAGCCGGCTAACCCCTTTGGCGGGGAAGCGGCTCCCAAGGCTACCGTCACCACCGTTAAGGAATACGACTTGAAGCAAGTCGACACTCAAATTAAGGGGATCTTCACGGGGATGGCGATGTTGGGGTTCATGCACTTGTACATGGGGTACACCAACCCGTTGCTCATGCAGCTGATTTCCACCGTCAAGCTGGCGCTCGAGCTGAACATCGTCAAGATCCACGTGTGGGGCACTCCCGCCACCGGCGACTTGAAGCGTCCGTTCAAGCTGGCCCCCGGGTTTTTGCAACAATTCATGGGCGGGGACAATGAAGTCAAGACCGACAAGCAGCTGGTGGAGGCGGCGGAGAAGGCCGGCGCCGGCGGGGTCAAGGAAGACTAGTTTAATAGAGTATTATGTACATTATCGACGACCCACGAAGACGAAAAGATATGAGATGAAACGACGTAGTATTGTCATGACAACCAAAGAAAATGCCAGTAACATTGATTAGGGGACCGGTCTGGCCATCGCAGTGTGTGGTTCACCGGAGCTATCGCACACACCCACACTAGTTACTGGTGGACCTATGAATCTGGAAGTCCAAGATATTAGACTAAACCAATGAAAAATTGATCATTCTGATTCGTTAGAGATTTAGTTCAATCAGTATTAGTCGTCAAGTTCGTCTTTACAACTAATTAAGCTGGGGAAACGTGAGTGTCGACTGCGGGGTCGGGGATGTCTCGATTTGGTAGGTGACTCCGTTATGAGGTCATCACTCCGTGTATACAAAAAACGGACCCCACGGAGAAACCCTTGAAGAACCAGTCGATTCGAGTAAATCAAACGTCCATACCATCAATAAGTTTCACTATAGTTACTCGGGAAAGTGCGGCGTTTGATCTCTATCGATCTGATCAGATATCGCTGGTGGTCGGGTTTATATGGGGGGGGATCGTTCCACCGGTGCATGGGCAGCCCGCTGTTTTCTTGTACACGGCACGACTTTTTTTCGATTAGGGGAGAGAATCAATGAAATTCTGCGAAATCTGCGGCCTATATAAAGTAGCGGATCTGCCCGCTTTAATCGACATCTATCCTACATCAATTGAAATATGTCTTCGTGCTCTTGTTCCGGTAACACTGGTGGCCAATGCCAATGCCAAGGTGAATGCAAGTGTGACCACTGCAAGAAGTAAATAGCGGGTTAGCCCTAAATACATGCTGGTACCACAAAGGTGTAGCCGACAACTATAATGGTTATGACTAAGTATAAATACAAACTGTTTGGGTACACAATCAAGGATTGTACGACTGATGGTTTTACAAATTTACTTTGAGAATTGATGGGCGTAGTTATTATGTCGTTCTGGGTTGGGGCAATTTATCAGTGATGGATGGGCCGTTAGCTAACAAGCTATATTTAGCGATAAGGATAAATCCGACGGTTAGAGTTAGTATTTGAAACATACGTCAAACTGGTCCACGCCACAGTGAGCAATTTAGTTTGACCAAATGCTGATTTAAGCGTAATTATAATTACACTACTCACGAGGGGTGATCAGTCGCATTTTTGCTATGATTGCGGCGAAGAGACATTTGTCGCGACCAAAGAGAAAAAAAAGAAAATGTACAATTAAATTTCGGTGCCAGGTGTCACCAGGACAACCAGACTAGGGGTGAAATCCATCGCATTTTCGTCGTTATCTACGAGGCGGCCAGCCTAGAGTGAAGAAGTAGACAGTCTAAACAAATGCCATATCGTTAATGATATCGTTAATGCTGTCACTGCCGGCACTGCCGGCACAGTGAGGCTTATCGCACGTGGCGCGGAAACACTAAATTCATCATCGCTCATTATCTATAGTCATACAATATACCCACCAAATCACCGGATACCAACGTAACATAAATCAAAATAGTAGTCGTCACAATCATGCAAAGGCCTGGAAAGATGCTAAAATGGAGGGGGGGTTCATAAATATTTAGGGGGGGAGGTTCACGCCGTGCACAGGCACTCGGGGACCGGGGCACCTTCCAGGGTTGCACCAGACCGAGGCTGGTCTACGACGCCGGCGTCGAGTTGGCGGTGGCGCGGGCCCGCCCCTGGAAGCGCGGGGGCAGCACCAGCTCCAGCAGGGGCAGGAACGTCGCCGCGGTGTATGGGTTGAACTTCTTCGGCGCCAGCATCTCGGGGATGTCGGGGCAGAACTCCATGTCGTCCTCGATGTCAAACAGCTTCAGGAGGTAGTAGCGGAAGCGCGGGTTGGCGAACGAGTACCCCAGCATCACCAGCGACACCAGCGAGGGTGTCAGCGCCTGCGAGAACGTCGGCAGCGACGCCGGCGACGTGTACTGCTGGTAGGTGTTGTTGTTGTAGTAGGCCATGTAGCGTGTATCAGTGGTGGGGGGAGTATGGGAGAAATAGTGCGGTGGAGGTGTCGGGAGCCAGAGGTTAAATACGTGGGCCATGGTACATGAGCGATTGGGCCACGCACGTTATTGGCGTCTGCATACAGGCGCACGCCTTCTCCTCACTGGGGGGGATAACAAATAGGACCCTGATCCCGTTGGCCCTCATTTTTGTAATTTCAGAAAAAAAAATCTATAGGTGTGTCGGTAGTGTTTCTAGGTAGTAGGGAGGGAAGACGGAGGTGTGTAGACGGTCGCTGGGTCTTTGACTGGAGATGTTGGCGATGCGCCTGACAAAAGCAACGGAGCCACCAATCAGCGAGGGGGCGGCTGTTCGCGCGCTACAAACGCATGACCCCGTGCATCTTCTAGAAATTGAGCTGTCGCTGGGTCCAGGCAATCCTTCCGTACTGCACATAGTTGCGAGCTATCGGAAAAGAAATTTGGGTGATGACGGAACCAGCACTACCGACACCACAACAAAAAAAAAAAAAGTCGCACTGCCCCACACTAGTACTAATCCCACAACCTTCTATTTTCATGGGAGAAGGTTCTATCTGCAGGAACACCTCGAAAAATTCCCCGGACTTCGATGGCGACCGATCGCCTTCCATCGAAGCGCCACCGCTGGGAGCCATTAGTAAGCTTCCATAGAATTCCACCCGACTATATAGCCACAGACTTTTCTGCCTCAAACAAGAACTAAACCAATTACCTTCTCTATGTTGCAATACGAAAACTACTACTACCTTGAGCCCGAAGTGGTGCTTGTCCCCTCGTCGGGCCCAGGCTGTTGCCAGGTGGTGGCGGCGAGAGAAGCGGCTCGAGCAGAAGCGGCTCGCCGGGAAATCGCCCGCCAACGGGAAATCGCCATCCACAACGAGATTGTACGCCAACAGCAATTGGCTCAGCAGAAAGCTCAGGAGATTGCCCACCAGCAGATGGTGGAGGAATACGCCTTGCAAATTGCTAGAGAGCGAGCTGAGGCGATTGCCAGACAGGAGAGAGAAGAGATGCTTAGACGCCAGCAGGAATTGGCCCACCGGCGGGCGGTTGAACTCGCTCGTAAAAAGGCGCAAAGACAAGCGCAACGGGAGGCGAAGCGCAAGGCCCAGGCCGAGGCCGAGGCCAAGGAACAAGCGAGACAACGCATGGAACAATTGCTCCAGCAACAAGCACAACAATTGCTCGAGCAACAAGTGCAACAAGTGGCCAAGCAACGGGCCTACGAACAAGCAGTGAGGGAAGCGGCTGCTCGCCAACAGCGTCAGAACCGCCAGCAGCCGAGAGTGTTCACCCGTGAAGATGCTAAGCGGTACGTTGTGATTCTCAAAGGTGTGGAACTGGCCAAATTGAATGTGCTGTACTTGAGAGACGAGAACCAAGTGGTGGTGGAATTGGGCGAGAAATTGCCCGGTTACTCTACTGCGGATACGGTGACGATCAACTTTGCCGAACCCGTCGATGGGTACCACGTGGTGGGCCAAATCATCGAAGGCGACTTGGTCTTGACCTGTCCCAAGAAGGAGACTTTGACTATTGCCCCCACTGAGACTACTAACGCTACTGCTGAAACCGAAAAGGAACTGACTGACGCTAATGGCGATGCTAACGACGATGCTAACGACGACGCTGAAGAGGAAGAATCGGAAGCTGAAACTGCATCGGTGACTCAGGAACTGGACTGGGAAGACGTCGACGAAGATAAGGAAGAAGCCGCTAAGGAAGCTGAACCGGAAACTAAGGCTGATGAGGCTGAAGCTAAAGAGACTGATGGTGATGCCAAACCGGCTGAACCGGTGGTGGAAGAACCTGCCGAACCCGAAGTGGAAGAGCCTGAGGAAGCCGTCGCCGTCGAAGTGACCGAAGTCGAAGCCCTCGAGAGAAAACGTCGCCTGTCGGAACTGCTGGAATCGGATGAGAAGAAGATTAAGTCCCAACAGAGTCTGCCCAATGTCAAGCCAGTAGTGGTTCGCCATGTCACTCTTGAAGAAATTGAGGACGCCGACTTAAGCCTGTAATGACGTTACGACCGGTTTTATGTGTATAGCTAATGTTTAATAAACCAAATCCCGTGGATAAAACTGTAGAAAGGACTCTATTCCTGTGTTAAACCCATACACGACTATAGATAGCACCACGCTTCTGTTTGGTTCTAGCATCGCCCAAGAGTTCTAGCATCGCCCAAGGGTTCTAGCATCGCCCAAGCGTCTGTTTGGCCCTGCTGGTTGAGACTATGGCAGTCCCATCAACTCAATTAGACTATACTCGTGCTAACTAAAATACAAGTTCAGGTTTTTCCTCCTCTCTCTCGGCGGGTCACTGCTATCGCTGGGTACCAGCTCGCCTTTGCTCCGGTGCAGATGAGGGAAGTATACCACGTTTATGGGAGGCAAGTAGTATACGTTCAGAATGGGGAAGTACTTGTATCGCAGCAGCGTCAGCAAGTCCTGGTTATCCTGCCCGGGGCCTAGGACATCGGCTGCCAGCAGTTCCAGCGACTGTTCTCTTTGGGTAGTGGTTGTTTGTGGTAGTCGAGCCTCCGAGTCGTCCAGCTGGTCGATATCGTTATTATTCTGTGGCGCCGGGTCAGCGCTTACACCACGCTCAAACTGACCAGTTTCGTCACCGGGCTCAGCGCCACCACTTATAGCTAGCTTATACGACTGTTTGCTATACAGCAGGCGGCCTCGTATGAGCATATCGTCACGGTCAGCGTAGAAGCTGGGGTTACGTCCTCTGACGATGATTGGCTCCAGTTTCAATTCACAAAGTAAGATTTCGTTAGTTTCGCCGCCGCCGGTGCCGCCAGCTCCAGTAGCGCCGGCCATCCCCGGGTCCTCTTCATAGTAGTCATCATGGTATAAATCAGCGACCACCGCCGAAAGTTTAACTATCAAATGGTAATAGTTTTGGAAATTCAGGTGGCCGTTATTGGGAGTAGCGCTTTTAAACTGACACTGTTTAATCACGAAAAACTTATCGATGATGCCATTATCCACCGGTTGGTCATCGTTAAGGAGGATAATGTGTTCCAGATTAAGGATTTGCGACGGCACTATAGTATCATCACTCAGCGTCGTCACTTGGGCTCGTTTCTCCTTTTCCGTTTCTTTGTATAGGTCCCTGATTTTGATGCTAACGTCAGATTTGCTGGTGCGGGGCATCTTGGTACCCGCGAGCACTTCAAGCTTGAAGTACTTGATCACGCGAGTGATAGTGTAGCCAAAATCCAGGGTCTGTACTCGTAAAAGCGGCAGGGGAAACTTTATCCCAGAAATTTGCATATTCATCGAGATCTGGATATAGTTGCGGCGGTAACACGAAATCACTGCTGGCGGCACTGGCCCTTCACCAGTAGCTTGGTTGGGTACTGACGCGAGGAAATTACTATTGTCGATGTCGTTAGTAAGGAAACGACCATTAAGAAACCCTCCGAAAGTGACATTAACGGGGTTATTATCCTTATCGACAATGGTAAAGTTCAGCAGTTGCGAGTGCGGCTGGGGCTTTAAATCAAGCAATCTCCGCAAATGATGAGCCCGATAATCAAACTCAATCTCTCGTTTCACCGGTTCCCTGCGTCTCTGTTTGCGTCTCAGCTGTTCCCGCTGTTGTGGAGGCGGATGAGGGTAGTTATTCATCGGAGTCAGAGCCGCTGCCAGAAGCGAGCCTGGCGGCGGCGTGGCTACGGGAGGCACTCCTCCGTACGTACCAAACTGTGGGGGCATCAGTACTGGTGGATACGTCTGTAAATGCCCGGGAACGTGGGGTCTTTGGTTAGTGTTCAGCCCCGTGGCCTCGACGGGGATAAAGCCGGCGTAGTGGTTGTGGGTCATGAAATTGGCCAACACTTCCTCGGCCACCGCTCCTGGCAGCGGCAGCATCAGTTTGGTCATCACTGGCGGCGGCTGGAGCTGGGCCCACCCCCAGTCGGCGTTGATATCGGTGTCGGGCACTCTAGCATGGTGGGGCCCTGGGGGGTCTGGGTGGAGGATATCTGGGAGGAAAAGCAGCGCCAAGTCGTCCAACCGTTCGCTGGAGTCCATCGGGAGTCTGGGTTAGATGGGGGAAGGGGGTGGGGGAGAATGTGGGTCAATGGAGATGGGAGACGTTTTTGTGGGGTCGATGCCGCGCCAAATAATGTGACGTTGCGGAGAAGACAAGGGGAGATATGGGGACAAGGGGAGGAGGATATCAACAATTTAAAGGGTGATATCATCTATTTATGGGTTACACTACACGATAATGTATTAAAAAAAGGGATTGTCTTACGATTTGTTTGTGTTTTTTGTCGGGTGGTTAGAGTGTCTCCATGGGAAATGTCGCGTGGGAGGTCACCGAGACTGTGTGCAGCACTGGCGAGGATAATGTAACCTGAGGTTACATCGACTATGCCGTGGTCCCCTATCTTCCCCGATGTGGAAAATACATCACCATACTCCCCATCTAGAAGTTTTCCAGAATACCTTCGATGATTGGAGTAAACCCTCGCGCTGTTAGCGAATTTCGTCACTATAATTTCTGGTGGTGAGACTACTTTAAATTAGCTCTCTAAACCATTAGATCTACGGAGAAATCGCCCGTAAATGAAGCAGTAGTCTTCACATCATCTACCGACAACTGCTGGACGCGGACGGGTGTTCGCTAGCTGCCGCCGAACACGTCAAAAACACATGTCGGTGGCCTTCGGGTGCCTGATGTAAGTCCGGTGCCCTTTCGGTGTTAGTTGACGCCCATTGGCTTGTGGACAGGTACGGCGACGATTACCTAGCCAAGAAACCTGGTATTATTTTTGTCGGATCACTTTTTTCAAACCCCATCGGAGCTTGCTGACATTAGGCATCCATTGGTAATGCAGAAGAGAGATCGAAGTATAGCTAAAACCAGAGCAAACCAAAAAAAAAAATGAACAAACCACATAACATGATGAACATTTTGAAGAGTGACTACTTCGATTTTCTCTCAGAAGTCGCCATTGTTTCCTGGTTTTCTTGGGGGTGGTTTGTCGAGGCTCGGTGCGGCCCGCCGTGCGATGACATCAGCGCCAGGATCACCGACAGGTGGAACGAGCACTTTCCCACGAGTACGCCAGCATAGCAGGCTACCCAATAGCCACCACCAGGCTGGGGACCTAGTCGTTTTTCTGGTTTGTTTATTTGTTTACAGTCGTGGCTGGGTATAGCCTATACGGTGTATGTAGGTGGGGGTACTAAAAATAGGATGGCCACCGTTAGCAGAAAATACCGGCGCAGCACGACCGCCAATACGCTCGCAGGCCCCCTCCCCTGGCTGCCGCCCATGGCTAAAGCCCTAACCAGCGGCAGCGGCGTTTCGGTTATGATTGCGAGCGCCTAATGGAGAGGGCAGGGTCGTGCATGGGCACGAAAAATCATATATATTACTCGCCTGCGGGGCCCTCCCCCCGGGTGTGTCTTGTGTGCCATGGCAACCTACCCCGGACGCACCGCCCACCAGGTGTACGGCCAGGACTTTATCATTGACAACCACTTTCTGATCATCAAGGAGTTGGGCCATGGAGCGTACGGCATCGTGTGCAAGGCGCAGTACCAGAACGGCCTGGAGACGCTGTACGTCGCCATCAAGAAGATCACCAACATCTTCAGTCGCAAAATCTTGTGCAAGCGGCTGTTGCGGGAATTGATGCTTTTGCAGTTCTTTAGAGGGCATAAAAACATCACCTGCTTGTACGATTTGGACATCATCCCCGATCCGGTGACGGGCCAGTTTAATGATGTCTACTTATATGAGGAGTTGATGGAGTGTGATATGAACCAGATCATCCGGTCAAAACAACCGTTGACCGACTCCCACTACCAGCTGTTCATCTACCAGATCCTTTGCGGCCTTAAATATATCCATCTGGCCGATGTCCTCCACCGAGATCTCAAGCCCGGTAACCTCTTAGTGAATGCCGATTGCGAATTGAAAATCTGTGATTTCGGTCTTGCTCGTGGGTTCAGCGAAAACCCGGAACAGAACGCCGGTTTTATGACGGAATACGTCGCTACTCGGTGGTATAGAGCCCCCGAAATCATGCTTCTGTTTACTAATTACACTAAGGCCATCGATATCTGGTCCGTCGGGTGTATTCTTGCTGAGCTTCTAGGTGGTAAAGCCCTCTTCCGAGGCCGGGACTACGTCGACCAATTGAACCAGATATTACTCATATTAGGCACCCCACCGGAGGAACTGCTTGTTAAGATTGGTCTGATCCGCGCCCAGAACTACGTGCGCTCATTACCGTATATGGCGAAGGTGCCGTTGCTGGAGCTATTCCCCGACGCTAACCCCGAAGCCATCGACTTATTGGAGAAGATGTTGACGCTTGATCCGTTTGAACGGATCACGGCTGAGGAAGCATTGGAACATCCGTACCTTCGAGTATGGCACGACCCTAATGACGAACCGGTGTGTCAGGTGAAATTTGACTTTACCTCGTTTGAGAAAGTCGACGATATGGCCGAAATGAAGCGGATCATTATTCGTGAAGTGAAGAACTTTAGGGAGTTTGCCCGTAAACCGATTGAGGAACAACAACGGGAACAATTGAAGCTTCAGTTGAGTCATGAACAAGCCCAACAGCACTACGAAAAGCAACAACAACAGCAACAGCAACAACAGAAACAACACCGCCAACGCCACCACCAACAGCAACAGCAACAACATCAGCCACAGCAAAACCATCATCATCACCAGCACCAACAACACCAGCAGAGCCATCAACAGCATCACCACCACCAGCAACAACAACAACAACAACAACATCACCTTAATCAGGTACAACAGCAACAGCAACAACATCAACAGCAACCACCGTACCCTTACCACATGGACTACCAGACGCCCCAGGCAGCCCAGCTATACAACGTGCTGCTGCTGCCGGGGTTCACGGCGAGCCAGGTGAACACCACGGCTGATTACGCCAACAACGTTAGCTACGAACAAGCCCCGCCCCCGCAGGAGATCGAGGACTTCACGTTTGCCAACCAGCTGGCACTGGACCTATTCCGCTTGGAGGAAGAGTTAGGGTTTGGCATGGACGGCCATGGGCAGGGGTTCCATTAGCATACTACGACCGGAAACGACACCACGCGAGCGTCCCACTATACATAGTTAATGCTCACACTATTTATCATTCTCACTTCACTGAACTGAATACTTGGTAGTTGGTCTAGTTGATTTCGCTTCTATTTTTAGAATTTTCACTGTTTACCTCATCGTTGCGTTGGCGACGCACAGCGGGCAAAAATACCCCGAAAGCGTCAGGTCGATCATTTCAAGTACAGCACCCGGCATACATGCGGCGCGAGTTTATCTATTCAGGGTTCAGCTGGGAAGGTCGTAGCACGGACTCTTAAGACCACTAAACCGCTTGTATAGTGTCAATCACTGCGCCTAAAACAGTAAATCATCTTGTGTCTCACTTGTATCTTGGCGTCTGCGGATTTCCCCGCAATAGGACACAATAGCTAAACGACACAATACATTTCATGAACCAGCCATGCCGAAACGAGCTTTTCCACAAAACGGCCACGGCGTTTGTCAGCTACAAAACTATCCAGTGACGTGATTATTTTTTCTTGGTGGCGGTGTTGTACAGTTACAAAGATGGTTGGCCAATTCCACTTAAACTTTTTGTGGAGCCACAGTTGTGAGGTTACTCCGTATTGAATACGAAATGGGATACGGCTACCAATCGACGGTCGCCGATAGCTATGGTACCGCTATCAGGCGAGCAAATATGCCGATGAACATGGCTCGTATTGCCCAAAGCATGTGGAAGTTTTCTACTTGAGATTCCCAATTCAGACAAGGCAGATTATATTCGGAGATGATGTCAAAAAGATCACACGGCTACACAAACGCACCGAACATTATTGTCGCCAGAGGTTTGTGGACGTGTCGGATAAATTTTGATGCTTTTGTTACAGGAAAAAGAAGCTGGATTTTTCCTGATATTTAAGCTTTTGATATTTTCTGTCACCGGAATATCTGTCGGAATAATGATATAATAGCGAGTACGAAGTGATCACCCAAGCCAGCAACCGTGCATGTGATAGACAGTCCGCCATCCACTATCCTGGAATTCACCTTCACCAGAATCCCTTGATGTTCGATGAAATGTGGCAAACATTGACGATTTTTGTGAATTTACAATCGTAATTTTTTTTATTTTGGGGTGAATAACTATGTGATTCAGCTCGAAACTATGCCTGGTGCCAAATTAAAAAGCGGGGAAGGGTGACATTTGTTTCTACTCGGGAGTTTGAATTATGTGATTGTGATGAACTGTGCAAGAAACGGGTTGAAGAACGTTGAAGCTTGATAAGGACGCCATTGTTGGAATTGTTTTCATGCTATTCAAGGCTTAGATTGTTTCTGTTCATTCAAATTATGGATGATTTATGATTGAATCAGAGATATTTAATCATAAAGAAGTCAGAAATATCAATTCATAGTCGAAATGGAGATTTAAAAATTCGACAATTGAAAGTGATGGAAACGTGATGGAAACTAACCTTCAAAGGATCACGAATTTCAGAATGTGTTGTCGAAAGAATAGAAATTATTCTCAAATGACCAACAAAATCGAGATTTCAAGTTATTTTTGAATTGAATACTGGGTGCCTAAATTATTAACGATTCTGCGTAATTCGCCGCCTATTATAGGCATATTGATGACGACAACAACAACTCATCATGGAGTTTCCATGAGTGCTTCCATGCTGCTTTTGATCTAGCAGCTGCATGCACTGCTGCGTCCAACATTCCCCATCAATTGGCTTCAATGGACCATGAATATTTCAAAAGAGTCGTTAGCCTCAGGACTATGGTATTGTGAAACGCTTATTATTGTGGTAAAACTTAAACTGTTTATTACAATTTAGCAAGTGAGAGAATGAGGCAAAATTCTCATCACCAAAGCTTGTCTAATATTTTACCACTACGATCATATCGAGGGAAAGTGCTTACGAAACAAAGACGTCGACGATGCACCCTAAACATCGTAATTCTGTACGGTATCCCCAATGACGATGAATACGAGACTGGTATAAACTAATGTATGTATTGTATGTATACGTTTACGTTTGAGATTGTTCGATGCGGTAGCGATAGATGTCGCCGCCCATAGTAAAGCACCAGATCGAGTACGGCGTCACCTCGAAATTGTCGATTTTGCCATCAGGTACTAACCGAGAGAGGTCCAAGTCGACAAGCGCCACTTCGAGCATCGGCACCAGTTTACAGTCGGCGACGCTGTGGACGATCACCCGATGTTTCTTCACCGCCAGCTTATAATGGCGCTTGTGTCTGAGCTCAAACAACAGCTTGTACACCAGCAGCACCACTTCCGGCGGTGCTTCCACCAGCAGCACCTGCGATTCTGCCCCCAGCGGGTGGAGCATCAGCGCCATGTTATTTACGTTAGTGACGTTGTTTAACGGGTACACTGGCGAGGTACCGCCATCTTCAGAGCGTGTGCGTAAGTGGAGCGGCAGGGGCAGGTGGCCACTGCGGTGGCGCAGCATTCGCCGAGCCCGCGGTTCACTAGTCACCTTCCTTTTTAATTTGGGTAAAGCCTTATAGTCAAACTCCCACACCATCAATTTGCCGTCCCACCCTGCCAGGACGATTTTGTAGCAGTTCGGCGCCAGGCCGGGGATGATATCGACGCGGTGGACGATGTTGGTGTGTCCTTTGAAGCGGGCGACAGCGTCGATAGATTTGATGGTGGGAGGGTAGCGAGGGGTATCGGGGTGGACCAGCCCCGTAGTTTGTACCAGCAGGGCCGTATTGCTCCGGGAACGCCCCCCTTTAGCGGGTCGTTGGCGTTGGTTAAGGAGACTATCCACATTGTAATAGGTCATCTTAAACACTTCCACTAAGTCCAGCAGTCCTGCCACCACCAAGAACTTATTATCAGGAGTGAATTTGACCTGGGAGACGTGGTCATTAAAGTAGTTGGTGACGACATCGGTGACCACGGGGCTCAGCACTGGTGAGTGGACGCCGTACTCCATGTTCAGAGTGAACATTAGATCGATAATATGAATGACACCGTCGGTACCGCCAATGGCTATTAGTAAAGGGGATATTCCCGATTGACTAGTAGTGCCAGAGGGGGTAGTCATGGTGGTAGCGATCAGAGTGATATGGTGGTAGGAGAGCTTTAAGTGGCCCACCACCATCAGTCTCGGCCTCGTCGCCCATGACGATAGGTCGAATTTGCGGAAATAAGTGATGTAAGGGTCGGTACCGACGATATCTCGCGCATACTCAGTTTCAGGAGCGGAGGGGTCAAAGATCGCTACCTCACCGTTAGCGTAGCCAGCAATGATAAACGGCTGGGCCAATTGCGGGTGGTGGAACACCTGGAGCGCCGTAACCAGCGCCGGGTCTGCCAGCAGAGCCAGGGCGTTCCCCACGTGAGGCAACGTGTTATATGTCAAAGTCTGTAAATCGAGGATGAGGATGTCTCCCGTGACGAAGCCAATAATCACCGTCAGGTTCTCGGCCCACATTGCCGTCACGGTGTGAGTGAAGACGACGCGAGCATAGCTGTGTTCGATGATTTTGCGGTAATCAACGTTAGCCGCTTGGAACGGGAATAATGGCCTCGTAGTAACGATTTCTCGAGTGCCAGCATACTCTTCCGCTGCGTTTAAATTGATCACGTTGAAAATATTAGTGTTTACCAGCACTAACACTTTGGGGGCGAGAGTACCCAGCAGTTCAAGCACTGCCAGCACCCACGGCGATTCCTCCTTCAAATTATGACTTCCCAGTCCAAATAACGCTTTAGTCCCCCTAGGAGTGATCAATTGAGTGAATGCCAGCCCCAATGCTCCGCGTTCTTTGGCTAAAGCATTGATATTAGCGCCAATGCCCAGTTCGTCGGCTAGCTTATCCTTAGTGGCCACTTGGTGATAGTACCGATTAATGTGTAACGGAATATGTTTCAGCTCGCCACCCACGTGAAGATAGGTCGAATGGAACACCGCCTTCAGTTGCAGGAGCGGCCAGTGGATCAGTTTCTGGCGGTCAGGCAATAAATCGGTGGCGGCGAAATGGATGTTATAGTCGATGAATCCGGGAGTGGGACACGCCGTGTCTTGAAACCTCAGCACGGGCGGTAGCTGCGCCTCGGGAACCTCCAACGACGTCATCAAGTACGAAGTATTGGTGCGAGGACGGTGCGTGTATTCGTCGTACTGGGGTGCGACCGTTGGCGTCGTCGCGGGAATTGCCCTCCGCACTGAGGGGAAGTCTGGGGAGACAGACCAAATGAGACTAACGTGATAAATGGTTTTAAATAAATTAGAATGAAGTTATAGTGAATTGGAGTGATTAGTTTTCAATTATGTTTGGTTTGAATCAAGTATTGTTTTTTTTGAATGAGTGAGTTGTGAGCGACTGGTAATCAAGGCAGTATGGCAAATCCCGAAGGGGGGTCCAATTGTGGTACAAATAAAATGGACACAATGGGGAGTTTTAGTTGAACAAATTTAATGGGATTAGATGATGATGGTTGGTGACTTGATTAAACCGTTTATATCTATGCTACGGCCGTGTTTCAGGTTATTAACGTGACTGATTGTCGTCACTTATTGTTGTCGAGTGATGGCCACAAAACGCACCACCCATTAATCGTAATGTGGGTGGCAGGCGGGCTTCGTCACGTGACTGAGGTCCGACCAAATCGCACATCCCCCTAGGGCGCATTTGCAGATTGACCCTCGCAATACCCTCTGGCTCACGATGGCTTCAAATGGGAATAACGAAAGAACCACGGGTTTGATACACTTGAAATTGCATGGATAGTTTTGTCATACGTGTGGCTACCTATGATGTGAATTTGATCCAATTTGGACCACTGGTGGCCGACTTGGTGGGGTTGCCCGATAATGACCCACCTTAAATGACCGAAGCCCTAAGCGGGAATATTGAAGCTACCAAATGTCCAGATGATTGTTTACACGGTACTAAAGATGGTGAACGGTTGGTTTTATCAAATTTGCCATCATATACCACATTTCGGTCACGGCGGGATACCATCAGGGTATCGTGATGGGTTCATGGAAGTTACCCTCAGGATTGCCAAACAAAGGCTACTACACGTTCAAGCGGTGTTGTATGGTCATGTCAACCATCATTTGATAACAATTCAACCATTTTTACGTGAGTCTAGGTTGTCACCGAATTGGTCACTTTTGACACCCTCTGAGTCGCCAAATACTTTCAAGAGTGCTCCCAACTCGATGGATATTACCAAGTATACCCATCACTCACTTTCTTCTTCGAGAAAAGACCCTATTCATACGGGTAGCCTACCGTATTCCTATTTTTGGGATGATTTCTACCGGTTATACTGGTTCAAACCCCGCAACTTGCCTTATTCCTCAACCTCGAGCTATATACGATGTCCACAAGCGACTTAGATACTCTCGTCTCTGGTCCGGTGGCGGCGGCGGGCCCTTCCCGCTGGTGTTTCTGTTATTGGTGGCTGACGCCGGGGGAAAGAAACCTCAGTGCAGCGGTCACGCACGCTGGAAAAAATTTATCCAATTGGCCACTACAATCAACCAATTGTCGCAGGTTGAGCCGGTCGTTTCTCCTCCCCCTGATTGATTTACCGCCTGGGACTTCTCCGGTGCACTCTACCCGATTGTCACTTTTCCTCACTACTGTTGGTTGGTCGCCGGCTCCTTTCAAACCCGTGGAAATCCCGTTGCCCGAGCAAGCCCAGGGGCGGGTGCCGACTTTTTTTGGTATTGTACACGACCCGCGCCCTTGTGATTGGACAGCGCTTTTCTGGCGTTACCTTTACGTTTTCGCAGCCCGCAGCCAGCGCTCACAACCAGTAAGGGACCCACCACCAAGATGGCGGTCCTCCCCGCCAGCGCCCCGCTGGCGCTGAAACTGTCGCTGGCCCGCTTCCGCCAGCGCAAGATCCTGGTGCGACAGCCGTTGGCCATCTATAAGCAGAAGGAGCTCCTGGTGCAAAACGACAGCGAGCTCGAACACTCGCACATCAACCACTTATCGCTGGGGGCGACGCTGGAGAAAAACCGAGATACTATCGAGACCGGGGTCGACAAAAACGAAGAGGATGAAGTGCATTTGCAGCAGGTGATCCACGCCGCCCAGCGCGCCCTTCTACTGAACGCTCAGGAGAATACGGTATACATCCCTACCCCCGACGCTCTGAAGATATGGCCAGAAGCGTCTAAGTACTACTCCGACCAGCACTACGTCGAGCCCGAAACCTACGTCAAGTACAGCGCCACCGTCGAGGACACGGTGGGGGTGATGTACTGTATGGACGAAGAGGACGAAAAGTTCCTTAAGCTGTTGGCGCCGCCGAAGCGCGGGGTGGCGGCGTGCTCTGAGCTCGAGTTTGAGACGGTGTGCGACCACCTTGAGCGGGCGATCGAGCAGAAGCAGCCGTTCCTCCTGATGGACCCGCTGAACATCCTCCTGTACGATGAGCTCAAACAGGCCATTGTCAACCAGCAGGGGCTGGCCAACATCAAGGATAAGCTCTCCACCGAACTTAAATACCGTCCCTTCATCACCATCTTCGACAAACACCACGACAACCCCAAGGCGATGGAACACCCGCGCGCCATCGGCGAGTTGCTCAAGCTCTACGGCCCCCAGATCTACGAGTTCTGGAAAGAACGCAAGATCAAGCGCGGCGGCAAGCTGATCCACCCCAAGCTCAAGTTTGAGGACCCCCACGCCCCTGAGCGCGACAACGACAACGACCCTTACGTCTGCTTCCGCCGGCGGGAATTTCGCCAGGCGCGGAAGACTCGTCGGGCCGACACCCTCGGTGCCGAACGCTTGCGCCATATGCAGCGGCTGTTACAGACGGCCCGGGAGCTTGTGCTTAGTGTCGCTAAACGGGAGATCCTCAAGCTTGACTTATATAAGGCGGAGGCGACGGTGTTTAATGACCGCGTAGCCGCTAAGCAAGCGAAGCGGGCGGCTAACGTCACCGGCGACGAACACTTGTTCTACCCTGCCAAACGGCCCAAGATCGTTGTTAAGGTCGAGGACGAAGAACGCGAAAGCCGCCGTCGCCGCGACGCCAAAGCCGCCAACGGACTGGCATCGGGACAGGCGAACTCGCTGGCCCTGGCGCTGGTCAAGCAAGAGCGTCCGGCACCGCCAGCGCTGTCGCTGACGTCACAGCCATACGTCAAGCTCCCCCCGGCCAAGATCCCCGATATGGATCTTGTATCGGTGCTGCGGGTACTTCGCGAAAAGCACGACACCATCGAGCGGGCGGTGGCGGAAAAGCTCCGCAAACGCCGCGAACAGGACCGTGGCTACGTCAACTTGACCGACGACCCCCGCCAGCCGTACTTCACCGTCACCAGCCACCCCAAGCTTGCCGAGGAGGTGACCCACATCCCTTACTCGCTGATCGCGGCGGCGGCCTACCACGACATCAACACCACCCACTATGCTAACGACACGCTTAAGCGGATGGTCGATGAAGGGAAGAAGCCGTTGCCCGGGGTCAAGACGATCAAGAACGGCGTGGTGGTGCCGACGCTGCCGTTCCCGCTCGAAGTCACGCCGCCGCTGGCGCCGGTGGTGGAACAGCTGTACATCAGCCAGTTCTTGAACAACGTCGAGACCAACAACTTTGGCGCCTACCTGGTGGGCTACAGCGACCAGTGGCGCCAGCAGCAGCGCGCGGCCCCAGACAAGGAGCTGGCCCCGCCGGTGTCGGAGACGCCGTTTATGCGGTTGCGTAAGCGGCAGGGGCGCATGGGGACGTTTGTCGACCGCAGAGGCCAGGTGCCGTTTGCGGACGTGGACACGATGATGGCTGTCGCCCACGACGACGACGATGACGATGATAATGACGACGACGGCAAAAATGTATATAACGCCGCTAACGTGGCCAAGCGGGCGGCGCTGCGGTGGCTCTTCGACACCGACATGGCCGAGGACCAGCTCGGCGCCCTCCACCCGTTTGGCCTCGACCCGCTGCGGCTCAATTGCATCCTGGACGATACTCAGCTGATCCGCTTCGGGCTGATGTTGTTGCTGAAGCTGTACGGGTTGTTGAACGAGCTGATCCACCAGCGGCAACAGATGTATCTTCAACAGGCGCGGCTCCGGGCGTTGCAGCAAAACAAGCAGGCAAAGCCTAAGCAGTAGCGCATATGTATAATACGGTATTAATAGAGAGAACAATACGAGACAACATTTCGACAAAGTGTAGAAAAATATCAAGTTCATCTGACGTCAGCGCTTTTACACGCTAAATTGTCAAAATGAATAAGTCTAAAAATGAAGAGCCAAAAACAAGGGGCGAGCTGGGAATCGAACCCAGGGCCACACCCACCCTAAGGGTGTATCATACCACTAGACCACACGCCCGTATCTGAAAAAATTGCGGTTTCGAGAAAAACAGAAATAACACAAGGAACTTTCATGGCGACTTTTTCGTGAAATGTGATTAATATTGTAGATTTATAAATTGAAGTGATGATTGGATTATGTATTAGTTAAGGAGTACTTCCAGGATAAGAGAAAACCAAAGATTAGGGCATTTAAACTACATACTATGAGTTACCGCTTTTTGGCGACGCTTTTAGAGCTGGTATTGACCCAGTGGTACTGGCCTTCAGGAATACTCTCAAGAATCTTACGCTTTTTGATCCGGGCATCCGAAGACTCCTTGATCTCCTTGCGGTAAGCAGCCATCTTCTTGTCGTAATCCTTCATGTGAGTGAATAAAGTAGGGACTTGAGGCATGGCGAATGATTACAGTAGTGACAATGAGGTAGCCCTCAACGGTTTATATCTTTGTCGAACACTCTTACCCCATTTAGTGTATCACAGACCATTTGGTCAGGATACTTCATCTCAGCAGAGTTTCATTATGTTGAAGTCTGGACACAACGCTACTATCAGTACAATGACGAAACCGATACCGACGATGATAGTACCCGTTAGTAAGAAGCTGATTGACACCAATAAATGTCCTACTAGATGATAGCGCATCGAGAGTTGTCCAATTTGAGATACAACCTAAATGACATAACAATAAACTGAACACACAACATCAATAACCGTTTACAACAAATAAGATTGAAAGTACAAATCACTGAATTAGGATGTGGCATTATCGTAATCCATTTACTATGTACAACTCGTTACCAGACGAAACTCTCCAATTCCAACTCGACGTTCGGGTACAGCTTCACTCCCAACGCGTCCCGCGCCGTGTAATTAAAGTCTTCCGGGCCACACACCACGAGGTTGACGTGGGCGAACCGGTCGGCGTTATAGTGGACGATGCCGGCGACGCGGGGACGAGATTTAAGGTCGAGGATCAACAGCGAGCAGTAGGGCTTAAGTTCGGCGATCGCCGCCTCGGTGACCGCCTCGTCGGTGATGATGATTTTGATGAAACACCCTTGCTCTTTCAACCACTCCAAGTCGCGGTAGGCCCAGTTGATGTGGCGGGCATCGTTGACGACCCAGTATAACTTGGATGCGGTGCCGCAGTAGTACATCTTGGGGAGCACGGCACAGATACCCATGCCGGCAGCAAGGCCGACGGTGACGTCACCGGTGCCCAAGTCTTCCGATAAGTTATCCAGCGACAGCTCGTCCAGTTTCGAGGCGATGTGGCGTTGTTTCTCAGCTGCTGGAAGTGCGATAGGTCTCAGCTTATGCTTAAGCAGATCAGGGCCGAACTCACCGTAGGGGCCTTCGATGAATGCCAACACTTCAGTATCGTTACCGTAGTAGAGGTTTTTCGTGACACCACCACGAGCTTTAAAGTAGACGACAAGGTTGCCGTTTTCTTCCACCGGCGACTTGATCATGGTGAACGGGTGTGACTGGAGGATCAGCCCGTATTTCGGGTGGAGGAAGTAGAAGAAGCAGTAGCAGCCAGGGAAGTATTTCACCTTAGGGTTAGAGATGACCAATCTGACGACGCGGTGTTCGGCAATCTCCACTTTAACTCGCGAAAACCCACCGTTGACCAAGATTCTCAATACCCTGAAGAACACGTCGAACCCCCAGATACCCGCCATCGACAACACCCACCCGATCCACCCCATCGGTTTCACGTGGTAGAGCATCAGCACGATATATAACGCCGAGAACAACTTGTGGACGAATAAGAACACTTCGTACATGAGGTCGCGGATCTTTTTAAGCGAGAGGAAGATCATTAACGTGGCGATAACGGTACCGGCGATCCCCCACTGCCAGTAGGCGTCCGCGACCCACAGCTCGTAGCCACCATCAATAATAGCATAGCCCGTCCACACCCCGGTGTGGATCATCGCCTCGATCGCCATGAGCACGGCAAGGTACTTGTGGAAGAACGAGAATTGAGGGTACAGCATCCCGGTGACGACGGCGAAGGGGTTGTTGCGGATGCCAAAGAAGAACACGAGGGGCAAGAGGGCGAACGAGAGGATCCCCAGACGGTAGCCGATGAGGTCAAGCGTTAACAATTTGCCGTTTTGGATGTAGATATTGGGACGGATCACTACGCCATAACCGATGGCAGTGGCGAGTACGGTGTATACGAAAAACACGAATGAGATCAACCACATGTCCAACGTTACTTCTCTGAAGTAAGGGCCGGGAAGCAGTTTCCGTTGGAGCTGTTTCCAGAAGGAAGGCACGCGTTTAGGGCCCAATACCCAGTGGAATACGCCACCAACAACGACGATAAACGTCCAAAAGAAGATGAAACCCCAACCAAGCATATCGCAATTGTGAGTGTGTTGTTTCAACGTGGTAAATGTACGCGACGAGTACTCAAATAATTCACCCAGAGCGTGGAAGGCTTCGGTGACTGGTTGTTTTGGGTCTTCGGGAGGGGACGGCGCTACGGGGAGAGCTTTCCATTTCTCCTCCATAAACGCGTTGGAGTAAGTCAACTTGTGGCTCAGTTTATCGTAGCACCGCCTTCTGATATGGCGCACGGCGTGGTTGCGTTCTCCCTGGGTCTTGTTATGGGTCAGCACACAGTCCATCACCAGCGTGAGCCATAAGTCGTGCTGGCACCGACAGTTGAATGCCTTAGCTCCATTGCCGGTGGAGTTGCAGCCAAAGTCAAAGTTCTTGAGGTAGTAGATACACGTCAGGGCGAGGACGGAGTCAATGAGACTGAGGGCGTTCACGGTGGCGATGACCAGCACCAACGCCCATAGTGAGTACAACCGCATTATTTTAGAAATAGGTCACACGAGGGGTATGTTATTGCCTCTGGAGATAAGGTGGCTATTTCAGCGGGGGGGGAAAGTCGGTGCCTTTAAGCGCCATGGCCACTGCGGGTGCGACGAGCAAATTGACCCTCCGAAAACGGATAGCGTGCCTTGTGCGCGTGGAGGCGAGAATGTGGGTGTGCGAAAACGACGCCGACGCCAAGAGAGCGCCACAATGGGCACTTTCGCAATTTACCATTTACGGCTGATACAGCCGGGTGTAGCGACGAGGCCTTGGGGGTCAGTTTCACCGAGGATACGGTAGATATACGACAAATATACGGATCTCATCGCCCATCTCTGTCGGCAGCAAACAATACGTGCGGCTGGGGTACACACTACTGAGAGGGGCCATCACTCGGTGCGACTCGCGCAAATTTCACTGACACAAACTACTAGTTAATTAGCTCAAAACAGGTGCTAGGAAATTAGCTAATTAGCTCACCGACATATGGAGCAGGTGAGGCATTTTCCATTTTGTAATGGAGGATGGGGGGATGATGATGATGATCTTCGGCTAATTAGTTGATCGCTTTTCAGAGATGGTAGGGCTGATTTTTCTAACACGCGTTGGCCTAAGCGGTATCTCAGACATGAGTGATGGCATTTCACGGAAAAGTGGCGTATTAAAGTATACTCAGTTTTTTTCATTATTATGATTAGTAAGAGGATGGTTACTGCCAGGGGATATCGGCCTGGCATCTCTTTTGTGTTTGTGGAGCGATGAGTAGTTAATCTGCCGAAATAGGTAAGTGCGGCTTTTTCGGTCTAAGCCCCGGTTTTGAAAAAAAAAAAAAAAAGCTCACTGTGCAGGCGGTAAGCCGATGAGAATCCCATCGAGCCGACATTATCAGATTAATCTCAATCGGACACAAAGATGCTTGATCTTGAAAAGCATTTGGAATTCAGATTAATAGCCACAAGCGCGGTGAGAGTGGTAAAATAAGCACACTGTAGTTGTGTGGAGCAACGATGAATGGCGACTCTCGCACCAGTTCATCCTTAGGGGATAATCTGAGGCGTGTCATTGTCTCATCTACACAATGCTATCAGCGGTAACCAAACTTCCTGGAAGAGGGGGAAGAAGAGAGCTAGTTGAAGGGGCGAGTATATTGAATGTAGCATTCAAGATGTCTGTTTTAAATGAGCTATAAGTTTTCATCGGTGTCGACCACGCCCTTTTGTGCAGGCTTCCCCTCACCGGGTAACCAGCCAGCCTACCGAATACAAATGAATACTCAGACGACTGGTGAATCACATTGGTGTTTTCTCCAGCAATTAGTGACCCCGCGGAGACCACGAAACTACATGATGTTTTAACAGACCTGCTGTTTGTATTGTACTATCTAAGATTATATAAAAGAGTACTCTTGGGGTATGAGGTTACTCAGGGACCCAAAGCAACACCTATCCGTGGCATAAGACGACCCATGAGCGTTCCAAGATTTGCATGAACACAGGGTGCTGTACAAAGCCGTTGTCTAGAGTGCTCAAGAGACGTGAAGAAGAAAACTTTCACTGGGCGCGAAGCTGCTCTATATATATTGGTGTCCTGCACCGAGGACAGGCTTTCGGGGTCGGCACGTCGGCGACGTGGCTGGCTCTAGCGTGGCTGGCTCAAGTGCTCGGTTCGGCGATGGTTCTCCGCCACCGTGACTCTGCCGCCCACAGCTTCGCCCCGCCCGCCCATCTTCGCTACACGCATCATCGCCGGCACCCCGAAGCTGTATGGGACGGTAACGGCAACCGCGGAGCTGGCGTCGACGTTGGCCGCTGCGCTTGCCGCAAACGCTGCCGTGGACTCTGCAGCCTGAGGTCGTTGTCGTGCGTGGAGGCTCTCTGATAGGGCGCTACATGATATCGTAACAGACCTGCTGTGTGTATTGTACTATCTGAGATTATATAAAAGAGTACTCCTGGGGTATGAGGTTGCTCAGGGACCCAAAGCAACACCTATCCGTGGCGAAAGACTACCCTTTCGCGACCATAGACGTAAGGCCGCAGGGTGGTGTCCAAAGCCGGCTAGGGTGCTCAAGAGACGTGAAGAAGAAAATTCTCACCAGGCGCGAAGCCTGTTTATATACCTGTGTCCTGCACCGTGAACAGGCTTTCGGGGTCGGCATGTCGGCGGCGAGGCTGGCTCCAGCGTGGCTGGCTCAAGTGCTCGGTTCAGCGATTGTTCTCCGAGTCACGCCCGCACAAGCCACCGTGACTCTGTCGCCGACAGCTCCGCCACACCCATCATTGCCTTAGCCCGCACCCCGAAGCCATAGAGAATTGAGATTGTGACGGCAACGGAGGAGCTGGCGTCGACGCTGGTATTGCTATTGACCGGGGACTCTGCAGCCAGACGTCTCTGTCCTGCGTGGGGGCTCCCTGATAGCGCGCTACATGATATCGTGACAGACCTGCTGTGTGTATTGTAGATTATATACTGGTGTGAGAAGAGAGTACTCTTGGGGTATGAGGTAACTCAGGGACCCAAAGCGACGCCTATCCGTGGCATAAGACGACCCATGAGCGTTCCAAGATTCGCATGGACACAGGGTGCTGTACAAAGCCGGTGGCTAGGGTGCTCAAGAGACGTGGAGAAGAAAAATTCTCACCAGGCGCGAAGCCAGATTATATATTAGTGTCCTGCACCGTGGACCTACTCTCGGGGTCGGTGTCAGCGGGGCACGTCGTCGGCGTGGCTGGCCCTGTCGTGGCTGGCTCTGGATCTAGTGTTCGAGGCAATGGTGGTTCTCCGAGTCACGCGTCACCGAGACTCTGCCGCTCAGAGCTCCGCCACACCGATCACCCCGAAGCCATAGAGGATTGTGACGGCAATGGAGAAGCTGGCGTCGACTCTTGCTTGGCGGCAAAGGCGGTCGTGGACTCTGCAGCCAGACGTCTTGTGCGTGGGGGGCTGATAGCGCGCTACATGAAGTTGTAACAGACCTGCTGTTTGTATTGTACTATCTAAAGTTATACACTGGGGTGGGAAAAGGGTACTCTTGGGGTGTGAGGTGGCTCAGGGACCCAAAGCAGCGTCTATCCGTAGCAAAGACGACCCAGTCGCGTCCCAAGATTGTGCATGGACACAGGGTGATGTACTAAGCCGGTGGATAGGGTGCCCAAGAGATGTGTAGAAGAAAAATCTTACTGGGCGCGAAGTTCCTCTATATATATTGGCATCCTGCACCGTGGACCTACTCTCGGAGTCGGAGTCGGAGTCGGAGTCAACATGCCCCCACCACGGCTGAAGGCGCTTTGCAGAACACTGCCTGCATTGACATGAAATCTGACATACGCCTTTTTCAGGAGCGGTGGCACGTTGAGGGCATATATAATTTTGATGAAAATGCTGGCATCAAGGACGTCAATGTCTTTGATGGCTCAAGTGCTCAGTTTAGCAGTGGTGCCCCGCGTCACGTTCGCACCGAAGAGTACCAGCAGCATCGCCACCACCAAGGTCGCCTCAGCGTTTTCGGGAGCCATATGAGGCTACAAGGACGTCAGTGGAGTTGGAGTTGATTACGGGAATGCAATTGTTTGCGTATTAGGGCGAAAGTCACCGATGATACTAAGACCTGACCCCTGAGATCGACATTGGACATACCTGTTTCGAGCACACATAAACAACACTCGCGGTCACGCCTGAAAGCCAAAGCAAAAGACTGTAGCCAGTGCTTGGTGTCTCATGGGCTCTTGGCCTGGTAATCTCATACCCGCAATGGCCTCCACCTTCTATAACCTTTGTCGGGCCCGCGACTCTTTTTTGGTGGTTTGGCCGAGTGGTTAAGGCAGTCAATCGGGACGGGTGTTCGAATCCCACAAAAATACTGCTTAATACCTTCCCTTCCAACTCCCCTTGAAGATTCAAGTCCCCTGCTACTTGCTTCGCCATCCCACTCCACGGCATCTGCTAACTACTACCTCCCCTACAATTCTACAATTATGTTCTCATTTTGCCAGTTTGTATTACTACGGTCCTCAAGAATTTTCCCTCCGATTTCAAAAATTTACCCTCGCACTCTAAAAATTTACCCTCCCACTCTAAAAATTCACCCTCCCACTCTAAAATTTTAACCTCCCACACGAGCCAGCCCTCGCCCCAAACACGACCACCGCCTGTTCGGCATTGAGAAAATACAAGTTGAGCATCGGCGTTGTTCGATTATGTTCTATAGAAGTCTATATGCTAGATACAAGGCAAACCACAGTCGAACGCACCATCATCCCTGCTACTCCCTCCGCTAGGCGTGCCGAGCTTGTCGCTCCTGAAATCCTTACCCAGACGCCAGTGCGAAGGGCTTGAATGACTCGGGTCTAAGACGCGTCCACCAAACAGGTTCAGGGGCCAACAGTCAGCACGCCATGATGGCTTTCGGTAAGCAGGGGGGGTATCGTTCAACAGCCCTGGCAGCAAGGGGCTGGTCATGCGGAACCACCGCGTTGGCGTGTGTGATCAGCTCTTCCTCGCGTCCGACTCCAGCGCACACCGTGGTGTGGGCTCGACCCATTCGCGATCCAGTAGCAGTCGTTGCACGTC